TTTTTGAACCTTTTACCTCACGAAATTTAATTGTTTTTAATTCTTTCCTGATAGAGAATTTTCCAATCTTTTATAATTTTCAATCCGTTGGTTGCTATCGCTTTTAGTTTCGATGACATTCGATACTATATTCGGAAAACACTCGTAAAAACATGATGCGGGGTGCCTTTGCACATTTCTCGTTATAAATTATATTTCATTTCCTAAATTTTTAATTTAACTAGTTTATCTTATAGAGAATTTCCCGTAGATTAAGAATTTTCAATCCATTCCCCTCTATCGCTTTTAATTTCCGAGAAAATCGCAATCAAAATATCGAAAAATAAGAAAATCCGCATGCAAAAAATAAATAAAATTAGCAGTAAAGTACGGCAGCTAAGTGTTTATAAAGTCCGCGAATGGCGCTAGAGGCTTATACAAAAAAAAAAGTTTGGAAACCCCTGCCCCAGAGCGTGCACCGCCGCCGGCGTCGGTCGTATGCGCCTCAAACCGTCAATTTCGGTCGTTTATGTGGGTGGATAACGTTGTTGTTTTTTTTTTCTCCTGCCCTACGATTTTAATTCCCCGTATAAACGGGCGCGCTTAGCGAGCTTTCGGAATTTTTCCCACAACATTGCGGCCGATAGTAGACTATAATTTTGTCGCAACCGAGCGCAACCCTCGGCCCGTGGACGCCCAAAAATGTAACTCTTCCGCGGCAGCGCGCTGCTCGCTTCGGGGAAACGTTAAACGATCAAGTCACGACCTGTGCGCACTGATGATATATTTTAGGGTTGTGCGAAATTGCCATCCGAGCCCCGCACGCCAAATCAAACCGACATTGACGTCTTCTATCGATTGTGTCCATCCCGATGATTGATAAGCGTAAAAGTGAGCGTTTTACATGAAAGCGCTCAATTGTTGTGTTAGGTATGTTGTGTTGTGTGCAGCCACTTTGCGGTCGTGACGCTCCATTAAAAGGGGACTCGGACGTTTAACGCTGACGTGGTCGCTGGGTGCGCCCGCAAATTACCACGATATGATCTTCAATTAGAGATGTGTCCTTTCGGAAGGCGCAAACGGTTTTTTGGGAGCAACGCGCAACAATGTGCCTAATCACAGGTTTCGCATCGAATCGCAACCGGGGTGCGGCGGGGTGCGGGCGCGCCGCCGCGTTCGTCCCTCTCGGCGGCCGCTTAATTTGGGGTTGCGCGTCCCCGGCGGTGTTCTGGCGCCGCCGGTGCCCCGCGCCGGGCGACAACACCCACCTACGGGGCCCGACCTGCCCGAAACACTTCATAAAAAGTACTTGCGCGCGGGCCGCGCCCGGGACGCAAAGCTACAAAGTTATGAGATGTTGTGAGATGTTTTTCCGAGGCAAGGAGTGCGCATCGATGACGATAATATGCGGTTGCGGGCACGGCCGCCAGCCCCCTTGGACCCATGGCAATGCGCGCGGTCGGCGACGCTACTACACCACTCTACAATTATATGCTTAAGCGATTTAATGTGAAAACCGACCGCAAACGTTACGTAGAAATGGCTTTTTCCACGACCAAGAAGTCGTCGCGTTTTGCCGCCTGCCGCCGCCTCGGCCCCGAACGATTAGAAACTAAATTGGTAATTATAGACATTTGTGCGCAAAAATTATCAAAAAGTTATGAGTTTTATTAAAACAACGTTGCGCCTCGCATGCATGGTGCGCGAGTGCCCCAGCCCGGAGTCGAGTCGAGTGGCCATCAATCAGGCTCGACTTTAACTACTGTCTCTCCTCGAACTTAATGTTTTTTCGGACTTTCGCAATAATCTCCGGCACTCGTCGCCGTCCGTCTTGTTGCGCTGCGTCCTTGGTGCCGGGGCAATTTTGTCATCGATCCGCATTCGCGTCGAGTGTTCGGAGCGCTGCTCATTTTCTTATACGGACATCCACTTAAGGCCTCCGTTGGTGGACGGGTGCGTCGTCTCCCGTTTCGCTTCCACGCGCTACCATGGCGCGCACGAAAAAAGCAAACACGTCGAGTTTTCGCAGTAAAAACGGTTAAAGTGTCAAGTTTTATTAGGAGACGTCGGCAATGACGACGCGGACCACCCACCCCCAAATCTCCGCACTGATCTGCTCGCTGCACGTCTCCGCTCGTTTACAGCGTGCGCTGCGCTGGCTCACGTGTTGCGTGTTTAGTGCATCTTAGTGTCACAAAGATAACAGCGCGTCAGGGTCGCAAACGCATCGCATCCACTTACCTGCCGGCCGTGCCCGCAGATCAATCAAACTTCGAGGCATCAGGGCGCAGCCGAAGACGGAGAAGAAGAAGAAGGAGCATTAAAAGCAATGTCAACGTGATGCGTGCGAACAATGCACACAAAGCCCTCGAGCACCAGCACAATACACAACGCACTAAATTTTACTTTAATTTGTTTGCTATTTATGAGCTGTGCAGCCAGCCGGTTCAAATCTTTTTTATGGTTATGTCGAAATTTATCGTTTACTACACCATTTTCACTACGTACACACAGAGGGCACGCAATTTCAATTCGTTTTGTTTTTCTCTTTTAATTCCCCTAGTATCCATGGAAGTCATAACAGTTATTATTCCAAAAATAATCTCACGTAACACATTCGAATCGTCCGGAACAACACAAAATTTCTCATAATGGCACCCACCGATAAAGATTTATCGATTAAATCTGCAAATCAATGCGAGTGCTCACCTTCAGGACCCACAACGTCAGTACGTTTTATCAAAACACATTACCGCAAGCCCAGCACCGTCATGGTACTACCACACAGTCCCCGGACACCCAGGACCCTCATGCATCGACCCGAGACACCCATGCCGCCAACAGCGAAACCCTCGGGGAACTTTGGGGGTGTAGCCGCGTTCCTGAAACGGATACGTAACTATTTCTTTGGTCCGCCGAAACCTGCGCCAACCTGCCAGCAGCTTCTGCAATCCCTTGCGAAACCACCTACTGAATGCATGCGGCCCATACCTGTCACGGTGACGCAACCAACGCAAAATATGATTTCCAAACGCAAGTCCTCTAGATGTCTGATTATTCCTCAAACAAGACTGGGGCACGGAAGTACAAGTATCGTGATTGAGGAAGTCCCTACTCTGACCGAGGAAGAAAACGAGCAAGATAACGATGAATAATCAACAAAGATGAATAAATTTCGACATATCCAATAAAAATACCTCGTCTCACATCAATTCTTTGACAAATTGTTGCAGAATTGTGTTTGTATCCATCGTAAAACTTGCGTTTCCGTAGAAGTCATCAATGCCTCCTACCGCATTCAATTTGTCATTGCAAATTAGAAAGTCCCACCAACGACTTTCGAACGAAACCTATCCATAACCAAACGGAGTGTAACTAATGTGTGGTTTGCACCCATTCTTCCCAAACGCCATTCAAAACTGCAAAGTGTCATCGCAGTGCACTTGCATTGCAATAAATCGAAGTGGAAGAGCTAATATCCAACCACAATGTAACCTCAGGCTATTCATTGCTTGTAGAAAGTGGCTCGCCTCGAGTGCGAGTTTTCTTTCTCGGCGGCGCAGTTTTTCCCGGGCGCATTAGTAACGCTGACCGAATGTAAATACAGAAGTCAAACGGTGGCACTGCCGGACTGCTCGTATTTATAGGTAAATTGGAAGCGTTGCTAATTTTGTGGCCGGCCCGGCTGGGTATCGGCTTGTTGCTCTTTTCTTTCAAACGGTTCGCAAATGTCGAAATGCGGCCGGCGGTGATTTATGGCCGCGGCCGCGTTTTTGTGGTGCGCACTTCGATGGAAAAAATGACCGCAGTCAGCAGCTACCTTTGGCACGACTTAAGTGGAAAAACAACGTGTTCGACGCGCTTCGACGGAAATTGCGGTGGTGAGGATTATTAACAAATTAAAAACAAAGTTGCCAAACATAGAAAACAATGTATTTAGGTGTAGTATAAGCGCAAGGAAAAGATGCTTGGCATATTCATAACTTTTGGGTGGCGCGAATCGAGAGAGAATGGTCTTAATAAGACAACAAAAGAACGCAGGCAGTGAATGTGAAATGCACGAGCGATTATCGAAGAATCCGAAGACAAAACACTTTATCATACTTAACATTCTTTTTCCGCGGTTGGCTCAGATGGCGAGCCAGCGAGCGCGGAGGAAGCAAATGAGTTAGTGAGCTGTCAATCAGCGCGCGCTCGATTTCCCAGGGGCGCCGCGAGCGCTCCAGAACCCACGAGCCCGACGATAATTTGCCTATTTGGACGTCCGTTTAACATGATTTACTCTCGCGCGCGCGATCAGCGAAGAAGGGTAGAAATTCCACGCTCCCGCGCCCGCGTGTGATTTACAATCGCGGGGCGAATTCAAACAATTACGTCTCGAAATCGTCAGAAGCATCAATCATCGAAACTCCTGCATTCGTCCGCCGGAGCAATTTCGGGACAATTAGCCGCGTTGTTCCCCGTTCGTGTGCGTTATGATGCGCCCCGGACGAAATTGGGGTACCACTCGTCGGCGAAATTACATTTAATTGTCTGCGGCGATCGAGAGATAGACACATAAATTCGCCCGAATACGTTTTCAGCTTCGAATGCACTTTTGATTGCACATAATCGTTGCGGATAATTGTTTCGCGGCGCACTGGCTGGGAAATATGTTTGATTTACACCTGTCAAACGTCGGGCGCAGTGCACACGAAGGCGCATTTGATTGATTGAAAAGTGCAGATCGAAGGCTTCTTTGCGCCTTCGCTACGCATCCGCAGTGTTTTTCTTCGGGCTTTTAATTGCTTTAATCGCTTCCATTCAAAGAAACACAACGAGCTGAGCGCCCGTAATAAATCCTCGAATGATGCTGTAATTGCCGGTTTTGATTTGTGCTCGGCTTCATTCAGAAATGGCGATTTCACACCAACTTGTTCAAAACCTCAAGTGATGTTTATTTCCAAGCGGAAGCGATTCAGACGCTGCTTCAACATCTCGCAAACAAAGGATGAGAAGAAAAACAAAAACAAACAAAATCATTTTTAACTTAAAAACAAATTCTTTTAATCAAGTCTATCTACAAATTTACAGAAAATCCCCAAAAATAATTCGTTTAACATCGTTTTGCGGTTCACTCAATACAAATTCGTGGATATATCTTTGACATTAAAAGGTAACTAAATTATGTTTTCAGTCTTCAACCATAAACTTTAAAGTAATATACTTGTAACTAAATTTTAAATATACAAAAAAAAAAATAATAAAGAAAACTTAAAAATAAACAACCATAACGCAGCAATGCTAATTCTCTCTCATTGTGTGTAGTGTTTTGGATTTCGTGTTGATTTTTGAGGTAATCATTAATTCTTTGGTTACACATAATACCTATTCGTGTGCCTGCCGAGCGCGATTACATTTCGCATGGCAACTTCAAGCAATAATCGTCGATTATAAACTAAGCACGATTGCGTTACATAAATAAAAATTACATTTTTTTTATAAAGACATTGTTCCTCTGGAAATTACTTTCTTCTCCTCAAGAAAAAAAATCAACGCCGAGATTTACTTGAAGTTGTAAGTGCGCAGAAATGAATCGCTCCAGCCAATTCGACTCTACTAAAACTGTTTATCGCTTCATGATGTCCTCGATGCTGAAGCCCAGCGGCTTCTTCTTCTGCTGCACGGAGCTGGTGGTCTCCGGCATGGTGGTGATCTCCTGCTCGTCGTCGTGATCATCTACATTGATCTCCTCCTGATCATCGGCGTCATCGACCTCACGCTCTGTTTTCCGGGTGCTGAGGTCAAGCCCAAAGCGGGTGGAATCCGCGGTTTGCAGGAGATCGGGTGTCTCCTTCGCGGCATGCACGAGCACCTCGTGTGTTTTGAGATCGCCATAGGAGGAGAACATCTGCGCGCATGCGGTGCACTCCCATGTGCGCTCGCTGTGTGTGAGCATGTGTGTCTTCAGGTTGGAGCGCTGATTGAAGGACCGCGAGCAGACTGGGCATTTATGCGGAGATTCCTCCATGTGGAGGATCTTGTGCACCGCAAGGGTGCGCGACTGGCAGAAACCCTTGCCGCATTCGGTGCACTTGAAGGGCTTTTCCTTGCTGTGGATGTACCTGCAAACAAACAAATATTTCATTAGCCCCAAAGTAAATTGACGGTTTGACGCCTGACATTGATTTTGGTGTTGGTTGTGTAAACGTGTGAGTGTAAATATTGAACAATGAATGTGAAAGTGACGATTGTGTGATGAAGCATGCATTAAACTTCCTTTGTGACTATTGTATCCATCATGCATTAAACTTTCAAGTATACCAAACCAAAGCAAACATTGCAACAGTGTGTAGGAATGCGTGTAGAAGTATTTTAAAATGATATGTACCTATGGTCTCTCAAATGGTCCTGCCGCCGGAATGCCTTGCCGCAAATGTCGCAGGAGTATGGTCGCTCATCAGTGTGGGTGCGCTCGTGGATGAGCAAATTGTAACTCTTCGTGAACTGCCGGTTGCAGTACTTGCAGATGAACTGCTTCTTGGGGCGCGCGCTGCCGCCAGTCATTTTGAGGGGTGCAGGTGGGCGGCCCGGGGTGCGCACGTCGGCGGCATGATGATGATGGTGGTGGTGCTGTTGTTGCTGCTGCTGCTGCAGGCGCGCATGATACAGCGCTGCGTTGCGCAGCCATTGGTTCATGAAGAGCGCATTGTACGGGGACATCGATCCGAAGCCGGCGTATTCCTGCGCGTGGGGCGGCGCGTATGGATGGTAATGCTGCGGGTGGTGCGGTTGCTGCACGGGGTGCGCGGCGTGGTGGTAGAAGGCGGCCGGTGCCGCAGGAGGCGGACTATAAGTGGGCGTGTGCGGGGGCGTCAGCAGGGGGGATGTGCTATCCGCTTCCTGCTTAATTTCGCCTGCGGGTGGCGCCATTAGCGGCTGTACAAATCTGTACACTGCAAAAATAATTTACGCACGTTAAAGAAGAACAATTTAAACTAACGCAGAATAAAAATATAAAAATGTAAGCATCTAGAAAAACGGTAAACATTGTTGATATTGAAACAGTTGCAAGTGCGCATCTCGCGGATTCAAATCGAAGGATATCAACGAAATAAAAACAAAAACGGCAACAAAATCGAAATCAATTTTTACCTTGTTGTTTCGACTGCGGAGACTCGTTCCCGATAGCGGAATCATTCACATTGACGTTCATCTCGAAATCTTTGCTCTTGTACTCGTTGTATTCTTTAAAATCTCCGTACTCGATGGACATGGTACACCAGGGGTTCACTACTCTTGATGATCACTGATGATTTGCGCAAGCGATAGAAAAAAAGTTTGTATCAGCGCTATCTCTGAGGCTGTTTGCAACCGATCGGTGCGAACGTCCGACGGTAACTGATTTCGTCGTCAGGCGTGCGGCGAGAGGTCTAGTCCGTGCAACGGATCCGCCGCACGGGCTGCCAGAGTAGCTGGTAGGCTGGTAGGTAGGCGCGCGCGCGATTCACGGGTGGGGGCAGCTGAACGCAGCAGAAGAGTAGCCGCGACCCCGGGCTGCCGCACGGTAAACCCCGTCACCCGTGCGCGCCGCCGTACGCCGCCAAGCGCAGGTACGTCCCGATTGGCCAACGCGTACCAACGCGAGCGAACGGAGGCGCAAGCCGCGCGATATCCGCTACCCGCGACGTGCCGACAATGTGCTGCGATACGCTTTTCATCCCCTTCGTTTTTTTAAACCTCGACGCCGCACCACCCCTTTCGTTCTTCGCTTGCGGCATTGAGTCGTGATTGCAGCCCGATCCAATGCGATTACGGCAAATTAGATTCAAAACGACAAAGCATCCTTCATTTCACCAACTTGCTGGTATTGTATGTAACTAAATGAACAAAAACGAAGCAAAATTCGTTCACGTTGCTCAGCCCCTGGATGAGAAGATCTTTTCGTTAAATTTACGATGTTTGCTTCGTTTATCGAACGATCGGTCCCGCACGGTTTGTGACTAATTGGAAAATTGGAAGTCATCGCCGTCGATCGTAATACGCACGTCCGCAGCGCTCACTTCTGGCCTATTTCCGTGCGCCGAACGATGTTTGCACACTTTATTGGACATCATCGCAGGGAATCGTTGATCCGGCGAGCTGATAGACACGGCCCGGCTGCGCGCTGACAGTAAACAATAAAACCTTACTACTTAATTAATTTTTCCCCAACAGGGCGCACAACTAGTGCCCAAACACGGGTCATTCATCATGATGTTGTTACTGCAGTGCACCGCTACGCCGATAATATGAAACAACGCATTGTTTGAACGCAGTGACGAATTCTGATGACGAATGTGTTCCGAAGGCACGCGCGGGCCAGATGAAACGCGCACCGCGGCGGCTTTCAACGCGGATTATTTTACACATCCGGAGAAAATATGAAGTAATTCCCGAGCAATTTGATGTGTTTGCGCTGTGCGGCGAGGAGGAGAGCAATTTGTCGATGCACGGCGCGCATGTTGTTGAAGCTGAGAGACAAAGGACAGGTGTGGCGAGGGCTTCTTGTTCTTCTTCTTCATGAATAATGCAGGCGTTATCGATACACGCCGCGTGCGCGCGCCCGAAAATCCAAAAACATGCAAGGTGCAAACCGATGTGCCAGCGCACGTCTTCCACAAACCCATAGACACATTTCGCTCGCGGATATCTATCTCGGCCAGGTTGTTGTTTTGGGTGCCTTTCTTCGATTTCGCTGCCAGTTTGAAATTTGGCTCGTGCTCCCTGGCTGCGTCGCCATCGGCTCGGTTTTGTTTTATGGGCGCAAGGGCGCGACGAGCAGCGTGATTATCTCCTACGCACTCGGCACCTGTATGCCCTTCAGGTGAACACTCTTCGTTTCGTTTCCAGCCGACTGCTTGAATGTTGCATGTTGCAATTACATGTAGGCGGCCTGCGTACGTTTGCTTTGCTCATAAAAATTCGAAAAAATACCGAAAGACTCGTAAAGCAGCCAACGGCACCCTGCCCAACAGTTAGTTACCTCTTTACAGCCCTTTTTTTATGTCGATGATTTCGTGATTTTCTTGATTTTCCAAAATTCACCAGCGCCTTTTTACAGTTTACCGATTTTTATGTGCGCATTTTTATGCGATGTAAAGGCTACTTACGCCCGTAAGGGTGCACAAGGGTTGTCGTGCGTTTTATTGCATTTTTAGTATACGGACGTATTGAGTTTAAGGGTTGCCGCGGCGCGCTGGATCAACGCTTTTATTACGTTGCATAAAACGTACACTTTTTAGCGTTTCCGTTAAGGTAAGCGCAAAAAACTTTAAAAAAAAAACAGTTTTCATGTAGAAATTCATGCATAAAATACCTACCGAAAAACGAAGAAACAGAAGCATGGGTAACGGTGCCATAAGTGCACACATAAATTAGACGCAGAAAAACAGAAAAGGCGTCACCAGCCATCGATTTAATTCGAACCAAATGTGTGCCAGTTTTCAACATCACTGGCGTAATCTTTAAAGCTTTAATTGTAAGCCATTATATTGCTACCTAAATCTCGCAATAAACTTGTGAAAAAGCCGCGACACATTACCGAGCAATTATATCAGCGTTTCGGGAAAAATGCACACACGAATTTACGATGAGTAGGTAGGTGAGCACGGATCTTGCCGACAAACATGTCACACCGCTAATAACGCGCCCGCGCGACTCATAAAGATAAAAACAATAATAACGCGTTTTAATAAAACCGACAATAAACTCGTCATCCGCATCATCCGTGTCACTCTGGTGTCGCGATTGTGCGGAAAACGATGCGCCCAATTTGCTCCACTTCGGAGGGATTCGATTCCCAAGGTCTTCGGTCGCGTGCATTCGACATTTGGACACACAACAAAAGTCGTCCTTGTGCCTTATGCCGTCGACGAACAATTTGCTACGAGCAGTCGTATAACTATATAATAATAACTATAACTGAGTATAAACATGTAAACATGTAAATGGTGAAAGGAAAGCATGAAAGAGGCAATGAAAGCGCTTCTTCGGCAAGAAAAGTAAGAGTAATAAAAATAAAAGTCGAGCCTAAACCTTGCGCGTGCATAATTGTGGGCCAAGGACGGCGGCCCTACGCCAACGCTGGGCAGGCACACGACCGAATTGCTGCGCATTGTCCCTACTGTATCGCAGAAACTAAGCGTACGGAGAGTTGAGAAAATCGCCGGGAAAAGAATTGCGCTGACGTCGTGATCGCGCGGCGTGGTGTTTTGATCGCGTTTGTCGCATTGCCGATATTGTCGCAAGCGATCAACATCAAACGCGCCGCCCGTTATCAGCCATCATCGGAGTGGCAGGGTGCGTCTAAAGTAGCCGGCGCGATAAGCGCCGACTACAAAAGCGGTGCGCGATGGCAGCGCGGCGAGGAATTGTCACGGCCGGCCTTATTTGCATGCGCGTTAAATAAATAAAGTTGTACAAACAGAAATCATAAATACTGGTTATTATGTTTGTGCAGGTTTGGCGTTGACGGCGCGGAACGCGGAACGCCTGCCCGATCGACGAATTATGCGCTCCCGCACATTGGGAATGCGTCCGCCTCGTGCGAAATTCGGAAAAAAACACGCATCCCATGAACCGTTAAAACATCTCCAAAGTGCTGATAACGCGTGAAAAGCACGTTTGTGTGCAGCAACTGCAGCAGCGATGAAAAAGGCTAGCCATGTGGCGCGCTGCTTTTGCTTTCTCCATGCGTTTTCTGGCTGTCGAACTGAAACCACACACACACTTGAAACTTATCACATCGTTAGCGCCAACGCTGCATATCTGGTGCGCGCTTTATCGTGATCTTTAATAATCGCGTATTAACGCTTTTAACATTTTTCAAGTAGTTCTCGCCACTTTTTAACCCGCTGCGCGGCGAAGATACGCAGACAGACAGTTAAATTTTCATCGGGCACTTGAGACTCGGGCCCGATTTCATGTGAAACCCATTTCTCTACATTTCTAGTGCGCACGATGGATGGAGGAAAAAAAAATGCCCAGAGTGCTCTTCGAGCCTCGGGTGGATTGTAACTTATAACTTGAAATCTGTGGAAATGTTTTTCGAATATTGTTCGTTTTTCAGAACCGGCGTGCGTTAAAATAGCAAACGTGTAAACAAATTAAGGCAGTGAATGCCGTTCGATCATATTGTTGATGTTGTCAACAATTTGACGCACAAAACTCGGGCCGGAATTGTATACGAAGAGTCGGGGTACCATGCTCGGGCATAATGCACCGTAACGAATGCGCCCTCGGAGACTTACATTTTATGGCCCTGAACCAAATAGCTGGCACGCTAGAACGAGAACGAAATTGAACTGTTTGACTCGACTGACCTTCCTTACGAATGGTTAAGACAATTTCTTTATCACTGATATATTTTAACTTAAGTTAGAGAAACATTTGAGAAAGTTTTGAATTGTATGGAGAATAGGAAATTGTAAGAACAATGAGGATGTGCGCATCCGAAAGGCGATTTGCGGGAAATTCAGAATTCTCGTGTTAAGCTGCGCAGCGAGTTTAATCCGGCGCAGTGAAAACGGTAGCTGCTGGATTAAATCGACAGGTTGTACAATTGCATAGGAACAAGCAGACAATGTGATTCGTGTGAATTAACAGCCACCAGCGGGTATTTCCGTCAACCTGCTTAGAATTTCCACGCCTAAGAATGTTCAACACAGGCGCGTGTATTGTGTGCACGAAACGAATTCGAGATTTAGCTTTGATTCTTCACACTTCACGTTCGACGCCTGTCATGGTGTGCTGCCATGTCACCACTACTGTCAATAAACAATGTACGTTATTGGGTCTGAAACGAAAACACATGAAACACCACGAAATCGTTTTGTTTGTTTTCGTGATGCTGGGCTGAATTTTTGTTGAAAGGAGCAGAAAATCAATACGTCGCCGGCGGTCGGCAGCCATTTTCCGCGCGCGCGACGGCCGCCTCCCGGCTGGCGCGATGATACGATGCAAATTGAATTTCGCGTTCGCATTCGCCGGGCGGAGATCAAAGCCGGCGCAAACATGACTTTTTAACGCGCACACGCCGTGATTTGCATGCAATCGCTGTGGCGGCTCAAAGCAACCGTAACGATGTTAAGCGAGTTAATTGTAATCGCTCGCAAAGGGTGCCCGTGCATGAAACGCAATCGTGCCACTCTTAAGAGGGTAGATGCGAGGGTAGATTAGCCTTGGCGCATCATCACGTGCGTTCCGACCGTTTTCGAAACGTGACAGATTGCGATGCAAATTGCTTCGGATCGTTTTCGCATAGTTGGCGTTTTCGCGCGGGCGCAAGTGCGTCGACCGGAAACAGCTAATGAGATGTAAAAATTTACGTATCCTGGTATTCGGCTCATTAGTACGCGCCGAATTGCGCCTGACAACTTGTTGCCAACGACGCCTTTTTTCCCCTGCCATTTGGCGTGTCTCCAAATTAGGGTAGTTTTCAACGCTTAAATCTGGTTCGCATTTAGTGTGAATTTTATTGCGATTTCAGAGCGATCTTTCGGGTATTCGGTAGGCGAATTACGTTAACAAGATTAACCGGCCGACAAGCACGCCGACAATGCTTCGAAAATTGGATTAGTGCTAATATTAGTAAACAGACATGCAATAAAATGCAAATGGCCGCGCGGATAATCCGCATTAGAAGTTTATTACACCCTTTCAGGTCAGCCGCCGCAATTAAAATCAAGGCGTCCGCGCACCCCTCTCAGCACTAATGGCGCGCGGCTTAGACTTCTGGTTAACGCGATTAGCGCGGATTTGCGCCGTTTTACGACGCGCGGCACTTTCATTTGCGAATTGGATTAGGGCGTAGTTTCACTAGTTTTGATGTTTTTAGAGCACATCGGCTTCCAGGGAGGTTGTAAAGCAATCGAGCGTATTGTGTGCGGGCAAAAGCCCGAAAGTCGAAGCCGTAAAGCCAGCGCTGCATAAAATTAGGTCAGAACTTGTGTCAATTTTGGCAAATATCGGTCATAGCGTTGCTGAAACCCAGAAATGTGAGCCGCACGCCCCAGCGGCATTCTGGGTTTTATTTGACTACCGGCGGAGCGAAAACTTCCAGCGCTGCACTTTCTTTGCGCACGCAATAAAAATTCATAAAACTCAATAAACGCTGCGCTTTCGGACGAGCACGACAAACGGCGGCACTTTCAGTAGTTTTATTGCCAGTTCATTACGTTTTATTTCGATTTGAATGCTTCAATACACGGCGCAAGAAGCTGAATGAAGCAAGTCGTGTGCCTGGGGAAATTCATTTCGTGCAAAAATCCTTAAATCTTCGCGGCCATGATGCGTGTTGCGCGAATCGATAGCGACGACCGCCTCCGCGCCACCCTCGTAGCCGCCGCCAATGAAAACATAAAGAAGTTATCAACACGACATTCGTCGAAAAGAAAGTGCAGATATCGTGAAAGATTTGCATTTATTAGATTTGATGCGCGATGTGATCGAAAACGTTCACAATTCACAACAAAGGAGAAACAAACGACTTGTTGACTTGTTGGCGCTGAGTGCAGATAGCCGATAGCGTTTTATCCCGTTGGCACGACATTTGCGGGCAAATAAAAAATGCGTACAAATTTGATTTATGGCACTGCCGGTCGTATTTGCATTGCGCCGTAATTGAACACGGGCGGGCATATGGCGCGACAAATATTGCCAATTAAGTATGTCGCATCGCCCGCACCGAAAATTATATCATCGAGCGTGCGGATTGTGATTGCTGCGCAAACAGCCGCGATCCGTATCGCCGCCAAGCCCCCGAACCTCACCGCACCCCTACGCGCCACTATTTGCATACGGCGAGAGTAGTATTGACACAGCGGAGAAGAGTCAATAGCGCCGAATTGGCTTTTATCGTCACACGCCGCGCACGCCGATATAAACATATCGAGTGCTCATAATTACCACACATCGGCAGCAGCCGGGGATTAGCGATCGACAATCGAAATTACAACTTGCAACACCACCAGGCACAGGCAGGCGCATTTTTACCGGGCGAGATTTTGAGAATTTACCGCACATGCGAAGCCTTTGTTTGCAAATGTTTGCATATTTTAAAAGCGGCGATAAGTGGATTAGCACCGGACACACAAAAAGTTAAACCTTTTTTGGTCGAAAAGGACCGTTGGGGCTCTGGGCGGAGAAACATGTCACAATATTGTCATCTCGTGAGGCCGGGGCCCACCGTGACGGAGATTTGCGAATCTGCAAATCAAGCGCATCGCTCAAGGCAGGCAAATCGCTAAATCTATTGTAGGAAATTTAGCAAAAGCCTATCAATGCGTTTGCCCAGAATTCCCCACGTCGACTTTCGGCCGAAATTAAATCAACACCGAACTCCGTGTGTCGTGTGTTGACTCGAGAATGAAGATTGTGCTGTTTGTGCAGTTCATAGGTTTTAATTAAGTTGGGGCCGATATAGAGCATAATAAGCACCGTGCGCAATAAACATCAACGAACAGTAAACAAATTTATGATTTTACGACGGCCCGCACGAGATGCACGTGCGGTGGTGGCGCGCGGGGGTGAATGTGCATGCTCTACAATCGTCCAAATATAGGTCGGTTCTTCGTCCGGCAGCCGAGCTGAACGAACGCGCAATAAATTCATAAATATTATGTTGTTGTGTTGTTACGCCGCCCGCTCTCGACGCTGCTTCTGACGAAGCACAAACCAATAAAACGCAATAGTGTAATCCCGAAAGTCATTCGAATTCGAACAGGCCCGAACTACTTCAGAGTGGTTGTGCGTGCGCTCGCCTTCGCAGAGTCACAAATCACATTAATTACAATAACTTTTAGCATCGGCGCGCCGAGGGCATAAACATAAATAGTGTGTAACTGGTCGAAAACTCACACTCGTCAGCGAGCGTGCTTTGTGTTGCTGCGAAGGCTTTTTCTATGGCATTATTTTTTTGCTTACGACATTTTATTGCTTACGAGGAAACAAGGCATGATACACTTATGAATCTTGTGAATACAAACAGGCGAGCACAAAAGCAGCACACAAAACAGCCTAATCCCATTCAAATCGTGAACATTAAAGAGTTTCAGGAAGTTTTTGGTTCAGTTTTACGACGTCCACCATTGAAAACGACGTTTATTACTGTTTTAAGATTCACATTTCATCCTTTCCTAATAAAAAATATTTTATTCTCGTTTGAAACATGTTGCGCACTCTAGTGAACAACCTTCAGATATAATCTCAACTAAATGGAACGAAATCTGACATGCAGCGCCATCTGGGCGCAGAACTGTGTACTATAATTCCTGCTAGCGCACAGGTATGCACGTCGCGACGCCACACTCCCACCAGCTACACGCAGTCTGACTGGCAGTCTTCACTGTCAAGCGGGCAGTCCGACCGGCAAGTCATAAAGATCAGTGGCAATAACTGACGTTTGTGTTTAACCTTAAAGTACACGTGACTTTTTCAAATATTCAAAATATTTTCCCCGAATTTTCAGAAGTAACCTGCGCTAAAAATGGTTAACGTCACCGAAGACAAAGTTCAACGCATTGGAGCTGTTCTCTGCGACCCCGAGAGGCCTTTAAAAGAGCGTTTTCGGGCGCTTTTCACCTTGAAAAACATCGGAGGACCGGTCGCTATCAAATGCATAGAGAAAGCCTTCCTAGATTCATCTGCACTTCTCAAGCATGAAGTGGCTTACTGTCTGGGACAAATGCAGGACCCTGTCGCAAATAAAATTCTGGTAACCGTACTCCGCGACAAGCAACAGGAAGCAATTGTCAGGCATGAAGCAGGCAAGTTTAACCCATGGTAAAATTCAAATATAAAATGTTACAATATTTATTCTACAGCTGAAGCATTAGGAGCAATTGCATCTGAAGAATCAACTGAAATCCTACAAGAGTACAGTCAAGATCCCACTATTGAAGTGAAAGAAACATGTGAACTGGCTCTGGAAAGACTTGCCTTCCTGCAAGATGAGAAAAACCCTAAAATTGAACAGAATCCTTATGGTTCTGTTGATCCAGCACCACCACTACCAACAGCAGCTGTTGAAGATTTACACAGGACTCTGTTGGATCCAAATGTTTCACTCTTTCAGAGGTACAGGGCCATGTTCACACTAAGAAACATGCACACCAAAGAAAGTGTGTTAGCTCTGTGTGATGGTCTTAAACATGGCAGTGCCTTGTTCAAGCATGAGGTGGCTTTTGTCCTGGGCCAATTGCAGGATGTAGCAAGTGTGCCTGCACTCAAGGAGTGTCTCTGTGATACCAGTGAGAATGAGATGGTGAGGCATGAGTGTGCTGAGGCACTGGGCGCCATTGCAACTGGAGAATGTTATCAGGTATTGTATGAGTATCTCACAGATGAGAAGAGAGTGGTGAAGGAGAGTTGTGAGATTGCACTGGACATGTGTGAATATGAGAATTCACCTGAGTTTCAATATGCAAACACATTACTCTTGCAGGAGGCTTAAAATGTTTTTTAATACTTTGATTTATGTTCATTAAAAATGATGTTACAAGAATAAAATGCTCATGTGATCTATTTCTATCTAAACATTTAACTTCCTTTTATATTTGCGTATTTAAAATTGGAATGGAGTGGAATTGCTTTGATATATAACAAATATGCGAAGTTTACTCATTTTGTTTTATTTATTGCGGTGTTTTCATATTCATTCCAACTTTATGGCTTTTGTATATATGTAATAATAACAGTTTCTTCTGGATTTAATCGTTTGTTGTTGTATTCATCTGCTTTATCAGTTTTTGGAAAACAAGTAGTTAAATGTTTACAGTAAGATCATTTGCGTAGTTCCTTAAACTTGACACTCGACAGTGACTGAAACGCTGGTAGCCTTCAACGGAAAAATCGAATATGGGCAAATAAATGAGTTCATATATTTTGTTTACATCGTTATCTTTGAATAATATCGTATAACTGCGGTTGCTTATTCAACTTTATGGACCATTTATGAAATGCGTTTGCTTGTTTGCTCACAAAAGTAATAAGCTAGTCGGTAGCCTGATCGTCTAGATTATTTTAAAGCAGCTATGATATCGAGGAAGCAAATGCGATCGATGTAATCAATTAAATAAACATGCAATTAGTGTGTTGTTCGCCGCTGAATTATTGTGCTTCATTAGCGTCCAATGCATCCAATTACAAAAATTGGCTGGTCTAGCATTTCGTTTCATATTACGCAGACATATTGTGTATACAAAGTGTTAATAATATTAATGTGCACGATTAGAATGTGGTTTGATAAATAAAGCGCGCGCAAAGCGATAACACTTTAAACAATGCACAACATGCTTTCCACGATCGAGAAATTCTTTTTGTTATCGATGAATTGACGCCGTTGCTAATTTCATGTTGAGTAACATATTGAGCAACATTTTTTGGTGATTAATATGATATTTTATGCTATGCGGATACGACACGTGCCATTTAAACAGATTGTATAGCTCGCGTGTGAGCAACAAAACGAATTGCGTGCGCTCATCATGAGATCGCATCAGAGATCGTGGTGAACGAGAGGATTGCCCATACGGTCGAGGCCAGCCTCACTGGTCGGCAATCCTGTGTCCCCACACGCGGTCTGCTCACGAAATTCCGAATATAACAATTCTTTCGGAGTATTCCGTGTGTCGTGTGTGTGCGGCTCGCAATTGTGCCTATAGCGCGCGCGGCACAAAAAACCCATTTGTACAGCAAAACAAATGCACAATATTGGCAAACATTAAGGAAACGCGCGTCGATCGGAGCATACCGTGCAGTGCAAGGTAGTGCATTGCATTGCATAGTGCCAAGCGCCGCGAATTTCGCGGGGTCCATTCATCCGCTAGCAACTGATCAGCCGAGACGACGCCGAAATGGATCGAGATGAGCAGTGATCATCGCCAGCGCAGTGAGCATTGTCACCCCGTAGCGAAGGGGCTTTGTCATCGGCAAGACGAGGGAAAGCAGGTAAAAATATTACGCCATTAGGGCACCTCGTCAATCCGGCGGGTACCAGCCTTGGATTCCTATGTGCGTGCGTGTCATTAGATAAGGCACGATGTTGTTTTCATTGTCGATCGCATTTAATTACGATAATTTCGGCAGAATTTAGTTGTTATCGAAAAACATTATCGTCGTGCATAATGCATGAAAAGTCGTTATTTGTAAAGCGTGCATTTCAAATACTAATTATAATAGTTTATTGTAAATTCGCAATTTGCAAATCGTTATTCATGCAACGTCAAACAAAACCCAAAGTCAAGGAGAACATGTAATTTTGTTCAAACTGTAATTTACTAACGAGGATTTTGAACTTTGAAGCTCTTGAACTTTGGACGCATTTAAAAATACCTGGGTAACTCCATCATCCGATTGCCAAAAAGTTACGCAATGATTTTATCAGGTTTACGAACTCAAGCTGTTTTTTTGGGCAACTTGGCAGAGGACGCCATCATTCTTCATTTGCATATAGCACGAGAGAAAAATTCTAGCGTGTTTTTTGTAGTTGTTGATGTAATAATTACATACGACTTAGTTGAGCTATTCTTACGCCAATAAAATGTGGTGCCAAATCAACATTGATCATTGCATTCGTAAAAATTGGGCCAATTGCCACGAGAGCAAACTGGTAACAAGCTCTATAAACACAATCAAAGTTTGTTGAACACAAACACGAGCGCAGCGCGGCAGACGCGCTTCAATTGAGACTAATTAGCGGCGCTTGTGTTTCAGATAAATTTCAATTTGCAGCAGGAGCTTAACAGCTAAGCCTTTTACAACGCAAAGATGAGCCTGCTTGCTGATAAGCACCGCCGGAACCCGACGCCGACCATCGTGGCACTGCAGGTGCCCACGAACGGCGATACCGCGCGAGTGTACGTTTTCGACAACGACGAGAAGAATCCGCAGGACCATATGGCCATGGCCCGGCGAAAAGACCTCTTTCATTGTCTATGCAGTGAGTAGTACGCGGGAGAAACACCAGGGTACAGCATTACTACATTACCACAACGTGTGTTTTTCCGCCAGGCATGTTCGCGACGTTCTCGTTTGGAATCATGTTGGGATGGCCCGCGTCTACGTATCCAAATCTATTGGACCCCATCTACACGACCTATCCGTTTGACCCACAAGGAAACTTCACCATTCCCAGCAATCCGGACGCGCCACTTCCGCAGCCATTTCTGGTCACATTCGTGCAGAGTCCTTTGATTGCTGGTCTGCTCATGGTAGGCGTCATCGTGGCCACACCGTTCTCCTCGCACCCATATACCATCTATTCCATCAAACACGGTTTGCTCATTACACTGCTGGCGATGGTCCTGGGATGGTTCGTCATGTGGCAGGCCTCAAACATCTTCCATCTCATGATCAGCAGGTTTATCATCGGTCTGGCGAATGGTTATGCAGTTGGGCAGATCAAAGTTTACATTCAACATTCCTCGCTTGCGCCCAGATCGAAAAGCCTGATGAGCAAAATGCTCAATATTATGATGCTCGCAGGTGTCACGTGCGCGTACGTTATGGGTATCTGGTTAGACTTCGAAGGGTTCTCCATTGGCGCATTGGTGATAACAACCGCCTTCTATATCCTGACTTATTTCTTGCCATTAGGTGACTTGGGTGATAGTAAAATACAATTTATTGAACGTGTGCCCGAACGAGTTGAACCGGGCGGGTACCGTGTGGGCGACGGTATTCTAACACTCTTCAGAACTCCGCATCTGAAGCGGTCTACATGGTTGTTGGTTATCGTCACATTCATTCAACAGTTTTCGGGAGCTCCCGCCACGATTGTTTACTCGCAGGTGCTCCTGCTAAACATGGGGCTACCCCCACCTTCCGTTCCCTATTGTGCGGTAATATATCTCCTCTGTTACATACTCGCATATGTATTGGGTCTATTCTATTTCTGCACGTTGTCATATACGAAGAAGCGTGCCTTGCTTCTATTTTCGATGGTGACCAGTATTTTGGCATTGGTACTTATAATAATGATACTCCATTTGGACCTTCGTCAGACACACGTATACATTCCACTGGTGGGCATGTGCTTGTTCATATTCTTCTATGGTATTGGCCTTGGTAGTATTCCACCAAGTTTCGTCGAACACCTGTTCGACCCGCAATGGAGAAATTGCGCTGGAGAGTTACAATTGTTGTGCTTCTCTCTATTCGCCATCATTATAACCAAGCTCCTGCAGGTCTTCATCGGGGAATTTCCTTTGGAGTACGCGTTCGTCCTATATACATGCGTTGCCACCGCAGGGATACCATTTGTCCTGCTATGCCTTCCCAAAAAGCCCCCACATTGAACAAATTCATCATTGGTACTTAGAAAATCCGCCATTACAGGAAACCGAGATCTTTACCCAGTGCACCCACTCAAATGCAACAAGTGCAAAGAGTCTCGCATACATATTTATGACCAGTATTACAACCCAGCGATATTAATTCTAGTGTGTGATTGATTGTATCATAATAAACTAATTGCAATATTGATCAGCTAGCGTTAATTACTAATTCGATCAGGTACCAGCCGCGTACGGCATGTGCGATCGTGGCTATCCGTCCGCGGCGGTAATTGGAAGATTGCGTGCGACTCCTGCGCGCGACCAGAATGAGAAACTCCTAATCGCTCCTAATGGAATTAGGTAAATGCTGAGTGACAACTAGCGATGGTTACAATGAAGGCTATTATTATTGCTGCGTCGCCGAGACGGGCGCCGCTCGGGCGCTAGAAGAAGAGAGGCGTCCGCGCTCGCGGCACGAATGCATTAAGCGTCGGCGGTGCGTCGCTCGTCGCTCCTTATCTATTCCTCTTCCCTTTGACCACTCGACCTACGGGAGGGGGCCGATCGTCGAAAAATACAAAACCCGCGCACCGACCGCCAGCTAGCATATTTGAGTCGTGACGAGCCGGTCGCACACATCCAAAGAAGGTTTTTCAATTTCCAACCACCAACGAAGTGTCCCATATATCATGGCTGACCATACTTGCAAACTGGGTCGTGCCCCCGAGGAGACTCCATTCGGCGACGATGAGGTAAGCCGTGTTTATCTTGCTCTTGTTTTCGCCGACTTTTTATCGTTGATTGACACTTGACCTGCGCTTCTGGATAGCAAATCGTGCGTCAAGCGGCAGTTAAGCGCGTCTTGTTTTTGTTGTTTTTTTTTTTGACGCGCGCACCGAAGAATATTTCGGGAATGTATTGATAGCGGCGTGGGCTACTGTACAATGATCACGTCCGCACTGCTGATAATAAGCGGTGAAGTGCGATAAACTAATATATACTCAGATAAAATATTATGTAATATTTGTGTATCTATTTCAATAACGGTTGGTAATTTATTTGATTGTGTGACTCAAATGACTGCTTTTGCTTTCTTTTGAGTGCCACTTGTTGGGCGATCATTAAACAAACACAACTCGCATAAATCTTGTTGTTCAATGAATATTATTATTTCTTTGAATGCGGCGACTTGACCATGACCGGCCACTTGCAAACTACAATTAATCTAAACGTAGCAACATGTTTGTTATTACTTCCAGAATTCCGATTGCACATTAGAGCAGTTCTGACATGGTAACAAATGAGTATATAAATACATATGTATAGAAATTGCGCACCATTGTGTGAGAAACATCACAAAAGCATTTCGGCGTGTCTTGATTATGAGTGCATAAAATTTAATTTTAGAATTTTATTGCGTGCAACGTGACGCAATCGACGCGATTTTTCGTTGAATTTGTTTGTGTTGGCTGACAGTGTAATTGATTTTAACAGCCGACACTGGGATTAACTCCGGAGGAGAAGAAGCTCATCGGCGGCTCATGGGAACTGGTCAAGCAGGATCTGGCAGGCAACGGAGTGGTCGTTCTCCTAACGTAAGACCCACAATTATCATTTTTTTTTGGCCTTTCTAATGATGCATGTGGTCTATTTAAATCAATTTCTATGTTCACTGAACTGTCGATTTTGAATTCCAGTTTCTTCCGTGATTACCCGGATAACTTGCAATACTTTCCGTTCGCTGACAAGTCCGTTGATCAATTGGCACAGGAGCCGGTCCTGAAGTCGCACGCGATTCGTGTCATGCGTGATCTTACCTACTGCATTGACAATATTCAGAAACCGGAAACCGTAATGCATGCTCTCAGGCAGAATGCTCTCAACCATCGCAAGCGCAACATCCACAGCAGTTCGTACGATGTAAGTTAAGCATACCAAGTGTTGGTATGTGGTACCTTATTGGTTTGTGTTTGCAGGAATTGCGCGAGTCCATTCTGAAGGCCCTTGGGAACCAACTTGGCGCGGAAATCTTCACTGACACCGCGCGCGCCACCTGGGACAAGGCTCTGCGTACCATCTTCGCCGCCATTGTGGGCATCATGAACGACGGCAAGTGCTACTGCCCGAAGTAAACGACACAATACTCAGCACACCAGCAAGCAGCTCGTAGATTTAGTCAAACTTATATGAATATCCAGCTGCCTCTGCTTTACGTTTCTACATTGTTTTCACTATGCACCTTAATTTACACATTATAAAAATAATAATAATAAAAAAACATAGTATTTTTGACGTTTGACTTGACAGCATAAAAATCCAAGCGTTTCATTTTCTGCTCGGCACGAGTAAATTCGAAATTAGTGTGTGTGTGTGCAGAGGAGTGTTATCAAATGGGTAACACAGCAGGAAAGAAGGCCACGTTCGGCCTGACTCCACAGGAGAAGAAAATCATTCGCGAGACTTGGAAAATCGTCAAAAAAGATCTCGGCCGAAATGGGCTGGTTGTATTCGTGATGTATAACCTAATTATAATGAAATTCTATTCCATTTGTAAATATTACCATCAATATCCCATAGATTCTTCCGGGACTACCCTCACAATTTGAAATACTTCCCTTTTAACATCGAGAATCTCGATGATTTGGAACGCGAGCCCTTGGTGAAGCTGCACGCATTGCGCGTGATGCGTGAGTTGAACTACTGTGTGGAAAACATGGATAAACCCGAGAGTCTTCTCTACGCCCTGCGACAGAATGCTCTGAACCACCGGAAGCGCGCAATCCATCGCGCTGCTTACGACGTATTACCATTCCCTTACTAACCTTATCAATCGATACATATTGCTTATCATTATCTACAGGAGCTGCGCTTATCTATGCTCAAAGCCCTGGGCCACCAGTTGGGTACCCAGAAGTTCAAGCCGGAAGCAGATATGGCCTGGGACAAAGCACTGCGCGTCCTCTTTCAGGTCATCACCGATATCAACGACGAGAAGAAGTGCATCTGCCCGCCGCCGTCGCGTGCCCAACACGCTCCTACTGACCCGAATGCTGCTGGTACCTCAAAGAAGTCCAAGTAAAGCCACCAAAAGAAACAGGAGATTTTTGATTTAATTTTTTCCGACTATGTACAATAAATCAATTGCGTAATTTTCGTGTGAGGTGTTAGTGTGATTTGATGGCGGCCATCCAGACTTTGACGTATTTGGAATCATTGGAGAAAGTGTCACCATATCGGTATTTGCGGCCGGGGACATGTCCCCCGTAATGGGGCGGCAGCCCTATGTTACTGAGAAAGATCTGCTGAGGTTGATTGGAAATCGGGGCCGGGTGTTTTGCGCGAGCGTTTGGTGACCACGCGTTGGAGAGACGGCCCCGGTAGCCGGCGAGGAAATGATTCTGTCTAGCGTTGGTAGGTCTGATGTCCACTTTCCCGATGCTCGAGAAGTATAGGTTTGCATGCTGATTGTATGCTGTAAAGGTACGAAATTATAAAATGGCGGACCTAGGGGTAGGTATGAAGTGTCTTACTGTAGAGGTGGGCGCTACAATAGGTAATTTCCAACCCGCGAGGCATTTTTGATATAAAGGAATTAAAAAAGTGTTCAAAAATATTTAATATGTTAAAAATTTAACTGTATTCGTTTGACAACTTTAAAAATATTGAATTAACTGACGGTAACTGCGCTGTATATTTGGTTGCCTAGCATCAATCTCTCTATAGGAATTCTTGAATTTGTTTTTGCTGGTATTCTACTCTGTTTACAGATGAATCTACTGAATATGTATATAATTCCAATATGAAAGATAGAAAGGAATTATGAACAAATCGTTGATCGTTATTACCATTTATGATTCTTAAGATGTATGTTTTGGTGGTAAGAATGAGTCTTTATTAAAGCCCTTAATACTAAAATACAAATTCGTTGCGAATGAAGGTACCATTGAAAGATTTCGGTCCATTGTATGAAAAATTGATTTCGCACGAGCGCGGGTTGGAGGCTGGGCCCGACGCAACACACAGTATTCAGTTTTTATCTCCGCACGGTCGGGTCCGGCAGTAGTAGGTAGCTGAGAGGCTGCAGGTGCCACCTGAGTAGACAAAGCGCGGCGGATCGCTGCGCGAGAGAGCCGACCACAACTGGTTTAAGTTAAGCGCGTCGACGCGGTACGCGCGGCGGGGCTTAAACGCGTCGCGGTTGAACCGCGCACTACCTGTTGTTCTCAGTCCGATGCAAGCACGACTTAAGCGCGCACGTACGCCGACGCACATCGCTCCCGCACACCAGCAGTCAGTCAGTCCGAAATTAAAACAAACAAAGCGCGCCCGCCGAGTCCAATGGGACCGGCCGTTGAACGCGGCGCGCACCCTAGTTGACCGCGCGAGTGCCCGACCACCAGCATCCGCGAGTGATGTGATTCTCCGACTGGTGCCTCCGTGGATTATCAACGCAATCATCATCCGAACCCCCGACTGAGGTAAGTTAAGTCACTTGCGCTGCCGCGCTGCGCGCACGGCTAAGCTGGATCGGCGATGGGTCGTAAACGCTTGCGACATTCGGTGGCGTCCCTTATCTGCGGGCGCCTTACGCAATTCGGGGCAATTTAAGTCTTATCGAATTATGTGCTGCCGGAGCGCACCGTGTGCGATGTTGCCACGCGTGTGGCGAACGCGCGCCGCGGTTCTTTCTTTCTTCGGCGGAGTGCTCCGCGTCTTCTTGTTGCTCTCGCGTTCTCTTCGCCGTACCGCGGCAGCCATTTTGTTACTATTCTAGCTACTTCCACGGAGGCAGGTAGAGAGGTCATTTGCATTTTGCATATTTTAAGCTACCACTTTTCGTGTGCGCTTTGTGTTCCGTCTGCTGGCTTCTACGCGTAATTTGCATTTCACTACAGAATCACCGCAGAATCATGCAAGAGCCAAATACACCTGCAAACGTAAACGAGTAAACAAAACAGTTTTTTTTTCGTTCCTTCATGCATGAACAAGTTAAGTCACTCACAGCCAGTCAAGAGCAAGCCACACGAACACAGGAGCGCATAGCGAACGCGCGACGGGTGCTTTTTTACGGTTGATCGTTTTTTTTTTGTCTTCTGTTGTATAATATGTGTATCAGCATATATTATAATGACCGTCTTCGGGTGCACGGCACGCCGTGGAAGGAAGACACCGATAGAGAAAAAGCGCTGAGCAGCAGCGCGCGAAACAGGTTTCTCGGTTTCGATCCCGAACCGGATTCTTTAATTAGATCTACTTTAACGACGACTACTACTACCAGCACGTAATTAAAATTATTCTCGTGTTATAAAATGTTTCTCGCTCCGGTCGCGAGCGCGGCCGAGGAGAGTCAACGCGCGAGCGAATCCGGCAGGATCGAAGAAGGCTGAAAACGGGTTTGCCGTGTTTGCTCGCGCGTGTTGACTCTGGCTCGCCGAGCAAACGGACGCGGTGAGGCTGTGTGTAGCTGTACGATGGACGTTTTCTAGGTGGACACCACGCCGGCCACCGCGAAAGGGAAGATGAGCCACCATCGTGAGTCCAGTGCGTTCGTGCCGGTAGTGCCGACGCGCAACATGCACCCGATGCTCTTCCCCGGCGAGCTGCACGCGCATGCCTTGAGGCCGAGCGCCGCCGGCGGCGCACCAGAATCTCCTTCGGCGACGAAACCCGCCAAGGCGGTGCCCGCCTCCGCTGAGATCATGGCGATGATGGCAGACAAACGTAAGGAGCTGGCGTTCCGGGAGGCGCTGATGTTACCAGCCGGCGCACAGCCGCACCCAGGGTACCCTGGCTTCCTTCCCGGCGGTAATTTTGCTTTTCCTGGTAATGCCGCCGGATTCATCGGTCCCCCGAATGTGGGCATGCATGCACACCTCGACCGGCGACTACTACGTGCTCCTGGGAGAGCATCCCGTCCTAAGAAGCAATTCATCTGCAAATTCTGCAATCGCCAGTTTACCAAAAGCTACAATCTGTTGATCCATGAACGTACGCACACCGACGAGCGGCCGTATTCCTGTGACATCTGCGGCAAGGCATTCCGGCGACAGGATCACCTTCGAGACCATAGGTAAGTCACCAAAGAATCAAACAATAAAAAAATTATTATTTCAACCTCGTAATCATCGCTCATATTGCTCGCAAATATAGACATAGCGTTTGCTTTAGTCATTAGTGCGCGCACATTCGAAGAATACCAAAGCGGGCCGGGATTTTCCATTCCACATCGGATTCTTTCTGCATTCAGAACTCTCTTTGTATGTTATTTACAAAGTTTCGGTACGCGCGCTACGTGATACAGATTTCGTTTATTGATACTACTCACTTCTCGCTAAATTACGGTTACGCTTCGAAACGTTTTTCTATTGTGACGCCCACACCTCAATTCGGGGCCTCGCGGTTCGCTTTAATATTTGCTCGAAAACCGCAGAATAATTACATAACGCGCTGCTTTCTATGAATCTGTGGCTCCGTCCACCGTCAAATTCGGTGATCCAGAGCTCCAAATCGAATCAATGTGCGCGCCGCGATCGTTTCGTTGCGGTTTTGGAAAGTTCATTGCTTTATATAACATTCACTTCACGCAGCGGACGCTCGGACTTTTTAATTTATTGTGTGCGTTTGCCGAAATCTATTGCAATGCGGCTCATGTCTTCAATACTCCGACATGGTGCTTATTTTATTGCTGAGCTTACCTCAGCCACTCGGATTGCTTGCCTGCTTTACGACCTGCATTAGTTCTCGAACGACTTAAAAACCTGTCCGGCTGCAATCTTCGCGCGGCTCATATCGAGATCACTCCTCGCGAGGCTTTATTAATTAATCCACATGCTCAACGCGGTGTGTGCCGTCTCGCAGCCGAGATTCGAAGCTAATCCCAGGTCGGGCGGCGCGCTGCCAGCAGGAATTTAAAGAAGTCGAGAATTTCGAGCGACGAGGAGACGCACGTGCAGCCGCGCGCGCGGTCTCTCTTCTCGTCGTCTCTTCGCGCGGCCGTCTCTCGAGGCATGAAACTAATTTTAAGCTTTAATTCGAACACCGAGCGGCGCAGGAGACGCCGCGACCGGTCGCCGCTCGCAGTACGAGTAAAATATGTGAGGATGGAGATGAAGGATGAAGATTATAAATCTAGATTTACAATCTTGTTTTATAATCTTCCACCATGCGATGCATTAATAGGAGTACCTGTGACGAGCGTCATGGTCCACGGTCATAACCGTAGGTACCACAGGGTACCTTGTGTGCGAATGCATTCCGCGTAATTATTTTTTATTATGGAACCCGTGTTGTTATAATTTCAGTCGTTTGCCATTTCTACGCATTGTTTTCTTCTTTGTTGCGTTTACGTCAACACCCTGTAGGTGTAGTGCAGAGCTTTACATCTATTCCGAGTTAGAATATTAATGTCAGTCGCAGCAAGAAGTAGAAGTAGAAGCAAACGCGCGCCGCCGAGAAGTAAAAAGTAATGAAATAAGTTCACGGTCCAACAGTTGTTCGGTATCGAACCTGGCACAGGTTCTACGCGGAGAGCTCGGAACGTCACCGATGTGTTCATGCTGGCTGCACGCTAGCGTTCGGTTCAGTAACTCTTCTCCGGCTAGTATTGCGCACGTCTAGCTTAGCATCGCGTCTTCGTCCAGCGCTAAACCAGTTCTGCGCCGTCTTCATCGTTCTCGACGGCGATGCACTTGCTTCTTCAGCTGGCCGTGGCCCAGCCGTATTGCGTCTGGCAGAAATGATTCCAACTTTGGCGGAAAACATCGCGAGCTCCTTCCGGTGCACCTGCAATTCGGCAATTATTGCCCCCCAATATTCTCGCACTACCTGTCTTGCGAGGCCTTTGTTCGCAGGTCGCAGAGACAAGTAGCCGAGGCGCAAGTGGAGTAGCTCGATGGATACGTGTAAAACACGTCTCGACTTCCGGTTCGGCGTTCTGCTTTGTTACGCGCGTCGCCGAGAAATTATGGTAGCGTATCGCGATTAAGCACAACAATGAAAACACGGCGTAAATTAGCTTGTAGTTGGTTCCCAGCGTGGTGTTTTTGCATTTCGAGCACATTTCGAAATCGAAAATTCGAGCGTCATTAGCGCGCCGCTTCGATTTTTTATTCCTTCCTCCGATAGCAGCAATGGTTTTTTATCCCCGGCTTTCCTCGAGAGCGCTGCCAGCGCTCCGAACTCGTATACCTTGAGTAATAATAAACGTGTTCGGTTAATTAACTCCGCTTCGTACTTACATAGTAGTAGAAGAAGCATGAGAAGCGGTCGGCGTTGATGAAGAAGAAGAAGACGAAGAAGAAGACCAAGGCGAATACCGCGCGCGCCATGGCCGCAGTCGCGGAACCAGTTTTTTCGTCCTTCTTCATCTCGTGCACGGGACGAAAACGGCGGATCGCCGCTGCCCGCGCCGCGCGTTCGAATCTCGGCATCGAAACGCTGACGGGCTTCCAGTCGTTTTGCTCTCGTTTCGTAACTTCTGGTGTGGTCGTTGGACCAACTGCGCTCCGCCGCAGCGCGACGGAGAAACTCCGATCGTATCTGCGCCCGAATGCGCTCGCATGCGTGCACGTGTGAGCGTGTGTTGGTGCTCCGGTTTAATACGCCGAGGAATGCAGTCGCTCCGTCTCTTGGTTTCTTTCCTAGCGCGATATTAACATACAGGGATCATAATAAGTATCACTTTGTTCACGTCACATGGCATGACGGGGCTTGAAACATGAGTGGATTGGAAGAGGGCGACGACTCATATCGTTGATTTCCCATTTCAGATATATCCATAGTAAAGAAAAGCCATTCAAATGTACGGAATGCGGCAAGGGTTTCTGCCAGTCCCGCACCCTTGCCGTGCACAAAATCCTGCACATGGAGGAGTCGCCGCACAAGTGCCCAGTCTGCTCGCGGTCCTTCAATCAGCGCTCCAATCTGAAGACGCATTTACTCACTCACACGGACCACAAACCGTACGAGTGCAATTCCTGCGGGAAGGTCTTCCGACGCAATTGCGACCTGCGAAGACATGCGCTCACGCACGCTGTGGGAGATGTCCCTGCCGATGGCCTCGGTGATGGTTACATCCCCAATGATGGTGAGGCACTTTCGCCCGCTGACGATGCGGAGCACAGCGATCATCGCGAGCGCACCCAGTGCCATGAACCGAGTTCATCGAACAGTCCGTACACAATGCGTCCGGGTCGTGATCGCATGGAGCAACGACGCAGTGCATTTGAAGAAGATGACGACGAGGATGAACTTGATGAGGAAGAAGACACCGAAATAGATCCCGGCCAGGAGGAGGTAAGTCTCGCGCTGGTAAAGGATGAAGAGCGTGTGGAAAAGATACCACCATCTGTGAAAGAAGAAATACGTAAGGAACCCCAGCTGCAGATCCGACGTGATCTGCTCGCACCCAAGATGCCAGGCATGCCCGCAACTGGCAGTTTCCTAGGACCATTCCGAAAGCGTCCTCTGGATGACCTGCCACGCCTACCATCAAATCTATCCAAATACGACACGTTATCTTCGCACCAATCGCATTCCCATGCACATTCCTTGGTCTTGCCCAGTAGTCCCACCGTCCTGAAGGCACCGGACGTCTTCCCGTCCACATCTACAATGGTGGGCCTGGGTACACCACCTTTTGCACCCATGCTTGGTGGTGGGCCAACGCAAGGTGTACTGAATCTCGCCGGCAGTAGCAAGAACTCCGTCTATAAGGAACAAAGTGTCGCCAATGACCTTAGCATGAAGAAAGAAGAACGGCCGAATGCGCCACCACCGACATTGATACAACCGCCACCGCCACAGCCGCCGCCACAGCAGCAGCCGCCCAAAAAGACTGGTTTCACCATCGCCGACATCATGGGTCGATAGTGGGACATCTTCACTCACATCAATCGTACTAAATTAAGTTTTAAATGAGTTTCAAACAAGCATAGCGCAAATGGCTGTAAATAATGCTCAATCGAATATCGTCAGACAATTCCGTGCCACGCGGACCGACCGTCGCCAGGTTTAGCACTTGTTATAAATTAATTCCTAAATATTAACGCGTAATTATTTAATAAGAGAGGAAAGAGGGACCACAACTCGCAATTTTAAATGTATATATTTATTCTATTTAGCGAATAGGAAGACACGCACTTCTGACGTCAGCTGATGCGAAGATGTACACGTACAACGAAAAAAATGTATTATTATTGTTTAATTATTGTATTTATGTTTAAGTTTCGCTAGATTTATTATTTTATTAGCAGTTACTCTCGGAAAATGAAGGAGTTTACGTTTAGGATCTCATCATTTTTACAAAATGCAATCTTTCGATTTTGCGGCGCACTTTTTACATTATTTAAGTATTAAAAATTATATCTATGCTAAGAAAATTTTATATTGTATGCTACCGTAAGCGATGAAATTGTAAGTGTTTTTTATAAATGAGTTTTTTGCTATATATTATATTATTTATATAATATAATTTACATACAATAAATTTTATCGGAATGATTATGATGGAAACTCGGAGATCAGAAGAAGTAGAACTGTAGGCGCTTAGGTTTTGATTGCTTTATTGTTAAACTATTTGTAAAGAGTATACATTAGTCGACCTCGAGCCTGTCCTCAAACACAGTAACATCATGATCCATTTTAATTTGAATGGCGCATAAACTCATCTGCTTCGTTTCTGGCGGAATGAACCAGCCGAAGAATCCGCACGCCACCGCCACGAAAAAGAACACCAGTGGTGGTATGGCGTAGTGCAGGAAGAGCTGCGTATAGAAGCTTGTGACTGGGAAAACCGCCTTTGCCAGAAAGTAGAAGAACAAGCAGAATGACACGGAGGGCGCTCGAATTGAATACGGCATCAACTCGCTCATGTACACAATTGGGATAAAGTCCCAGCCCAGATAGAAGAAGAAGACGAGGAGTTGGCGCATGATGGTGACAGTGGAGTCACGGTAAGCATAACCATCACAGTACATCGCAAAAATCACCAGATAGAATAAGGCAACACCAATTGATGAGATCAACAGCAGGACTTTACGTCCGTACCTGTCGATTACAAATAGATTGATGATGAACGCCACCAGGACAATGACGATCTGTATGAAGAACACGCCGGTTTTTTCGCCGTCTGCGAAGAAGTAGAGGTTGATGCCCAAGTGGCAGGATATGAACAGTCCCTGCGACAGGAGCAGCATACCCAAGATGGTGACGGTGCGATGTAGGAAGTCTACATTCAGATCGGTCATGTGCAACGCGAATGAAAGGCAGTTCAACTCGTCGCGTGGATATGCGGATACCTCCAGACTAATTTCACGAATTTCACTGCCCCACTGATCCGCGTGATGACATCGATGCAGGGTGTACATGGCATCGTAGAAGTGGTCCCTTGCAAAGTCATAGTAGGCTGTCTCCGGAGCGAACCAGAACTTCATGATGAAGAACACCACTCCGAATAGAATGTCAATGATAAGCAAAGGCGTAAATGTGTAGGAATTGGGGGCGGCGATGATTCCAATTGCAATTAAACATCCCAACGCGGCCAGGATAACACCACGATGGCGCCGGTAAGACAACTCTGCGATGTAGATGGGTACCACTTGGTAATATGCTCCCACGGATATACCAGCAAGGACACGGAAGATGCATGTCACCAAGAGATTACTAGTAATAAGGCGAATGATCACAGCCAGGTAGAGGAACCAGAAGAAGGCCCACAGACAAACATGCCGCCCTTTTCGGTCCATGACGATCGAAGCGATGATGGCGCCCAACATGGCACCAATATGCAGGAAGGGTACCGAGAGGAGGTTGGAGTCATTCTTCAACATGTATGCGTGCTCCCATCCAAGGAGGGTACCAACAGTAAAACCAGGAAACATCACTGGAACAAATCAGGAAATATTTAGAAGCAGGATATTTAGGAGCTACCACCATCTTGGTACCTGTCGCCACGGATGCATAAAAGTACGAAGTCTGCCCACGTCTGTTTTTGCGCCTTCCGCAAAGTATCGTCCATTTTCGTTTTCGCTTCCTTGTTTTTTTCTTAGGAGTCTCAGGAGGTGGCTGTTCCTCATTTTCAGATTCCGCCATTTTCTTCACGTCCACACATTACACTACTATGCAATGTAGAATATTTTCGTTATTAAAATGTCATGTATCATTGTCATTGTCAACAGTTTGTGTTTGTGACAGACTGCATCGCATTGTTACAGATTGCGTTAGTCACCCTCGCAGGTGATACGGTGCAGCACGTGTGCTTCGAGGCGAGCGACTGTGGCTACACACGAAGTTCAATGCAAAACTCATAACTAACGTCAATTAAAGTGTTGTTTATTGTTAGTGTAGTTGATTAAAAAGGTGACGGCCATGTTAAGTAAGGCATAAAAGTGCAATTTGCATAAATACGGCGTAAACATGGAATGCCACGGCGTGGAATTTCGAAAATGTCGCTGTTTACCGAAGCCGCAATCGCCATTGTTTTAATTGCGAGAAAATGCGCAACAAACAAACAAATTTATTACGCGCGATTAATGACTGCGCCGCACAGTGCGACGATACGGTTCTATTTGTGTATAATTACGTGATCGCATTATCTCGAAAAACAAAAACGCGTGTTTACAAACAAAGCGAGTGACAAATGCTGTCAGGAAAGAGGAAAGGGAAGCGAAACAAACAAGTCGTTAATCCGATGCCGCGCAGGTGAGCCGCTGATAACGAGCGATGACTAACAATTACAATTTAATAAAGTATTAAAATTAAAATTACAAAAATCGTTTGTAGTCCAAGACAGAAAACAGAAGAGTCTAAATATTAGACACGATTTGCATGATTACAGACAGCGTGTTCAAAATTTCATTGTCGTGATGTGTTCGTTGTTGTTGGAGCGTTGTCGAAGCGGTTCACATGTCCATCTGGAATTGCGCGTCGTCGTCCTCGTGCGTGGACGAGACAGACGCCAGAGGACTCCTCGCCGGACGCTGCTTCTTGGCGGTGACTGGGTGCTGCTTGTAGGACTTGCCGCCGGAGTTGGGCGATGGCGGTGATCCACGCAGCAATCCTTCGGGAATGTCAAACTTGGTAGGAGACGTCTTTGAGATCGGCGACTGGCTCAGTTTCAGGAGGAAAGCCCGCTCGTAGACGATACGCGAACCTGCAAAAACCAAGCGCGGCGTAAATTAAATTGCGTCGCATGGCGCGGAGAGCCGGGCGCGATCGCGTCATCGCGCGTATCGTAAACATGCTCAAGGACGCGCCGTGCGCTGCCTCCACGTTTCCAGCCGACCAAAACATTGCGCGCATGTTGCGAAGGCGCCAGGATCAACTCTCAACTCACCTCCGGGCGTGGTGGAGTAGAGGGTGCCGCCCGGCGTCGAGCTGTAGTCGGCGGGCATGTCGCCTGGGTCGGTGATGACCACGCGCTTTGTGGGGATGATACGGTTCTCCGTTACCTGGCGTGCCATTGGGGAGGCTGACATGTTGTTGCTGGTAGGCTGGTAGCTGTTGAATTGTCAAGGGTTCGGGCTACTGGTTCGGCGTGGCCGCGCGCTTTTTGGAGCTCGAAGCTTGGAAAAATACTGTGTGTCGGCAGTGACCTCGTTCTCGCGCTGGTTGGAGCGAGCTAATAATACGCGCGCGGTCGCGGTGCTCGTCGTGGATGGCGAACGTTGACTGCGGCGCACGCGGCAGGCGACACGCGCAGCCGATTCGGTTTCTGCTGGCCTGCCGCGTCTCGCCTGCACGCCGCTGCGTAGTTCCTATCGTTCCTAGTTCACACTTCTATTATTACGTCGCACCTCGTGGCTCATTCTCGCGTATTGTACGATACCTGTACCTGTCGGCAACACTGATAAAATTCCACACCATCATTTTTATTCGAAAGTCTTTATTGTTCACTCAATATATAAATTTCTCTAACATTGAATTTTGTACACTCGCGTTCCTTGATTTGCCGAAAAAGGGAACCGAAACATTTTTCCAAACAGGCTGAGGCCATTTCCTGGAGTGAACAAGACGAGGGTACCTTACTCTTCCCGCGAAAACATGTACGCCGCAAAGTCGGCCACGCGGGTAGCATACCCGTACTCGTTATCGTACCAAGCTACCAACTTGACGAACTGTTTGCTCATAGGAATACCCGCCTTGGCATCAAAGATGCAACTGCGGGTGTCACCAACAAAATCACTGCTCACTAGGTCCTCCTCGGTGTAGCCCAGGATTCCGCTCAAGTAGCCTTCGGCAGCTTGCTTTACCTTGCATTTAATGAGGTCGTAAGGCGCTTCTTTTCCTAGCTTCAAGGTGAGGTCCACAACGGACACGTCGGCGGTGGGTACCCGGAACGCCATACCTGTTAGCTTGCCCTGCAGATCAGGCAGTACTTTGCCTATAGCCTTAGCGGCGCCTGTAGACGCGGGGATGATGTTTTGCAGAGCGCCACGTCCACTCCTCCAGGATTTTCCGCCGGGACCATCGAGGACCTTTTGCGTGGCGGTCGATGCATGGATGGTAGTCATCAGACCCTCCTCGATGCAGAACTCGCTATGGATCACCTTCACCAATGGAGCGAGGCAGTTGGTCGTACACGATGCCATCGACACCACCTGCATATCGCTGCTATATTGGTCATGGTTGACACCCATCACGAACATGGGGGCGTCCTTGGAAGGGGCCGTGATGAGGACGTGTTTGGCTCCCCCATCAAGGTGTAGTGCGGCTTTGTCGCAGGTGGTGAAGATGCCCGTTGCTTCAATAACTAAATCAGCCCCGGTTTTCTTCCAGCAAATCTTCTTGGGGTCCTTTTCGTTGAACGTGTCTATTTTGACCCCTGTCAAAAAAATACGTTAGGGGTAAACATCTGGTAGGATTGTGGTGTTCATTGGGTACCATCAACTAGGAGGCAGCTCCCCATCGTGGTGACATCACCACAATATGTCCCATGCGTGGAGTCGTACTTGAAGAGGTACGCCATCTGCTCAACACTGACGAACGGATCATTCACTGCAACAACCTGCGGGTGGGGGCATTGTGAAGCGCCTTTCTGTTAAAACAGGCGGGTATTGATTGCGTTACCCCTTTTTTATGGCCACTATAGGGAATATCAACGTACCTGTAGGCCTTTGAGCAGGCAGGCCTTCAGAGCCAATCTGCCGATTCGACCGAAACCGTTAATACCAATTTTGGACATTTTCACAAATTTACTTGATTTGAAATTTAACAGACGCGAATGTATTACGTTAATCAAAGCAATAAACGGTTCAAAATGGGTTTAATTTCGAAATAAATGCGTGCCAATTTGCAGGAACCCTGCGAATTTTGCGTGCGCGATACTTGAAATGAAATCGTTTAATTTATCGAGACTCCAATATTGTTTTTATCCATGGGTGTCCTGATTTAAGCGAAGTAAGTTCCGGAAGTTTTAAAAATTGAAAGTTTTCTTGTGGTTGGATTTCTGTCACACAGATGTCCTTAGTGTGCGCGATGCGATTGCCGCCAACGGCCAGAACGCGCATCGTCAGGCGACGCGCGACCATAATCGATGGCCTCATAGTGCTCATTCATAGTGTTTCCACAACCTCACATTTTTATTCTCTACAATCGCTATTTTTAGCTCTATTTCTAAGTTTTATTGTCATTGTGTTCGATCGCAGCATTACTAAAGGTAAAAATAAAGGTAAAGAATAAGAAAATAACACCAGCATTGCTGTCCAAGTGAAAGTAATCATCATCAGGCAGACAAAAGCTTCTAACCACGAATCTTCTACAAATGGTGATTGCTTAGGTCGTAGTTGTTTGTCGAAAGACATTCGTTTGTAAATCTGTGAGCTAAATTGTAAAATTTGTCTTCATCATCGTGGTTGGTAAGACATCGCTTGTGAAAAAAAAATGGCGCCAAACGCGCCAAAGTCAATCAAAACCCCAGGAAAAAAAAACCTGGGGGAGTAAGTACGCCAGTGGTCCATTGGTGTCCACTGCTGCTATGCTATATAAATAGCTGATTCATTGTAATGCATGAAATAAAATAAAAATAACTGTATGACAACTAATGCAACGTGAATATAATTTTACTGCATGTTTTTGTTCATAAAAATAGAGGCCAGGAAACAGGAAGTCTATTATTAAATGCATGATTTGAATACATAGTAAATTGATTTGAAGCGATGATGAAGACATTTTAAACTAAATTTGATCAGTTTGTAACATTTTTGCCATCAAAAGAAAAAGGCATTTGTGTACTATCCATATCACCCATATTCCTATCTTGTTTATTTCTGAATTATGCTTCAGTAAGGTAAGGACAATGCACTATTGAGATAAATTATCAGTCATAGTCAAATTTTATCGAATTATTAAGAGCTAGACTTTTCTTGGTGTAAGGAAACTAGAAAACTTCTTTTTCAATGTTTCTTGACGTCGTTTGGAGCATGATGCGCGTTAATTTTGATGGTACCATCTTTATGGGAGGGTGATGTCATATTGTGGTGGCAGCGCCATCTAGTAATATACTTTACAACTAGAAATTTCCAGCGCGCTCTGTTGCTGGTAGGCTTTTGCTAGAATTATTGATTATTTAACGTTGGAAGTATTTGCACTGTCCATGCGTAAAGTTCATTCAACTTTACTATAATTATTATAAATGACAAGCGTATTTGCTCAAGAACAGAGCCGCTATGCGTGAAGTACGCTGATTTTCTTAATATTTAACGCGTTCTGCGAGCGTTGATGCGCTTATGAATGAAGGTACTGCTGGTGGGGATGGATAATTGATAAGCGCTTGTAATGGCGTCGCTGGTTGCCTACGTTGCGCGTCCACAAACTCGCGCGTTGCACTTGTCGCGAGTGGTGAGGTTCTTGGTCCCGACCTTGACGGCGCAATGTGGCCGCGGGCGAGCGCGGTCAGTCGCGCAAGAGCCATCGACTTAAGTAACCGTCGCGCACGCACCGCAAGTTGTACCGAGGATGAGCCGCCAGTAGTGCGCCGCATCGTGCACCTCAGCCATCACCAAAGCGATACGATACCAAAAAGAAGAAGCTCGAAGACGGCGACCAGCATGCGACGTAAGTCCTTAGCAGTCCTTAGTAATCTGACTTAAGTCATGTAGCGGCCGGCCGCGTGACGCGCGCGCGGCGATGACCTCGGCCCGGTACGGCTCGCCGTGAGCGCGATGCAAATGCGGTGGAAAGGAAACAATCAATTCGTGCGACACATACACGCGTACGAATGATAACCCGCATGAATAACACATTCGGCGATAACTTTTAACGAATTCGTCAATTTATTGGCCGCAGGCAGGCGCGCATAATGAGCGCGACGCCATGCCGCACGGTACGTTCGCGCATTCGATTGTTTCTCGAAGCGCACAACATTTCGTGCGCTAAATTAATTTCAATTACCTCCGAACAGCACCCGCATCCGGCCGTTATTGTGCACCAGCGGCGGCGGGCGAGCGCGCGCGCGGTCCATCTCATTTCGCTAACTTTTTTCAAACTTTCGACTTGCCGCCGGCCGGATGCATTCGTACTGTCGCACTTAGCGGATTTACTAAGTAAACACATTTTAATACACTTATTGGGGCGTATTTTAATTTCTACATGAATGCTAAGCAATATTCCGATAACATTAACGAATTCGGCATCGATACGCGCGCGTGTGCCGGCACTGCTGGTGAGTAAAGTTCATTTGGTGCTTTTCGAACAGATATGATAGCAGTCGAAAATGCGCATCGCTGGTAGCCACATCATCGACACGCGTTCGGCTACCGCCACCTTAGTCAAGATGTTGATCCCGCTGTGGCTGCACTCGATGACGGCGGCGTTCGTCATCGGCCTGCGCACCTCGCTCGCCGCCGAAGTCTTCCCCCTTGGCGCGACACACCTCTACCACCTGCACTCGACCACACTACTGAATGAGTTGTGTGTGGCCGGGGGCGGTTGTGGGCAGGATGTGGGATTCCGGGTAACAAGCGAGGTGCGGGTGACGGCGCTATGGACCGATGGTCCCGATGCCAAACTTCTGCGCGTGCATGCCGCCGGATGGCGGCTGCATGTGCGGGGGCAGCGCGCCGACGACTTCAGCGAACAACCCAGTCGCCTGGCGGATATCGCCTCAAGGCCCTTCTACGTGCTGTGGCGTGCCGGACGCGTTGACAAGGTGCTCCTGCCGAAAGCGGACACTGATGTTGATGCCAGGGCACTGAAGAAGGGGATCACCTCCATGCTGCAGTTTCAATTGAGCACGCAGGAGATCCATGAGGTGGACGTAAGTGGGAACTGTCACGCCAGTTATTTAGTCACAGGTCCCGCGCATAGTATCATCACCAAAGACAAACATTGTGAAGCGGCGCAGAAACGCCAGGAAGGCATGCTCTCTTCCGGAGTGGATTCCACTCAACGAACGGTGTTGACCCTTGCACCAGAAAAGAGCGATTTTGTGAAAATCGCCTCGATTGAGATGAAGGAGACGCATGTGTTGTCCCTACCGGCATACAACGCGGTTGGGGCACACGTGGACGTCAAACAGGTCCTTACCCTTTCCAGTTTAGAAGAGAGCAAGGTACCTAATATCGAAGCTACCACAATGGAGGCGGCTGAACAAGCGCTCCTGCAAACCGAGGACCTCACCATTGAGACCCTTGATCAGATTGAACATCAAACCGTGGAGAACAAAATGGATTTCGTGGAGCAAGTGAAGGTACACCGTCCTGCGCTCACTGATACCAAAATGGTTGCGGAGGCGAAGAGTGCTGTTAGGTTACTATCCGCCGCGCGGGAAGCCACCAAGGAAGACATCATCAAGGTGCTGAAAGATCCCAAAAACAATCGAATTCGGTAGGTTTTCCCAAACATTTCTTCACAACCCGCGACTTGACCACTTTTTGATCACAGGCCGGAACTGTTGGATATTTTGGGTTTCGCGCAATCCACCGCATCGCATGCGGCTGTCAATAAGGTCTTCCACATTGACGACGCCGCGCAAAGCGATCTGAACGAGAGGTATCTCTGGGCGCTCTCGTTCAGCGCGAACCCCAATCCGGAAATCATGGAAGATCTCCTCAAGAAATTCAAAAATACCCAAAACATCCCAGAAAAGGTTAGCGAGACCCTCATCTCGACGCTGGCCAGTATGGCGCGCAATTTACGAGCGCATCCTAACTACGATCAAAAGGTAGGTGGTACCACAAAACCCTTTTCGCACCACTTTCTCCGGGAAGGATTTAACAGGACTTTATTGTTAAGATTCACAACGACATTCAATCGATCATAGTCAACTACATGGACGCCACGGGCAATCGAGCTGCATACCATCGCGCACTTATCAACCTGCAAGCCCCGTCCACCATCCCACTCCTACTTGACATCACAGCTGGTAAGAAGAAGGGCTACGCAACCAAAGAAATCATCCTCGCGTGGCGCGCTATCTTGCTCATTGTTCAGGGCGAACTTAAGCAGAAACCAGAGGGCACTGGTGATGTGGTCAAAGCTATCCGCAGTCAAGCCATTCGCACCTTCCTGCAACTGCGCACAATTGAAGACAGTACCTCTCGCACCCTGGCGTTTGATACCATCACTACTCTCGCCGCTCGTCCGGATGCTGACATTGACCAGACTGTGGACGTTATCGTCAGCTATCTCCGAGCTGGTGATGCGGACAGTGAAGTAAATCAGTATATCCTTCAACGTTTGAGGATGTTATTAGAGGGTACCACGAATCTACGCCTTGCAGAGGCACTGGACCAGCGTTTGAAGGATAGCGCTACACTTTCGAATTACCACGTGTTCTCGCCGAAGGGTCTCAGCGTTGCCATGACAGCGGAGGTCTACTCTCAGGGAGGTTTGAATAAAACCATCGATGGCGGCGAACGCGCGCAGGATCTCCTCCGAGGTGGTCTCAGCACTGTGCAGGAGATTCAGAAAGGTTTCGTGAAGCGGGGAGTTGTTAGTGTGACCATGGATAGGGGTAGTGATGAGATGGAATTGTTCGGGGTAGGTTTCAATACCACTTAGGTCATCTGGATGTACAATTTGTGGATTATTTCAGTTGGGGATCTTCACTTCCGGCCTGGGGAATTTCATGGGTGGTGCAGAGGAAGGTGAGGGTGATGCCATGGCTGGAATGGAGTTGGCCGTGCTTGGTACTCATCTAAGACCGTTTATTTTCTTCACTGGTCAAGGGGAACTTATGAGCCATGTGTGGAGCGGTACCGGGTCGGAACGCACCACCGCATTTCAGGTAAATGAAGGTGTACCAAGTGTTTATTTCTAGGGTTTTATTTGAATGATTATATTTTTGTGAAGGCTTTGATGTTGCTGCATGATCATCAGCAGCATGTCCGGCTCGGGACCGGGTTGACCATGGCGGTGGACGTGAAAAGCGCCGCCTCCGTTGACCTTTCCGGTCAGATTACCATTTCGTTGTGGTACCGCAACGCAGACGCCAAAGTTGAAAAGTCGTAAGTATAACAAATGGGGTGCGAAATGTTTGGTGGGTTGTTTTAAGGGTTGTATAATTTCCAGGGCCGGAGTTTTTACACTGGGCGCTATGAGCGTGGACGCATCCTTTGCTTCCGCACGTATTGAATTCTCCACGTCCCTGGAACCCCGCCTGGAGCTCGCCGCCAACGTGGATTTCGCCGCGTCTGATGTGAGTCTGTGCATGCGGTTGTCACAGCCGGCCCTGGAGTACGCGTACAACGTGTACAAGATCGAGCGCGTCGACGGCAGCAAGCACAAGCTGCGACGACGTGTGCGCCGTCGTCGGCCCATACCGGGCAAGACCTATGCGCTCAATAAGAAGAACGCCGACATGTGCAACGTGATCTTCACCAATTAAACGCAATCATTCCCTCCGTGCGCACCTAATCTCTATTTTTTCGAATATGTATGCTAATAAAAACCGATTGTATTTAATGTAACATGTGTGTCTGCTGCAAGTTGCTTCGAGGGGTGTTCGGGGCGGGGAAATGAGGGGAGAATGAGCGCGCATGCGTATGTCGCGCGCTTTGCGCCACCTGCCACCCTCGTGTCTCCTCGCGGCGCGTATCGATCCTGCGCGCCGCCGGCAGTCCTGCGCCAAACACCGTCGACGTCGCCCGCCACGACCCCGTCGAACGCGCGCCGACGTCACACATGCGGCAATCGCCGCCTACCGCCACCGTACACGACCCACGGCCATCGCGAACGTTGCCCACGACCGCCACCAGCCATCCTCATTCGCGTCCGGCGCCCAACATGACGTGACACCCGCGATCCCACGCAGTGTGTTCGACCGCCGACGACCGGCCATCACTCCAGGAGCGCCTTCGCCGCTTAGCCGCCTACCGACAGTCTGCGGACCCTCGCCGCCGCCGCCGCCACCGCCATCAACGACGGCAGCACGATGCTGGGATTCGAGCTCATCTACGACTGGCTGAAGCAAATGCAGTTCCTCTCGTTACGTAAGTATACCCACCACCACCACGTCCACCGCCGCCGCGCCGCCATAAATTATTCCGGCACGTGCCCCCCGCTCTCCCTGCCGGCCACCGCCGGAAGTGGCTGATTGCACTTGCACAAACGTTGTCATCGGTCAGAAAGCGGGGTAATTGCGGTGGATCGCCGCCGCGCGCGGGGAGGACGTGAGTCATGTGAACAACGCTCTGTGGTAATTACACGCCGCCGCTGATAATACTTTCGACTGGATATAGATTTACGTCGATGGGAATATTTAATACACCCGCGTGCATAATGTATGCGTTCGTAATGACACGGGACGCTTGATCCTGCGCTGTCGAGTCTCTTAATGCATGCGTCAATGCGGAATTGATGATAACAATTGTTGTTTTGATAGCATTTGGAATATTACAGCTAATGCCGGTCTAAACTACTATGTACTTAATGTTAATATCATATTTGGGTACAATGTATCAGCGATTGATAACATTTGATGCGAGACGAATTCAAGTGGCAATTTAACGAGTCCGCAACTTGCAAACTCATTAAAAAATGATTACGTAACGAAATCGCATCAATTCTTAATCAAAGTCGTCTCGAGTTTTGATTCATGATCAGGCAAAAAAAAATTAATGGCGCACAAATTGATATCCATTTAAATAAAAAGCACATGAAATTATTGTGTGACTTTGCAAGGTTGTCACGCGTTGACGCTGCCACAATTACATTCGGAAACAATGTTTAACAAGTGGATAACGATTGACATTTTATTAATTAGTCGTTTTGCGTGCGCTGTTGAGACGAAAAAGGCGCTCGTCAACGCGCGCGCGCGCCGCCGCCGCTGAAAACATGTTTACACTCAGCGAGTGTGTTTATCAACATTTCGCGATACTGTAAACTGAATTCGGCGGACGTGTGACGAGCGCATCGCATGCACATGCCACCGAAGCGCGCTCCGGCGAGATTGTAATTAGTCCGGCTCCCGAGAAAACAACCTCCAACTCATCGGGCGCGCGCTCCACGCGACTACACACGGACTCCTCGCGCCGTCGTCTGTCTGAACTTTGCATTCTGTTATCGGCGGGCGCGCAGTGTGCGACGCTGGGCGAATAAAAATAAAAATATTCACGCATCGGTAGCAGTACGCCACAGAACGCACACGACTCACGCGACCGACGGCCGACGTGGAACACAACACGCGACGAGAGACGCGTTCGTTCGTTCTGTGTGTTTAAGTTCTCTTGTGGTTTTTTTTTTTTGGTTTCTTATTTTTCCTTCGAGCGCGAAGAGAACATTCAGTTGCCTACGCGCTACACCGCGTAGCCCACTTGGCCGGTGAGACTCGCAGGCGAGGAAGCCGCCGCGCCGTCGGAAGCCCCCAGCTCAGTGCGCGGTTGTGATCCAGTGCGATAGCGACACCAAAGAACACAGAATGCAGCAGATGCGCAACATCGGTATGTATTACAGCCAGCCGCCGATGCGACGCACGTGCGACGTGCGATTACGTCGCGCTGTCTTTACCGCGTCGTGATAAACAATTGCTATCGTTGCGTGCCCGCACGCGAGACCATACTTGGAGGTTATCTTACGCGATTTGCTCTCATTCGCAAATCGGCGCAACGTAGGCCACTTGTCGTACACGAAAGATTCGCACCAGCATCTCTTATGGTAATCGCCATGCCACGCGTTCGCGAATTATACGAATTGTCGTCGGTTTTTAACGAGCGTCAAAATTTAAATTTCAACAAGATGATTTACATTTGTGCGATAATAGGCCGTGCGCGCGCGTTAGCAACCGACTTTTTGACATATCCATCGCGATAATTTATTTTTGCGTATGTTAATTATAAGTATGCGGTAATAAAAGCACTTCACTGATTGTGTTCGATACACGGATAAATATACGGTTGTTTTTTGTTGGCGCGTTTTGAGATGACTGAGCTGAGCGCGGAGGATGCAAACACTCGAGTAACGAGAGATTTTTATTAATTGACAAATTGGAGCTGGAACTGGAGCACTTTGAGTCTGCGTTTGCCGCGAGTGGCGAGTGGGGACAATGGGTGACTGCGGCTGGTGCGAACTGGAGCGTGGTGCTCGCCGGCGGAGGCGAGCCTAGCGCGAAAGAAATGAAGCAAAAAGTAAAATCCGTTAGATGAGGTCAGTTACCTTGATCTCTTCGCTTCTTCGCGGCCGCCTCGCGCTGGTACAGTGACCAGTAACACGCGAGCCCCGGCCACGCGGGCCCCGAGTGCGTTCACCTCGCACGCCGACTTTTGTCTCACATCCCGTGCGCGCTTACCTTTAAACTTTAAAAAACCGCCGCGAAACAATCAATTTCTTTCGATTACGTCCCAATAACACTCATCCGGCGGCCGTGATCAGCGAAATGGCGTTTTAAGTGGCGCGTGCGCGCGCGCCGCGCGGAAGACTTCTCTCGCGAGACCGCTGGCCGCCGGTGGCAGGTAGAAACTTTTTTTTGTTACATTTATAAGCGGGTACCGTTACGACAATCGCGCGCTCGTCGCGCGTCTAATTCCCGACGCTTTGATGATGGCAGGCGGCGTAACGGTGAACGCGCGCCCGGCGATGAACGAGAGCAATGAGCCATGCGAAGCCGCGGAAGAGCCGCTCGCGCAGTCAGTCGGCGGCTCCCATCTCGTCTCGCAAGACGACAATGCGTTCGCGGTGAAGCGCCGAAGAAGTCATCCTCGAGCTCGCCATCGCCGATTTTCCGCACACGCGCCATGAGGGAAATGAACGCGCTCGTCCGGAAGTACCTGCGTCCGCCGAGGGACGACACCACCAGCCCCGCCGAGAAGCCCAAGGCGCCCGTCGTCAAGGCGAAGAAAGCGCGCGACACCAACAATAATCGCGCCCACAAAGAGAAGCGGCGCATTAATCGTGAGTTGCGCGACCACTACGTGTGTAGTGTGTTGTCCTGCGTCCTCCTGGTAACCGCCACACATCCCCCAAAAAATCTCGCGCGCGTCGCAAATAAACAAAGTGCACTTGCGCGCTGCGCGCATACTGCCCGCCGGTCTTGTGATATTATTCTGCATTCGGCGCGGTTCAGTGCGCGCTGGTCCTTCGCAAGCAGCACACGTCCATACGCTTCCTTTCGTTTTTTGCTCTGTTTGTCTGTTTGTTTGTTTGCTTACTCGTGTCGCGAGTGTCGCTCGCTGGTCATTTGCATATTAGACGCCCGATTGGCAATAGCTGTTATTGTTTCCCGCGTGCGCTGCGTGCTGAAATGGAGTCGTTGTTGCACAACAAAGGTACATTCATCGGCTGGGGGGCCGCGCGCGGGGGGCGGAAGAAAGCGCGTCTTCCGATAATAGACGACCACGTCGTGTTGACTCTGCACGTGCTAATTTTGTTCTTCCTTTGTTTCTCTTTTGCAGTGGAGGACATGGAGCAGTACCTGCACTACATCGGCGGAGGGGCGGGCGCGCTCGCCCTTACCGGTGTCGCCGCCGCCTCCGCCTTCTACCTAGCCAGCAGGCCCTCGTCAGAACGATTGCTTTGGCCCAACGAAGATCAGACTATTATCGAGGTGAGTTCCGAGTTTTTTCTTTTTTGATTATTTTCACCGCAAAACAAAACAATTTTTTTGGTTTCAATTCAAATTGCTACAATTTTGTAAGTCGCGCGAGGTCATCTTCAATAATTAAACGATCTTATCATTAATTTCATGCATGCGCACTTGAAAATAGGCCACGATTCCGTGATAAATCAACTCGAATCTCAACAAAAATAATCGCCGCGTGGAATAATGTATGCGCTGTTGTAAATATTAATGCATGCGAGTTTTTCTCCGTCTGCACGAATGGTTTTCGTTAATTTGTTTTTAATAAATTTGCGTCAGTGCGCAGTTTTTGTTGCACTTTCGCAATGCGAATATTTCGCGATGTGCGGTTTGACTGGTTTGCATCGAATGTGTTGCAATTGCGCTCTCAATGTCGCGTATGAAAACACCGGCGGATGATCTTATTTTTCGATTTGTCTCGCATGTAAATCCGTCTTAATTGGAATCGAAACGCGGTTCTTTTATGGTCTTGCACTTGCGAATCAGCGCCGCGCACGTTCAATGACGTCGTCGGCTTTGTGGCGATGCGAACAAAGTAGAAATGTAATGTTATAATGTCGGTGTGACGGCGCCGCACAAAAATTTATCCGCTTCCTCGAATTAAAATATGATCTTATACGAAGCCACCGGACTGAAGTGGGCAATTAAGTCGGATCTATCGGGTACCTAGCCGACGCAGTTGTGAAAGATTACAACTTGCGGTCCTCGCCTTACGCCTTGAGGTGTTTATTTCGGTGTTTTTGTTGTTAATTAATTGGCGTACTTGTGCAAGCCCCGTAGGCTCGCGGTCGGCGCGCGCGCGCGCGCTTAAAATGAAAAAAAAGAAATGATTTGCAAATCGCGTCGATTTGATGCATGCGATTTGCACCGTGCGTAAGACATTAAAACCGGCTGTCCGTGTTGTTGGTCGGCGGACGATTACGCTTTATAAATAATTGAATCGCGAGAGAAAAAAAAAAAGAAAAATATAACGGCGACGACCTTAGGTATGAGCGCGTTTCCCACACGGCACGGACGGGCACATCACGCGGCAGCGCCAAGGACCAGATATTTTCGGACGCGCGCTGCCCGCTCATTACGTATTCATTTTTTCATCGCCCGCTCGCGCACACGCCGCTGCGAATCCTGTCGGTGCAGTCGCGTTCCCGGTGCAGCGCGAAGAAGCGATACACAAAGGTCCACGTGCCATACCACGCGCGTATCACCACCCGCGACACCGCCAAACCTAGGTACCACACACGCGTACCACCCCCAAACGCGCGCGCTCGCGGATTATGGGCATATAAGCCTGGCGCGCGGTTCGGCGCCCAAGGGCATTTCGTTGTCACCCGCGAAGCATGCGAATTGCTGCTGTTTGTTATTGACACGCGCCGGGATCAATCAAAGACACGATGTGTTGCGGCTGCTGCAAGTGCTGCTGCTGCTCGAATGCGCTGCGCATCATTCCGCCCATCAATATGAACAATCAATCGGAGACGTTGCATCATAAAGTATGCGCCGCTGGATGAAGCGCATTTTGCACGATGAGAGAAGAGGGTTGTTGTAACGCGCCATTTTGTTTTTGTTTCTGCCTGCAGGGTTCGGAGCTGATTCGCGTCTCGCGTTTCTCCAAGGACTGCAAGGACGGAAAGTTCCTGAAGTATCTCTACGAGGACGCCCAGACGCTCTACGAGTGCTTTCGACGCGGCGCGAAGGTCTCCAACAACGGGCCATGCCTAGGCTATCGGGAGTCATACTCCAAGCCCTATCAATGGATCCACTACAACGAGACGCTGCTGCGCGCGAAGAACTTCGGCTCCGGCCTTGTCTCGCTCGGGCTGCAGCCGGGCCCGAATACATTTATCGGCATCTATTGCCAAAACTCGCCCGAGTGGATCCTCACCGAGCAGGCCACTTACTGCTACAGCATGGTACTTGTCCCACTGTACGACACCCTCGGCCCCGACGCCTGTGCCTTCATCATTAAGCAAGGTAAGACGAATTTCGGGATTTAAATCTGGTGATATTGATGGTTTTAATTGATTTTCAGTGGATATGAGTGTGGTCGTGGTGGATGACGACGCCAAGTGCAACCTGCTCTTGGAGCGTGCCCCAAAATGCCTGCGTAAGGTGATTGTGGTGAAAGAGGTGCGCGCTGCGACGAAACAGCGCGCAAAGAATCGCGGTGTGGAGATTCTACGCTTTGCCGACGTGGAAACGCTCGGTACCAAGCATAACCATCCCGAGCTGCCGCCGAAACCCTCCGACCTGTGCACCATCTGTTACACGAGTGGTACCACCGGTAACCCGAAGGGTGTGATGCTGACGCATGAGAATGTCGTGGCGTCGATTGCGGGTGTACTTCTTCAGATGGGCGACCATCGTCTGCGCACGGACGACGTGCTCATCTCGTTCTTGCCCTTGGCGCACATGTTGGAGCGCTGTTGCGAGGTGAGTGGAACACGCCCGCGTTGCGCAACTCCACAAATGTGTTGCTCGTCAGTCGTGACTGTCACTAACGCGCGTCTGTTTTTAGAACTCCTGCTACATGGAAGGCGGTGCAGTCGGCTTCTACTTGGGAGACATACGCCGCCTGTCCGATGATATGAAGGCCCTGCAACCGACGGTCACTCCGGCCGTACCACGACTCCTCAACCGCATCTACGATAAGATCCAGAGCGAGGTGAACCGCTCGTTCGTCAAGAAGATGCTTTTCAATATGGCGATGAGTACCAAGGAGAATGAGCTGAAGCGCGGCGTGCTGCGTAAGAACAGTTTCTGGGATCTGCTGGTGTTCCGCAAGGTGCAAGAGGGTATGGGCGGACGACTGCGTATGATGCTGGTGGGCTCAGCGCCGCTCGCTGAAAACGTGCTGACATTCACGCGCTGCGCGCTTGGGTGTCTCGTGATCGAGGGCTACGGACAGACGGAATGTTGCGCGCCCATCACGCTCACCGTTCAGGGTGACCATACGCCCGGACATGTTGGTCCGCCGGTTGCCTGTTGTTGCGTTAAACTTGTCGATGTGCCTGAGATGGAGTACTGGGCGCGCAATAATCAAGGTGAGATTTGTGTCAAAGGCACCAACGTCTTTGCCGGCTACTATAAGGATGCCGAGCGCACGCAGGAGACCATCGATGAGGGTGGTTGGCATCATACTGGTGATGTCGGTATGTGGCTGCCCAACGGCTGCTTGAAGATCATCGATCGCAGGAAGCACATCTTCAAGCTGTCGCAGGGCGAGTACATTGTACCAGAGAAGATTGAAAACATCTACATTCGGTCGCAATACGTCCAGCAAGTGTTTGTACATGGAGAGTCTCTGAAGGTACCATCTGATTTTGAATATTTTCAACATTTTTGTATTTATTATTTTTGTTTTTTTGCGTTCAGAGCTGCATAGTGGCGATTGTTGTGCCGGATGTGGACGTGATCAAGTGCTGGGCACAGGAGACGGGCATCCCCGGCACGTTGAGCGTGCTGTGCGCGCACCCAGAGGTCAAACAGCTCATCATGGACGACATGATTACCTGGGGCAAGGAGGGCGGTCTTAAGTCATTCGAACAGGTACGTTTCTTTTAAAATCTGACAATGTTTCTCGTCTAAAACATGTTTTTTTTTTTTGTTTTTGTGCAGGTGAAAGATATTTACTTACATCCGGATCCGTTCAGCGTGCAGAACGGCCTGTTGACGCCAACGCTGAAGTCGAAGCGGCCTCAGATCAAGTCGTACTTCACGCCCCAGTTGGAGGACATGTACAAGAAATTGACGTAATAGGAATTCAATAAATTTTCAAACCGTAGGTGTCAGCCGCGGAGCGCCGCGCTGCAGGGGGACTTAACATAAACCTTTACTAATACTAAATATTAAAATGACAGTTGAAAATTGCAAACTATTTGAGAGTTCGATACCTGAATTACAGGCTAAACCATTGAGGAGGGCGAAATGTACCGCACGCTGATAAGGTGTTGAGATTGCAAGCAAAAAATGGGTCAATTAGTGAGCTTGAAAAAGTCAAGTTTTGTTTTTGTGTTATTGTTACTTAATCTTTACGTTGTTCGTTTTCGTTGTGGTTTCTTTGTGAGGGCGCACGAGGACGATGACGTGAACATGAAGACAAACGATTTACTTACTTATAAATGCATTCTAGACAATTTTAGACTATACGATACGATTAGGTTTAATTGATTGTAGCAAAAGGATAGCACCGCCACCGTTAATTTATGTTGTATGTCAATAAATTGTTTTCAAAAAACCAATCACCACGTGCGCGCATATTAAGCCACCCGCCATGCGGAGATAAGCGGTTTTAAGTGCCGCGCGCGTCGCGTTCAACGTATTATTTTGCGCATAATTTCGTTCTATTTGGAGCAAAAAGTGTGTGAGCCTCCATATTTTTAATATTTCCACGCTTTGTCGATGCGTGGCTATTTTTAGTGGCGCGCTGCGAAAATAAACTTTTTCAGCTGCCTGGAAGTTGATAAATGGCGTCGATGCAATATATTCCACTTAAAATGTTAGAATATTAAATCCAAACAGTGTTCTTTCGGCATCAATTCGTATTTTAAGCGCGGCGAACGACGCGCGCGCGCCGGCTGCGTTTCACAATTTAATCGGACGAAAACAAATTGAATCCAAACAACTCAATAATTAATTGCTTTATCACTCGTTTTTTCCCATCATGTTTATCATAATTATTCGGCGAATTATTGCAACAAAGAGAGTGGTGTTTTTGCCAAACGGGTTTTTAAGGACACGACGACACGTTTATTGCACACATAAAACTAAATTTACAGAAATTGCCTTAGAAAATATTCGAATCTTGTTAGCAGAGCAAATCAACACTCTGGCTATCCTCGAAGCTCACCCAAGCATTACCGCCGAACGACTGCGACTCGTTTTCCTTGTCATCGCTCAAACTGAACACCTCGTCTTGATGGAGTTGATCTCCGTCGTCGAAGGTGATCAGAAATTCGGTGATTCTGTTGTGCATATTATTCTCAACGATTTGTTCCGTTTTTGTGGGGACGGGAGGCGGCAGGGACGAGCGTATCTCGTGCAATCGCAAGGGTGCCACCGACGTCCATTGTTCATACGCGGCGTGGAATGCTTTTGCCATCGCCAACGCCACATCCTCGGCATTCTTTCGTCGTTTACATAAGAAAGCATGACATTCTGTTGTTTCCAATGCGTCGGTGGCCAGGAAGGATACAATGCGCTGTTGGTGTGTGCGACAGTTTGATATCCTGCATGAAAATCAAGCAAAAAACAATCAAAACTTCATTTTATAATTGATTTTATTTATTTTTACCTGTAAATTGAAATCTTTAGCAGATCCACGCCTTGATCCGCCTGCATAACACAAAGACCTTTCGGTGAGATGGTTAATTCAACACTCCTGCTGGACTTTTTTGTGCGCTTCTTTTTCTGATCGGCATCCTGTAAAATCTGCGGCGATTTTGAGATTTTTGGCGCCTTTTGCCCCTTCTGCGCTTTCTGCGCCTTCAGATTACTTAGGATGCATTGCACCGCATGCTCGCTGATATTGTCCCCCCCATTTAGTTTCTCCACCACCGTTGAGCCAAGATATTTCACCTGAAAACTGACAATTTCGTCCTCGTCGTAACCGTCACAGCCGAAGTCTTCCTGCAACGTGTCCTTCTTGCCGCTCTTGCGTTTGTTTTCCGCGTTGTGATTCAGGACCTCCTCGGATAATTCTGCAATCAAACATCGGCGCGTGTAAGTAAGAGAGTTTATTATTTACTACGTTGTTTTTATTTTCAATGGCATTGCTGGAAATGTTTGTTGACATTGCGTCAGACTGCGAATTAGAAGCGCGGAATGGCCTTATTCGTTATCACACACGACGTGTGCAGGCGCGCACTCTTCTTATCAGCGTGTTAGACGCGTGTAGTTTTTGTTAGTGTTTTTGTTATGATGTCGCGAGCCGATTACGACATGTACGCGTCTTCTGCGAAATGGCGCAGTTAATTGTGCGGCGCCGCAAAAGGCAATACGAGAAAATGCGCGCCGCGCCGAAGGAAAGCGATGCGAGGAAAAGTGGAACGAGCTGATGCAATGATTTCAATGTCTTGCGCTCAAAAATTTACATTTTCAGTTCATGCCTGAGCCTTGAGCCGTTCTTAATTATAGTGTAACAAAGGTTCAATAAGTAAGCAAGCATAAATTAAACTATACGCAACAAAGTACATGAATGCAATTACAAACTGAAACAACTGTTCTATTTTCTTCAAAAAATGAAAAAAAGTTTTGAACTGAATAACTTCGATTTAAGTCGCAAATAAAAAGAAAATAAAGTTTAAACTTACTTTTATGTTTGCCGTTATTTGTTGGCCTCCACATAATTGTCCTTAAAAACTTCGACATTTTTCAAAAGTTTGCAAAACTCGTAAGGACGTTGACACTTTTCGAAAATGAACGAAAATTAATTCAAAGATTGAAAATATTTAACTGGTTGATGTTTCAGGATCTAGTCTGGTATTGAATGATCGTCCGGTTTGATTGATCGCTCATGAGACACTAATCTTATGTTTATTCATTCGCCTTGATCTGCCCTCACTTTTGAATGCACTTTCTCCGGACTTGTTGCAATCCGCGCGGCGCGAGTTGCCTACCCGTTATCGGTTGTTGCCTCGCTGGTTGCAAACAACATGATTAATGTTACCAAGTTGAGATGAATCCTGCTTCTGTGATAATTTATTATTAGAACACGTCGTTGAATTTTTGTTTTTAAAGGTCATACGTAAAAGAAAACAAAAGAGTACGAATCGTGGGTTCAATGCTGTTTTAATCATTATTTTATTGTTAATAATCACAATGATTATACGAAAACAAAAAGTTTGCGGAAGTTCTTTCTGGAGCAGACACACTGTATATTTAGTACTTCTCTATTTTTTAGTGACGTTGTGGTTGCCTGCCACCAATCACAGCGCGACAACCGCGCACTTCGAACGAAAACGAAAGTTTACAACGAAATTCTTTCTCTGCAGCGATACAAACTAAAAACAATGCATGTTTTTGATAATAATTGATTACTCATTTGCTTTATTATGTATTTTTGTTTTGTTGTTATTGGTGAGCGATTGTTTTTACCTTGTGTTTGCGGAAAGTTTCCCCCCAACCGAATGACAGCAAGATGATTTGACACTTCGGCAATCGCAGTGAACTGTTGTTGTTTTCGGTGGTGCATTGTTTTGCTACTCATCATAGCGATACGCGACGGAAAACATAAACGTCCGAGAGCTGTACGTGCGATAAGCTGTAAATCTGCCGTACAAGTGAACAAACGTGATGAGCGAGCTAACAGCCGAGGAGGTAAATAAAAATTCTGCACATTTTCGCTTTTATTTTTCACTCCACCATTTCTAATTCATCAAAAGCATGACGTTTCAAAATTGTATGTTAGTTAATGATGTCTTGTAGATTCGGAGGCGGCGGCTCGCGCGCCTCGACAGGCGCACGACCAGCGAGAACCAGGACATGCACGAAAATCGAGGAATCTCGCCGACTGAAGCAAGTGCCACAACCATTGTGTGCAACAATGTGCATTTGATTGAGCAGCAGGACATCACAGAGAAGATGGAGGTGGACGTTGCATTTACCCCTTTTGTGGCTGCTGAAGTGCCTCCCAGCTCAGACGTCATCAAACCAGAGAAAGAAGAGGCACAGATCAAGCAAATAGAAACAACAATGCATCATGAAGATGAGCATGTGGAGGATGAGCGGGCCTTTGTAATTAGAACCCTGAGTGAAATCTTTCAATGCCAGTTCACAACCCGACCGAATATGACCGCCGCCGGCGAATCAGCGGAGACTGGTGAATCGCCATCGAATGTCCTGGTGGAAACCTGCACCTATTTGTCTGAAATGCCGGATTACACTGACATAATCAGTAACGTCCTGATGGAGCTGCTGCATATGCCGATGTGGAACGTGCAGTATGCGAGCGAGTGCTTCGAACGCGCGGACATCGCAGTGAAAGTCTGCAAACCGCAGCACACCGACTTTTTACAATCGCTGCGCAACCAGATGTTGGATTACAGCATATATTGGCTGAAAAGGAAGCCGACGCCGCCGGCGGACAAGCGCGCGCTTTCCTTCCCAGTTCCTCTGGACAAAATGTCCGTCCTTACATTGCCAATTTTGCACGACGAGATTCGATACTGCTATTTTGTCGCGCTTGTGTGGCGAGCCAACACGCGCTGGCCGGTGTTCGTCGACATTTTCACGCCGCTTTTGCACAATTTGCAGGTGACAATGATGCACACCGGCTTGGTAAATTGTAATCCGCAGCCGGGACGTGTGCTGGGTATTCTATTAAGTATCCGTCGACCAATTGCGACACTCGTCCCACAATTGGCGCAGTTTCTGCCGAAGGCAGTAACCACTTCGTACGGGCGCGAGCTTAGTCGCTGCTCTTTTCTTGGACCCTTCCTGAGCGCTTCGTGTTTTGCCGAAGACGATCCCCGAGTGGTCGACCAGTTCTTCCCTTTAATGGTAAATGGTGTTAATGTGATACTGCAGGACGCGCTGGATACGATACGCGTGGGGCTGGACATGCATCGCGTATTCATGCACGAGATCTGCCACAATCTGTTTGCGAACACGTCCAGCCGCGAGAGTACCATCGAGTATTTCGCGACGTTGTTGCGCGCGAATGAGAAACGCTGTCAGCTGCTGGTGGAGGAACGCACCCTCGCCAGCGATGGTTTTATGCTGAATGTACTCAGTGTGTTACAGAGGCTCTCGCTGCCGGTGACGCTTGATCGCGTCGATCCGATGCATATCTTTCGACCGTGCAGCGTGGTGGATATTAAAGGCGAGACGCGGTTGCGTTTCTCGCAACAGGAGGTAGACGAGTGGTTTGCGAGCGTAGATGATACGGGTTTCGCCGACAAGCCCAATTTTCCAACTCAATGTTGGTTCCTTACTTTGCACTGCCATCATCTGGCGCTTCTGCCAGCCATTCAGAAGTACCAGCGACGCTTGCGGGTATTGCGGGAGCTGGAGAAGTTGATCGAGGATATGATGGACACAGAGGCGCATTGGAGGCACACGCCGTTTAAGCTGCGCAATCGACAGATGGTCACGCGTTGGAATAATCAGCAAAAACGTCTGATTCGGTACGTGTTTGTCTACCATTTCAGACATTGTTTACTATATTTATTACTTTATTACAGCTCCAAAGCATGTGCGGATGCTTGTCTGCTTGACAGAGTTCTGCTTCGACGCTGCATGACTTTCTACACGTCCGTAGCGGAGTTCCTACTCGCTGTTTTATTGAATACGCGATGGCCGATTCCTGCGTCTGCATTGCTTGATTTAGATTTTGGTTTAGCCATGGGATCTGACTGGAATATCCAGCCGATGTTTGCTGCCCTCCCCGAGTGGTATGTCGAGGACATCGCCGAATTTTTACACTTTGCCTTACAGTAAGTATTACATTTACAAAAGAGAAGTGAAGAGAAATGATAATTGATTGGATTTTAGGTTTGGCGCAGCGCTGGTGAGTGAAAGCATGGAGGATTCGATGATAACTTTCTTACTGGTGATGATCTGTGCGTCGCACAGCATCAAGAACCCCTACCTTGTGGCAAAGATTGTCGAGGTAGTGTTCATGATCAACCCACAGGTGCAAAACCGCACCGAATACATGTATAGTCGCATCATGGCGCATCCGATCTCGCACACCGCCCTTCCCTCCGCACTGATGAAGTTTTACACTGACGTGGAGACGACCGGGTCTAGTTCCGAATTTTACGATAAGTTTACTATACGGTATCACATCAGCTTGATCATAAAAGGTATGCAATATAAAACTAATATAACAGTTTTTATTTTAAATTTTTCTTGTAGGAATGTGGGCATCAACGAACCATCGCCATGCGTTGATCAATGAATCTCGCAGCGGCAAGCAATTCGTCAAGTTTGTGAACATGCTGATGAACGACACCACCTTCCTGTTGGACGAGTCCCTAGAATCGCTAAAGCGTATACACGAGGTGCAGGAGCTCGTGAAAGATACAACCAACTGGAACATGCTGACACCCGAACAACAGCAGAACCGTCTGCGGCAGCTAAATCACGACGAGCGCCAATGCAAGTCTTACCTCACTCTGGCTCGCGAGACCGTTGACATGTTCCACTACCTCACCGTTGACATCAAGGGTCCATTCCTGCGGCCGGAGCTCGCCGATCGGCTCGCGTCGATGCTCAATTTTAATCTGCGCCAGCTTTGCGGGCCCAAATGTAAGAACCTCAAGGTGCGCAACCCGAGCAAGTATGGCTGGGAACCGCGCTGGTTGCTTAGCCACATTGTCGATATCTACCTTCAACTAAATTGTCCTGAATTTGCCAAGGCTTTGGCTGGTGACGAGGTAAGTCTCGCTTGATTTTAACTAGTTTTGCGGTAAAGTTAATTTGTTTGTGTCTCATTGGTAGCGTTCATTCCGAAAAGAACTCTTTGATGATGCATTATCGGTGATGCAGCGGTCTGGAATTAAAACTCCGTTGGAGATTGAGACTTTCCGCGCGCTGGCTGCTGATGCGCAAAGAGTTCTCGAAGATAATCTGGCTTCCGAGGACTGGATGAACGACGCGCCCGAGGAATTCAAGGATCCACTCATGATGACTGTTATGTCAGACCCGGTTTTGCTGCCGAGTGGACTGATCATGGATCGGTCGGTCATACTGCGACATCTTCTCAATAGTAGCACCGATCCTTTCAATCGGCAGCACCTTACTGAAGACATGCTACAACCAGGTAAATTTTACGCTATGATTGTGATATACAATATGATATTAATTTCTGTTTTGTTTGTTAGCGGCTGAATTGAAGGAACGCATCGAAGTCTGGAAGTCTGAGCGCGGTGCAGCGCAAAAATAAACGACATGTGGTGGGCGGTTGCGCCGCGTTAAATTTTTGTTTTCAAAATTAAGTAGCTTTAAATTTTGTGTAAAACACCAATCTACCAAACAGGACACCATCTCAAGGCTCGAATAACACATCAAGACTTACAATGACTGCCACTTACTCACAATGTAATCATTTGACGACATGTGTTGGAAGATTGCAACCCAAATAAGTAGGAAATGGCGAAATTCAACAAAGTGTAAATATTTCATAAAATTGTACTTGTATCGCTTATAAAATTGAAATTATGTTTTTGTATTGAGTATCCGGCAACATTTGACCGTGAAATATATTATGTTCATTTATTTCTACGTGATGGCGTGCATTATTTGATTTACATTATCTGCATATTTTCAATTCTTTCAGAGTAGGTGGGTGGGACAACCGAGAGGATTGAAAGGACCATTTTATGCGGGTCAGGCACAGGTATAAAAGGGCCTGTGCGTATCGAGCTCAGTGCTCTCCAGGTCCTCTATTTAGAGTTTTCAATTTTTTGAAAAGTGTGATTAATAAAGGCGTCAATTGTTGAATTGATTTTTTTATTGCTGAATCTTTAACAAAACGTGATTTTAAATAGTTTATCTTAATAAAGTTTTGTTCTAAGATATACCGTTTTCTTACTTATCACCTTTATTCAATTCGTTTCTGTGTGAATTCAAATTTTTCTACAAAATTGTCAATAGGGCCTAAACGATTAGCGTTGGAACAAAATGCTCCGTAAATAAATTAATGAGAATTCAACAAGCTATCAGATTCCGAAATCAGAATTTGAAAATTCCAACTTTTAAAGTCGACATAAAAAAGAGAAATCTTTTGCCTTTTTTATGGCGAAAACTTTTCATACGATTCTTCGCATGTATTTTATGGCATATTTTAAAAATATGAATTTTTGATTGTTTTTTTCGGATTATGATAAAACAAAACATTAGAAATACTCTATTTTAGTAAGCTTTTGTTGTACAAACATTATTTAAGGCCCTATTGACGCCGGCAATTTGAATCAAATATAACAGTTTTATGAGTATATCTTCTAAATCAAACATATAATTAAAATAATGTACTAAAATATTTCACTGAGATAATTGACCTCTTTCACAATCTGATATAAAAAACTATTGTTTTTGAAATTTATAAAAAATGCAAAAAATAAATAAAAATATGGCGGAGGCGCCTGACATTTTATCAAATGATTCTACTTATTTTTAAAAATTAATAATACCGTTGTGTAGAGCGACTCTTAATTATTGTATAAATGTAATTTTTTACTCATTAGTACTTACCGTTTACCATGCACACGCATTTAAGTGAAACGTGTACCTCCAGTAGCACTTAAGTACTGATTATCTCAGAAACTAATAGTGATAATCAAAAACGGAAAACTGCATTATGTTCAGCAAACAATTCTACACATGATAAGATTTTAAAATTTTCATTTTTTAGCCAGTGAAAAACAATTTTTCAGAGCTATTTTCTCGGAAACTATAAGTGCTACAGCAAATGTGTTTGCATTTTCTTCATGACACGATAAGGCTCTATAAAATGGCAGATTTAGTTTTTTGATTCTGAAAAGTTGATCAAACACCACTCAAAATTAGTCAAGAGGTTACACTTAACTATTTCATGGCTCAAAAATTATTTTTTAAGCTATAAGAAAATGGAAAACGCCAATTGATTAAGAGTTACAAGGGGATGAAAGATATCCAGTCAGTTTTTCGATATCGCCATTATTTCGGAAAAACCTGGTGAAAATCGAAACACACCAAATTGAAATACCTTTCAGATTTTCACGAAACTTTCTAACATGGTGTAGAATGATGCAAAAAGTCCATTAATCTTGGTTCTGTTTTCCTATCTTAATTAGTTTTTGAGTTATTGACCATTTTCAATAATTTCGTAATTGCTGCAAATTGAAAATTTTAAAGTGCTATATAATATAGAATTCCTCCCTGCAGTTAAATCTGCAAGCTATTTTCGTTTATCTCCATAGGTTTCCGAGAAAAGTGGAAAAAACTCAATTACTCGATTTCTCCATCAGTTCTTAAACAAAAAATAAAAATTGCAAATAGGGCCTAAAAGGTGAATGTTATAATAAAATTTTACTTAAATAATCAACGTAAAATTAAATTACTTATCTGAATTTCGAAACAGAATTGAAAAATTCCAACTTTTAATTTTCAACATAAAAAAGAGAAATCTTTTGCCTTTTTTTATAATAAAATCTTTTCTTTAAAAATTGTTTGTGCCATTTTCGTCGTTTTTCAATAAGCATGCTATCTTGTCCAGAATTTTTCAAGGATCACGAATATGTAGTTCTTTGTTTTCTAGCCCTTTTAGTTGTCGAGATAATTACCATTTAATCTTCAAATATTCGACTCTCCCGACGGAATACACGTGTTTCATTAAAATTGCAAATTGAGCCTAAACGATTAATGGTAGCAAAAAAAGTTACTTAAATAATCAATGTAGAATTAAATTAACTATCAGAATCCGAAATCAGAATTTAAAAACTCCAACTTTAATTTTCAACATAAAAAGAGAAATCTTATTATCTAATTATCTCGAGAACTAAAAGAGCTAGAAAAAGAAAAACTTGATAACTTTGATCCTTGAAAAATTCCCTACAGAATGGCATCCTAACTGAAAAATGATAAAAGTGGCACAAAAAATTTTTAAAGAAAAGATTTTGTTATAAAAAAGGCAAAAGATTTCTCTTTTTTATGTTGAAAATTAAAAGTGGGAATTTTTCAATTCTGTTTTGGGATTCTGATAGATTATTTAATTTTACTTCGATTATTTAAGTAATTTTTTTTTCATAACAGTGACCTTTTAGGCCCTATTTGCAATTTTTATTTTTTGTTTAAGAACTGATGGAGAAATCGAGTAATTTAGTTTTTTACACATTTCTCGGAAACCGATGGAGATAAACGAAAATAGTTTTCAGATTTAACTGCAGGGAGGAATTCTATATTATATAGCACTTTAAAATTTTCATTTTGCAGCAATTACATGATTATTGAAAATGGTCAATAACTCAAAAACTAATTAAGATAGGAAAACAAAACCAAGATTAATGGACTTTTTGCATCATTCTACACCATGTTAGAAAGTTTCGTAAAAATCTGAAAGGTATTTCAATTTGGTGTGTTTCGATTTTCACCAGGTTTTTCCGAAATAATGGCGATATCGAAAAACTGACTGGATATCTTTCATCCCCTTGTAATTCTTAAGCAATTGGCGTTTTCCATTTTCTTATAGCTTAAAAAATTATTTTTGAGCCATGAAATAGTTAAGTGTAACCTCTTGACTAATTTTGAGTGGTGTCTGGTCAACTTTTCAGAATCAAAAAACTAAATCTGCCATTTTATAGAGCCTTATCGTGTCATGAAAAAAATACAAACACATTTGCTGTAGCGCTTATAGTTTCCACGGAAATCGCGGCGGAAAATTGTTTTCCATTGGCTTAAAAATTAAAATTTTAAAATCTTATCTGACGTAGAATATTTTGCTGAACATAAGGCAGTTTATCGTTTTTGATTATCACTCATAGTTCTTGAGATAACCGGTGCTGAAGTGTTGCAGCAAGTATACGTTTCACTTAAATACGTCTACAGGGTAAACGGTAAGTACTAATAAGTAAAACATTATATTCTTAAAGTAATTAAGAGTTCCTCTACACAATGGTATTATTAGTTTTCAATAAACATTCGAAATACTAATTAAAATGTCAGGCGCCTCCGCCACATTTTAGTTAATTATTTGCATTCAATAAAAATTACAAAAACCTTAAATTTTTATTTCAGATTATGAATAAGGACAATTATCTCAATGAAATAGTTTACTACATTATTTTAATTAGAAGTTTGGTTTAGAAGATATACTCAAAAAACTGATAAATCTGGTTCAAATAGAAGACGTCATTAGGGCCTTAAATAATGCTTGTAGAACAAAAGTTTACTAAAATAAAGGATTTATAATGTTCTGTTTTATCATAATCCGAAAAAAAACTTCAAAATTGATCATTTTAATTTATGCCATAAAAATCATGCGAAGAAACATGCGAAAAGATTTTGCTATAAAAAAGGCAAAAGATTTCTCTTTTTTATGTTGATATTAAAAGTTGGAATTTTTAAATTCTGATTTCGGAATCTGATAGCTTGATGAATTCTCATTAACTTATTTAAGATGCATTTTGTTGCAACACTAATCGTTTAGGCCCTATTGACAATTTTGTAGAAAAATTTGAATTCGCATAGAAACGAATTTAGTAATGATGAAATAGTTCGACCCTGTGTTTCGACCGAAAATATTTTAAGGTAATAGTTCGATCCTGTGTTTCGACCAAAAATATTTTAAAGAAATAGTTTCACCTTGTTCTTCGCACGAAATTTAAATATAAATTTGGCACTTTCTATAACAATTATCACACATTACCAATTGCTCTATCGACAAATATTATTTCTAAACACGCAGAGGTAAATATCGTTAAAAATATTAAATTAACTGCCATATATTTTATCACAAAGATATCTTTTGGAATTTAACAAATTATTACGATGTGATGTGACAATGATAAGATTTTTCACTTCATCTTCTTGTATCCAAACTTGGATCCTACCCTACGTTTCCCAGTGACCGGTGGCTCATCATTGCAGCCACTACCTGTCAACGGATTGCGCTGAATGTTGGACCCGGAATACTGGTACATCGGCCTTGAAGCACCAGCCTCAGCGCCATGCCCCTGGGCCCCAAGCAGCCCCCTGCCAGCCGGCTCTCCATCTCCAGCGTCTCCCGATGCAGCGTGGTCCATTTGAGGGCCATCTTGTTCCGGTGCCTCATCCATCCCGGCGCCATCTTCTTCCCTGATTGAATCACGCTCGGGAACAGCCTGTTCCGGCTCGTTATTACCCATACATCCAGCTGGGAAAACACTGGAATTGCAGGGCTGGCGTCGTGTAATGCGGAAGGACTTCTTTCCAGCCACGCTGAACATCTGATTCCTCTCGTCGTCGGTGCTCTGACTGAATAAATCACCGCGATGCATTCTTAGGTCGTTTTTTCAGTATTATCGTAAATATTTGTATACGTGCGATCAGACTGGTTCGCAATTGAATGAAAGCAATTTAATATTAATATTCGGCACTTGTTTTGCAAAGGCAACTTTGATTTCCCGATTTTCGCCAACATAAAAACAAATTGTTTCGAGAAAATAGTGCAGAACGATTAAAAACAAATAGTTCATATTTTATTATGTATATTTACAAATTAGCTACAATTTCTTACAATTGCTGTTATACAATAGTCAATTTATTAATGCATTAATCAAGAATAGTACAATATAATTATTTATGATTAACAAAACGAAAGGTAGTATCCCAATTCCCTAAACAATTGACATCGATATTTACACATTTAACTAGCCAACATTGGTCATTTCTTAAGAGTGAGTTTAAAATAATCGCGCGGCGGCCATATCATATAAGTTACGTGTTTGTTCGCGTGAGCCGCAGTCCGCCGCTCCTTAAGTGTAATATATACAAATTGTCTAAAAATGAGTATTCTGTTGTTCTACGCGAGTGTGCGCTCATCCTACAGGAACGCCGCCGTCGTGTGGTACAAGCGCGCCAGCACTTGTACGTGCACCGGCAGGCAGGACAGGCGATCACGTGTGTTGTCATCCAGTGCTAGCCACGACAGTGCATTGTACCCTTCAAGGACGTACCTAAAACCAGACCAGACCAGACATGTTTAAACATGGTTCATTTTGTATTTATCAAAAAAATATAGGTATACCTCAATACATCCGTCGTGTATTGCGAGTCAAGCGCGTGAGACGTGATGGCCGTTTGGGGCAGAAACTCCTCGGAATTCTGCTGCACGTTCGGGCTGTGCAGGTGCAAAGCGTTCTTGAGGAATGCCGGACAAACGCCCTCAAGGTGCGGGCAGCTGGCCCAGAACCAACGCGGCATCTTGCCGGTGGGTGCCGTGCTTACGAGATAACCAAGCGCAAGCGGCTGCTGCAGAACTGTACCAATCTCTTCCAGCTCGCCGCGCTGCGTCCCCGAATTGGAAGGAAATGGCGACGGTTGATTGACGTGTAGTCCGGACGGACTGCCCATCAAGTCGTCACGACGTGGTGAACCCGTTGGGGACGTTACCGCGCCGCCATTGTCCGTCCAGTTGAAGATGTCGCCAAAGTCTTCGTTAAAGTGTTCATTCATATCGTCGTTTAGATCGTTAATATTAAAGAGCTCGTCGTCCGGGTCGATCGAGTTTTGTTCCTATACAACAAACAAACAAAAACAACATTATTCATCTGTAAATCAAACGATGAGGGTTCTATACGTACTTGGAAGGTGGTTTGGCTAGATTGTGTCGTGGCGCTAGTTGGAAACACCAGGATATGCGTGCAGGTGACGTCCTGCGGCGTATTTAGATGCGAGTTGACGCTGATCTGGCTGAAGCGTTCGTCGGGCGTGAACTGGTCAGGCATCAGCCGCAGTGTGCTATCCGGTTCCAGACTGACGAGACATGCGCTGAGGATGCTCGGCACGTGTTGGCCCATCAGTGAGCACTGCTGGCACACCTCTTTGATCTGTTTGCTGGCTGCAAGCAGGTTCTTGCGACTGAGCAAGAACGACCAGCCCTTGAGTTCACCATGCCCAATACGTCCAAGTCGGCCAACAACGAGCCGCCATGGTTTGACGCTTTGTGAGATGACGCCGAGCACGAAATCCATCAGCTTCTGCAGGCCAAGGCGGCGTGCTAACGAAAGCGACCGCCGGCGGCGCTGACGGTTGGGAATGTTCACGTTGATCGCGATAGTCTCGAAAATCTCGCCCTTCTCATCGGTGGCAACGGCGAGCAGGTAACTCTGGTCCTCAGACAGGCAGTAGGAGAGGTATAAGATGGAGGCGGCGTCCGACGGCTGGCCAAAAGACTCGGCATTTTCAGCTTTTGCCTTCAGCGGACCGAGCACATACGGCGGCGAGTAGAGTTTATAAGCCGCTCGATTCTTTTCCTGTATGCCGCAACGGCCAAAACACAAAAATCAATAACAACTCAACCAAAATGCTAAGCAGTAAACAACTTACGTCTTTATTTTTGAGAAAAAGTTCTGCAGTTGCGGCCGTACCAAAACCTGTCAGCGTTTTTCCAGCGCTGTTGGCATGCGTGAGTCGTCTTCGCGACTGTGAGAAAACAGAGAGCGCGAGTGATCGCATATGGTCGGCGTGACGTTTGCGACGAGCACGCGCCCGCCCCAGCTCAATCACACTCTCCTGTGAAATGATTTGCACGCTGACATTCGCGCGGTGCGCCTCACCCAAGTTCTGCACCACTGAGTCAAAGTTGCGCAACAGTGACAGACACGAACTAACACTGGGTGCGCTGGTGTCGGTGAAAGGGTCGACAATGTAAACGACGACAGCGGGAATCTCCCGTTCGTCCTCTTCGCTCTGCAAAGTCGTCGCACACGTACTGGAAATCTGCGTGGTGGGCAACGTCGAGAAACTAGAATTCGCCGAGTGATCTGGGTCTTTGATGTCCTCCTCGGAGGCTTTCGGCGTGAGTGGAGTAGCAGGTTTGTCAACTGTGATAGCCGCGCCTGCTTCCAACAGCAGGTCATCTTTGCCGGGAGATGAGTTATCGAGAAGCGTGTTGTCCATCGGTAACTGACTCAAAAATCCGAGAGAATTTCGACACGAACTTGCATAACCTACACACATACAAAGAAAGCCACACATAAACACACAGAACAAATAACCATTTATTGATAAGCATACTTGAAATGTCTTCGGTTTCGCTAGATTTGGTGTCGGGAAGAATCGCCCTCTTGATGCGCACGATTCCCTCGCGCGAGATCTTGCTGATCGCTTGATGCCGTCCCAATTTACACATCTCATACGAGCTGGACAGCTCTCGGAAGAAGCGGCGTGTACGTTTTGCAATCACCTCGTTGTCAGGACAGAGGACCACAAAAGCGATGTCTCTGGAGTAACTGTACGGCTCAAGTAACAAAGCCTCCCAGTGCTGAAGTGCGTACGGTGATAACGACAACCACTCCTTCTCGTGTCCCACGATAACGCTGGGAATCGGCTGTGGTTCGCAGCGGTCGTCAGTGCCACGACCCGCCAACCGATGAAATTGTCGCCAGGTGAGAGGACCTTTTACAGCCGAAGGTGGCTCCCACAGCCGCGTTTGACACTTCTTTTGAATAGCGGTCTGTAAGAGCGGCTGGAGGCAGCGCATCACGCGGACAATGTCCTGGTTGCACTGAGGGCCACGCGCACGCAGATACGGCCAGCGGTGAATGGAGTTTTTACCGTCGCGAGGCGTCTCACGACTACGACGCGTGAAATCACCGCGAAAATCGCACATGGAGCGAATATTCTCGCGCAAATCGCCGTAGTGATCCAGCACAATGGTGGTAATATCGTTGCCGTCTGTGAATTCGAGGATGTTGAGTTCAGCGGCGACGTTGGCGGCTTCTTCGCGCGGCGTGTCCAACCGAAAGATCGCATTTGCACTGTTCTGTATCACCACGCACTGCTCGCGGATCAGCTCCATGATGGAATTCTCGCTGCTGCTTACAAGACTGACATTGCCGACGTTCAGCGCTGGATCCTGTGCAATACCAGTAATTTCCATCTCGTCCTCGTAGAAGAGGCCGCTTTTGTGCGCCAATCGTCGATTGATAATCGCAGAGAAACCGCAGCTGCAGCGAATTTGATCGTCATCGCTAGGCATACCGCTGGCGTCCAGGAAATTACCCGAACCGGAGTTATTACTGGCGTTTGGCAGGTAAATAAGCGCGTCGGCGCCCTTAATATTGCCAACCACCTTGGGGCCGGCATTACACACGCACAGCGTGCACGAATCAAAGTTATGGTCGCGGAAGATGTTTAATAGCGTGTCGGCCAACAAGATGTTCACCAGGAGGCTGTTGACTTCAACGCGACCAAGCGCCGGATTGGGCGCGATAGTATTTGCGCTGGGATTCGGAGTGATGGCTTCCTCCATTGAGTTGGTGGCTGTGGAAGTAGCAGGCGAGGGCTTCTCGGCGAAGAAGTCTTTGTTCTTAAGGAAAAGCTCCGCTGCGTTGCTGGGCATTGCCGTCGTACAAGGACGCTTCTCTTCGGTGTTGGCATTGGTGGTCGCCGGTGTGTTAAGCAGCGCTTCGCGTTGTTGCATCTCACGCGAGATCCATGACGGTTTGTAAACGCAGTTGGTAGGTAAAACGACAGGCGGAAGGTTTTGGCTAGGGAGGTTAGTGAGCGGCGCATATTTACTGCTCCCGAGCATCTTGCACATCAGCGGCGGCCGAAAAACAAAACTCCAATCCTCGATGTGCTCTTCACGTGGACTACCCATGGCTGGGTAGATTTGCGGGCCGACAACAATGCCACCGCCTAGATCTGTAGTGATCTCAAGCTGGGGTGAGGCAATTGGCCGCTCGAGCGACGGCGGTGTTGGGAACATTTGCGCGAGATGCTCGGCGGGCGGTAGCATGGTGGTGAAGAACTTTTTCTCTTCACCGGTAGGCAACAACGGTTTATTGCTGCCAGGAGGTGTGGCCATTTGCAGGACTTCAGGCGATGCTTCGTCCTGGTTGTCGAAGATCTCGTCCAAATCGTTGTAGCTTACTTTGAGGCCTTCGCTGGTCAAAAGCGAATCCTGTGATGTTTTAACAGCACCACCCGCTTCCTCTTTGATGCTTGTTTTCTTATCCAGTTCCTCGTCGAATTCGTAAGGATCACCTGGTCGTTTGGCGCCGCCGCCTTGCATGGTTTTACCGCCTCCGCTAGGAGAAACGGGGTCATCTCGTGGCTCCACTTTGATTTCTTGCGAGTACATTTCGTAGAGGTCGGCGTTCTTAACGTTACGCCACTTGGAGGAGTCATTGGCGTCTTCCTGACCGCGGTAGCGCTTGACAGGATGGTTAATCCACGCTGTCATCGTCGAGTAGTCATAGAGCAAATTCAGATTGGGGTCCTCTTCCTCAGGCGCGTCCTCCCGTGGCATGAGAATGGGCCGTTTAAGCGCCTTGACGACCACTTCTTTCGCATCGTTCTTCATCGGCGTTTTCGGCGTCTTTGGCGTGCGCGGCGGCAGCGGTGTTTTGGGCGTGTCCTCACCGGCTTCGCCGCAGTCAACCGCCTCGCCGCTGGCTGGTTTCTCATGCATTGGCGTCTCGTGCGGCGAGAGCGTTGGCATAATCTCTTCTTTGATGGGCGGCACGCTCGGAGGTTGTGCGCTACGCGGATTAGGCAGCGGTGAGGGCGCACCTACCGAACCCGGCGGGCTGCCCACCGACGGTATGACCAGAGACTCCTGCGTTCGAGGCGCGCCGCCGCCCGCGCCTGTCGGAGTGTAGCTGCCGCTCGCCGGACACCTGCAAACGGAGACAATATAAATAAGCGTGAGCCCAAAACCCCACCTACCAAGAGAGACCGCTGAATGCGGCAGAGAGAACATTTGAAAAGAAAAACCAACAAATTAGTCGTGTGAGTGAAAGCCAACACCACCCCGTGCCACCTTGTCATTTTGCGATCGGTTGTTTCTTTGTTCATAAATTTTTATTTTAGTTTTCTGGCTTTTAAAAGTTCGCAATTTGACCAACCTGACGACCTGCGGCCGCGAATGGAAGGGCGCAACGTTGGCGACGCCCCCCTTCGACAAAGATGACGTGCGATGTTCGCCCGGCCCGCCGGACGAGCGCTTCCTACATCTGGACAACACACACACATATACAGGACACATGCAAAATCACATCCGTTTGCAGCACGCGGCATGCACGCCCGCGCGGGTATACACAAAACAAACCCAAGCGCGTATACTGCCTGTTGCAAACAGCGAAAATCGCCTACACTATCATCGATCCGCGGGGAAGACGGGGTGTGTAAGGCGGTGGCGCGAATTGACTTACTTGGAACAAGTGCAAATGACTTTACGCAGCGGATCGCTGTACTCCCATTCGGATTCCTCTTTGCCAGTGGTGTACGCGTGCATGCATTCCTGCCACACGCGCTCTGGTATCACCGTGGATGCGGTCGGAGAATGCTGCATGGATGCAGTGTTCGCCACGGTGCTGACGGCGAACGGACCCGGGTGCGAAAGGCGCGTGTCAATTGGCACCGTCGTCATCGTGGACGACGTTGATTGCATGGGAGGCGAAGGTGGTGGCGTCATTGGTATACTCCCTAGGCGAACACAATGTCCAATGTAAGGATACGCTTTGAAATCATGCATGACCCAGTGTGGCAAATAGTGTGTAACGCGTTTATACCTGCACTTTTATTGATGGAGGACGTTGTGGTTGTGGTATTATTAGCAGTGGGTCCACTCGCTACGTTGGGTTGGTCCATATCGGTGATGAGGACATAGCAGGCGGGATATCGCATACGTACGCCGCCGACAATCACCTCGACGATATTACCGTAACATCCTGCCGACGGCCCGCCGCCGTCCAATGTCGGCGCGGTGCCGTTGGAGTCCGATGGTGATGGGGCAGGAGTCGAAGCAGCCGTGGAACCAGTCATTGCCGAGACGCTTCGGTCAATCGGGTAGAACTGCGCCCATTCGTCAAGCAAGCGTGCGCCTTGTTCGGGTCCAGCTGCCGATGTAGATTTGTAACTGTTCCCCGTGAGGGTGCCAGCTAGACCGAATGGTGCGAGGATCACTGCAAGAGAATGATGTATATTTACTTTTAAATCGTTTCACGCGATTTTGAAGACAAACCTTGTATGCCCTGATTGGAAGCCTGAGCGCGTTGGAGATGATGTCTTTGCACTTTTCGCACGGGCGGATGCTGCCGTACGTCAATGCTGGCGCAGACGGAAGACTCGCCGTGTACGAAAAACGCGAACGAGAAACTGAGGTGGCCTTCGTTGGTATCCCCGCAGGGCTGCACGAACCATTTGCCCAGGCGCACAAAATCGCGCGACAGAAGACAGCGCTCGATGAGGTTGTGCAGCGCCTTGAACAAGAGCGACCTGCATTCGTACGACAGGCCGCTCTCCCATGATCCCTGCGAACCCTGGTCACTATCTGTAAACCACCCCCGAGAGGTTTTAATGAGTAAATGTCGATTGGGGTTGCATTCAAGCAATCGAGCTTACCCTGTTTGAGTAGCTCTGGCGCGACCAAGTCCATCAGGTCCGGCTCCTCGCCGTACCAGAAGATCCACAGCTCCTTGGAAGCTGCCAAACTAAGCGGAGGCGGCGGCGCCGGAGGCGGGACGATTTCATACATGCTGGTGCTCTGCTGCGGGGTGGCGACGCGCCGCCACACGCATAAAATATCGGCGGCGAGGCATCGCGCATACCCGCGCAGGATTGGGTCCTCCAGGGGATCCCCATTGAAATTGTTATCGCTCCACACGAGCTTGCGCCACTTGATACCCGATAGCTCGGTCTGCAATAAAGAACAATAACATCAGCGACGAGTGGAAAAGCGGCGAAAATATTTACGCGAGCCGCGAGTAAATAAACAAAAATGTTTCAACGATAACATCGCACGCGCCACGCAGCCCGCACGAGCGGCGAAGAGATGCGAAGAACCGTAAGCGAGCAGCGGCGCGGTGAAAACACGGGCAAGTCAGTGAACCTACGCCGCGCGCTCGCTAGCGGCACACGGCTCGCGCACCCAGCAAGTGCGCCTGTCCGCCCGCCGGGCGCCCCGCGAGTGTCGTCTGTTTACATACAAAAATGCGCGGCCATGTGACGATACCAAGCGCGACGCGTAACGGCGCCCGAACGGGACCTACATTCGGCGCACGCCGTTCGGACTGTCGCCGGCTGACATGCTGCGCGCCCATCTAGCGGCGACACTCCGTACGTGCCGCCCGCCGCCCGCGCGCACCTGGCCACTATAATTATGCGCTCCGCGCTCGCTGCATGCGAAAGAATCGCGGCTACGAGCGCGAATGCCGCGAATTGATATGCGGACGGCGCGCCGCAGCTTTTCCGAGCGAAAGCGGCGCGCCAGCCGGGAAAGCGACTCACCAGCGCGAAGAAATTGGTGTGGCAATCCTCGAGACTCGCGCCGTTCGTCTGCAGATTTGGGTGCGTCATCCTCGCAGTGCGTCGATAAACACTTCTTCAGCCCTCCGGAGTGGCACTGCCATGCTTTCACATCGCTTCCCCGATGCACTCGGCGACGAACACAGATACACTCGGCGAGCGCGACAAACACCGCAGCGAATGGACGACGACGTCGGTGGGATGCGCAGCGGCTGCGGCGACGGTGGTGCCGACTGCGGCGGTGGCGGCCTCGCTGGCGGAGCACCGCTCCCTGGGGCGGCGAGCCGTATGCTGGGGGCGCCTGTGGCGCTTCACGTCGCCCGCCGGCCTCCTATGCGGAGCGGGGCATCGCGCCGATGCGGCCCCGTGAATGCTGCACAGCCGCGGCCAGCCAAACACTCTTCGCCTCCTTCGGATCGATGTTTTCGGCACGGGCGGCGGCGACCGGTACGCACCCGGCGACGGATTCACCTCGACGAAGGCGGGCGCGACGCGATTCGCGAGTCAGGGCGCGCGCGTTGCTGCTAGGCTCGCGAATATTGGACGAAATGTAGCACAAATCTTCGTCGAGAAAATGGCGGAGTGCGGTCGACTCGTCGAGCTCTGAATGGACTTCGCGAAGCGCACGAACCCACGAAGCGCTGGCCGAGCGTGCCCGACGCCCGTCGTCGGTGGTCGACTTTCGAACTACCCAACCCCTCCAACCACGGCAACCCAACACACACACGCACTTTCAAATCTTTCCAAACTGCGCACGCACGCACACGCAAGTTTCACCACACAGAACAAAACAAGCAAAGGGACTAGTAGAATTAAAAGAAAACTCAGCGCTCAGACTAACTGTTTATTGTATTGACTCGTCACATTTTCAATAGTTAACGATAATTCAACGGTTACAATCAGTAAACACTAGAACCCGTCCACGCTACACCTAATTAATCAATCAATCGAATCATCATGGTACGCACTCGCCTCACCTACTCAAAAATCGAATCATCTTACATAAACGCCTATCGTGTGTATAACAGTAATTCATCAATAATAATAATATATTGCACTAGTGCAGGTACGGAACGGAATAACGACAGTAAATTGACTGAATCGACAACAGCGTCTTCTCATCCAATGCACAAATATTACTGCGTCGGGGAATCTCGCTGGGTGATCGAATTAACTAGTCATCACTTTGCAGTGCGTGCGCGTCTAACAACCTTGCTTCATCAGCAAGCTCGCCAGCTTAAAGACACGCCACCAGGCGGTCAGCGGCGGCGTCGGGCCCTCCTCCATCGGCGTCTCCTGCGGTTTGCCCGCCGTGGATGCGCTGTCCTCGTTCGAGGACGAATCCTTACCGCCGTTCGCCGACGTATTATCCTTCTGACCGCTGATTGCTGGCGACGTCATCTGAACAAACAGAAAATTAAACACAAATCTCGGCATGCTGAGATTTCGTTCGTTTCGACTCACGTTTGATCGACTAGATTGCAGTATATTCGTGGTGGTGCGTGCGGACGGGCAGTCGGGCGGCGAGTCTGTGAGAGTCCTGCACACGGCGTCGCGGCTCCTGCGCTCGCACGACGATATCGAGCGAATGAGTGCGCTTCCAGCGCGCATGTAGGTCACCGTCGCGAGGCCGAACGCGCGTCGCACGCACGCGGGGCGCCCACACGCGCGTGTACACAACACCGATTACGTAATCGACGCGGCGGCGCTTTATTGGAAATTTGTAAACACGGCGGGCGGCGCGCGCGTGGCTTTACTGCCGCCTGCCCGCCAGCCAGTCAGTCAACCTTCACGTTTCATTCACATCCAACGCATAAATCACACACAATTCGCATCATTGCATCCAATTACTCTGTCACACACACCACACACTCAACAAACACGCAGCAGTCTGGTTTTTATTAGTTATACTTTTAATAAAATTAAACACTTCGTTTAACTATGTACAAGAATCAAATCAAGTTCGTGTTAATATAAATTACTATCGTTTTACAATATGCTCTGCAAACGTAAGTAGTTTTTGTTTAATGATTGCACTCGTCCACCACCAAAATTTTCAATTTGCGCTGCTGGCGCGCAATAATAAGTAATTAATTTAAAAAAAAAATGATATGTTATACATTTTACAATATTTCACAATTTACGCGTGTCCGCCGCCTCCATTTTTTTACACTAGTAGTGATAATAAAAAAGAGCTGCTTAATGTATGTACACTCGCTATCAATATTCATATTTATATCATCAATATATCTATATATCAAATAAGAAACAATAAAAAAAATCATTATCATCATGAGCAAAAATGCACTTAAAATACTTCTAAGCGTCAAGTATTCATTTTAAAAAATAGGACCGTGTTTACCATCGCGCGCAAATGATTATTGCTCGTTTCGAAATTGGAAGAGGCCATCATCGTGTGCCTAGCGCTGTCTCAGCTATGATATGAACGCTTAATTAATAGTAATACTATGTTATGTTAGATCATGATATGACTGCGTGGTTGAAGGGCTCTGGAATGTCGTCTTGCAGTTAATCTCAAAACTGGTGTTGCCGTAAATGCGTCGTTAGTCTTTTTCGTATTAATCTCTGAATCATTGCACTCGCAGGTCGCCTCCTGCACCTCCATCTTCTGCTGCTGCTGCTTCTTCGTCTGATTGTTCGTCGCTGGTGTTCGCGCGACACGACGATTACTCCGCCAATGGGGGCGGGTATTATCTGTCGCCTTCGCGATAGTTGTGCGCCTGCCATTTGAACTCGCCGCTCATTATCCACTGCTGGCCGAGGGCGGCGTGCGCGCACGGTCGCAGCAGCGGCAGGTTCATGTCGCTCATTTCCGGTTTCTGCAGGCACTGGCCGGTGTTTACGTGTTTTATCGTTTTTTCCTACAAAACACAATAAAAACCAGTGTTACAAGTGAGTTTTTCGTTGAATTTAACCGCAAGTTTTACAAAAACCAGCGATAAAACATAAAATAAACAGTGATAATAAAATTTCTCGCTATAATCATGCATGAACATAGTTTTAATTCACTCAGTTGTTGAAAAAATGATATTTTAGTATCGCAATGTACAAAAATAACCATTTTTTAACAAAATTTCACTGATTTTTGACTATTTTTCATGATAAAATTTAATATTTTTACTTTAAAATTAATTTTCATGCACTGACCAATCAAAAAATGATATTTTACTATCGCCAATATAAAAAAATGCAATTTTTGACAATATTCCACCGATTTCGACCATTTTTTGATGATAAAACTTAATAATTACTTTAATATCATAGGTCCAAGCCTGATTCCCACCCATGCCATGGCATCGAACCAGTTTAACAGGTCCGTTCTTACGACTGGCGTCCAGACAATTATCATCGGCCATAATCTGCTGGCGCTTGGTGTACGCAAACACCTGATTACCGCCCAGATTGTGGCAGTAAGTCATGCCAAGGTTCTCGCCGGCTTTGCGACCCATTGTATCCAGACAATTCGTTGTCTCCACATTACGTATCTAAAAAACACGAGCCACGGTTACAACGAATTTAATACCAAAACCCAAGCGATAAAGATAGCAGAGTCATAAACGCGGTATCATTCATTACTGTTATCATTCTTTTATCGTTATCAGTCATAATACTTTGATGACTTTTTGTTTATCAATATTTATGACTGTTTTAAAATGACTTCGGAGGTGCTTTCATCATGCATGAGAACTTTTCACGCGCATTTGCCACAAATTCGAGCAATAAAAGATAAGAAACGTGGAAAAAATGAAAAATAATCATAGCATACATCTCCTAAGTAGTAGTAATCCAATGGCATCTGTGATTCGGGATAGATATGCTCCAAATACCAACGGAATGACTTGCATTGCAGGCGTTCCCGTAATTCCCTCCTGGAAGTAACGTCTCCGACAGGCACGGAGCGTGCACCTAGAGAAAAAATACTTTAAAATTCAATATTTAGGGCAATAGACACCCAAAAGCACCACAACCAGCAAACGCAAAGCAACTTATCAACAACAAAACTTTTTTTCAAAAGGTTAAAAATATTAGTGCAGGCAAAACAAAACTAAAAACTAAATAAAAAAGCAAGACATGCGTGAATGTGTGTGTCTAAGGACATGCATGATCGTGTGTTTTGTGTGTGTGTGTACACTCTCTCTCAACCTGGATTAATGTTATAGTAGAAATCCTTCCACTGGTCGAGCCACACCTCCGCAAGGCGGGCGTTGTTGTGGTTGACGATGCGGCTGGTGCCGCCCGGGAATGAATACGGCGTCGACTTGCGGAACACGTGGCCGACGTGCGAGCACGTGGCGATCTCCAGCGTGCCGCCGCACATCCAGATCTAAACGTACGCCGGCCGCCACAATACGGATGGGGGGTTAATAACAAACACACCATATCGTTAGTTACATACATCGAGACACATCAAATGAGATTAGTCACATACAATGTGTTAAATATATAAATAAAAATTGGTTATGGTTACGATTGTTAAAAAACGGTATTGAAACATGCGTCGGTTAATTTCACGCCGCCCTACGCTTTGTTATTATTAGCAATGATGCACCCGTTTGGTTTCTGGTTGGTTTTGGTTTTAGACATTCGATGCGCGCGCGCATTTTTTGCTTGTTTGTTTATTTGGTGCAAACCTGGATTCATCGCGTAATAGAAATCCTTCCACTCGTCCATCCAGACTTCGGCGACGCGTGCCGCGTTGTGCAGCACGATCTTCGACACGCCGCCGGGGAACGTGTACGGTGACTTGTCGCGAAAGACGTGCCCGACGTGCGAACACGGTATTATCTCCAGGATACCACCGCATTGCCATATCTTTACACATTTGCATGTTTTCATTTAAAAATTCCAACAAAATCAAACAACAAAACAAAATAATCAAATTTAAAGCATAAATCAACTTACTCGGAAGCTCATTTCAAGATTTTCACCGCCCCAGATGTCCATGCCTTCGTCGTATGAACCAATTTCATAGAAATAATCCTTATCGATGCTGAATAATCCGCCCGCCATTGTTGGCGTGCGCAATGGCGCTGTGCGATCACCACCACGCCGATCCATCTCACGCTGTGGCACACGATACCATCGGAAATTCAATTTCCAATTGAAGCCGCCCCAGGTCATATCCGACGCGCTGATGTACTCGAAAGTCTCGTCTGATATCACGTCGATAATCGGACAGACGACAGTTTTCCGGTCTTCGACGATACGCGCTAATAACGGCTCCAACCAGCCTTCTGTACACTCGCAATGCGCATCTAAGAAAGTAATAACCTGCCCTGTGACATGTTTGGCACCTAATAATCGTGCGCGTATCAATCCGGAGCGTTTCTCCGTACGTAAAACAAAAACAGGCACCGGGAGAGTCTTACAATACTCCTCCAGCTTGCGCCCGAGGTGATCCCGTTCGCTAGCGTCGTCTACAAGGATGATTTCTTTGAGGAGCGGCCGCGGGGAACGATTTATCACCGACCAGACGGTACGTAGCAGTGTGGACCAAGCCTCATTGTGGAAAACGATGACGATTGATGTGGTAGGCAGCAGGTTTGGGTATGATTTGTCTTTGCATCCTTCAAGTCTTACATCCGCGAGCGAGCGATTCAAGGAGATGGAATCGCTCGCCAGCAGGTTGAATTGATTGAGTTTGAATTTCTCCTTCATGAGCGCTTGTTGATCTGGTGGTGTATGGACTGGTTTACCGTGTTCGCCGGGTTTTCCAGCCACTGGCAGCACCGTCGGCGCAGGCCGCCATTTCTTTAATTCCGATCGTTTGTATTTTGTTTCTACTTTATTTAATCTGCAAAAAAACAATTTATTTTATGTATTGTCATTGATTTTTTATGCTTGTGCAGCATAATTGATATCATAAAATGATGAGTGTGCAGTAAACGTCCGTGACTTACTTATCATCGGGTTCTTCTTCTTGCGGTTCGTCGTTGAAGTCGTAGTCTTTGTGCTTGCCGGCGGCTTGCGCCGCTTTTTCCTGCGTGAGCGCACCGACCTCGACGTCGTACTCACCAGCCTTCTTGCAGTGCGAGCCGATGCACTCCGAGTAGAAATTGAGCAAGAATACGACGACCAGGAACCACACCAGCGAGGTGAGCAGGATTACCCGACACGTATGTATGCGCAACTTGCTGTGGAGCATCCTGGCGTGTTACGGATGCGTCGTGAAGGCGGGTGAAGACGGTGCTGCCGAGTGCGATGTGCGTCCGTTCGCGCCTTAGTATCCGGGCATGGCTTTCAATCGGCGGGCATGGCGCGTCTGGACGCGGAGTTGGAATTTATTCTGGCCGACGTGATCGACGGACGTGATTCTGTCGAGTCGTCAAATGCGTTCGTGCGCTTCGTGCGCTAGTTTCAAGGGCATTCAGAGACGTGTCACTTGAACGCGCATATATATTACATTGATAGCGCACGCGTATGCAGCGCCACAAGCAAGTCAAAGACACGTATTCATTATACATTTATATACATGATTGGCAAATAAATTAAATTCTGTAAATAATACAAGAGATAATACAATTTACAGATTATTTTACGTAAAATTACAACGTATAAAATACTATACATTTATTTAAACAGTTTATTTCCTAATAAACGAAACAAAATTTAAAATTTCAATTGTTGAAATTGACAGTTTCGATAACCTAGAATTCTACGCTCATACGACGTCCATTTTGAGTGTTTATAAACGTTCCACAACAAAGTTCCACATAGAGAAAAAGAAAAGATGGAACCAAAGGAAGGCGCCTCGAAATCCTTTGCAGAAAAGCAAGCGGAGCGTATGTCCCGCTTGAAAGCACTCCACTCTGCACGTAACAAAGCACGCGCCGAAAACCACCAGGAAGTCCTCAACGAGAACGCTCGCATGAAACTCCCAGCCAACTACGAAGCACGCCAAAGACAAGCCGAATGGTTATTAAAAGATAAAGAACTCCGCGCTGAAGCTAAACTAAAAGGACAAGACTACGACCGAGTTAAACTACTAAACATCTCCGCGATCGAAGCGGAAAATCAACAAAAACGCAAGAAGAAAAAGAATCCGGATGAAGGTTTCAGCGATTTTGAGGCTGCCACAGCCCGACAGCATCAGAGATTGATCAAAAACATGCCCGCAAAGGACATGGATCACTACGAAGAGGAAAAAGCGCGGTATGGCGACGCATTCTACGGCGGAAAGAATATAATCATCCATGGCATGCATAAAGACAGACCACAAGCAGTTGACAACATGGTGAAGGATCTTGAGGGACAGATTGCAAAGAGAGAGAAATATTCACGACGCAGGACGCACAACGACGACGCCGATATTGATTACATCAATGAGCGCAATGCGCGCTTCAATCGCAAACTGGACCAGTTCTACGGCGAATACACCACCGAAATTAAGCAGAATCTTGAAAGAGGCACTGCTGTGTAAATATTATACCACAATAAACACATTTTAGGTCTGAATCTCTCGTTTCAGTTGTCTAATCATATCATAATCAATACTTTACTTGCAAAAATATGTGATAATTTGAATAAATTTACGTGTGGAGGTTCGTTCGTTATTTACATTGCTTTATATCACCCACGAATGAACTATTCCTGCAAAAACAAAGAAAAAACATAGAATTTTGCTTGCATTAACATGAAATCTATGTTGAAATGTTGAAAACTTACTCCGTGTTATTCGAGGCGTCACATGTATGTGAATATTGTCTCCGGGGGCGGCCGATACTGTAAAATGTAGATTTTTGTAGATTGCAGACAAAGAAGATGGCGTGCATAACAAAAGCAGAAAAATCAACACATGCGCAGTTAATAGGTTTGGTTATATATAAAACAAAAAACACACACACGTCAATGCAGAGGTTATGCGATTTTTGGTAAGTTCAACGGCGTAGAGAGGGCCTTCAGCTGCGCCGCAAGTATACCGTGGAGGATGTGTGGCATGTCGCACTGCTCGCACTTGCCCATCGAGGGATGATTGTGGAATGTGCATGAGGGGCACGACCAGCCGCCGGTGTCGCCGCTGCCACTGGTGTCGGTGGATGCCGACGATGGTCGCCCGAAGTTGGGCGGATGGCGCTGCCCGACGTAGATATTACTATAGAATTCCGCGTCTGAAACAGATTCAACAATGTCAATGTGAATTCAAAATGGCGTCGATTAGTACCTCGTCGCTGTTGTTCCACACCCTGATCCACCTCAATGGAAAGATTCTCACATTGTCTACGCAGGTGGAGTATTTCGCGCAGTAATTGTTTCTCAAGTTGTTCGTTAACTGCGTCTTCATTAGCTGTGCTTTCTTGTTGTTCCAGACGTAGCACCTCTTGTTGCATCGCTGCGAGTTTATTCCGCTCAGCTTTTAGTTCGATTTTTAGCCGATCTATCTTCGCCTGTTGTCGCTGGACGGTCGGTGAGGGCGCTGTAAGCGTGATAGGTTAATACACAGTAAATGGCGGCGTTTGTTTCAGTTGTCTTACGCAGTGATAGGTCGGGCATAGAGTGATGCACGGCGCTGCCGCTGGGTATACCTTCGGAGGTGTCGTCATGGCAGCTGAGCGGGCGCGGCCGCCTCCGACGAAACGACGCCACACTGCCGCCGGTGGGACTAACAGTGATCTGGAGGCGTGACTCAAGACCTTTTTCAATATCGAAGCTGCTCGTTGAGTAGGTGAGGCTGGCGTTCGCCGACGTGATCTCAATGGGCGGCTGCGGCTCGGAACTAGGCGGGCGCAGTGTAAGATTAACGCTGGTGAACGAACGCTGATGCGCGCCGCCTCCGCTACCACCTGGTGTGGCCGGCGACGGCGTCACCTGCAGGCACGTGGTAACCTTGGCCTTGGCTGTGGGCAGAGGCGGAGTCTGCTCGGGGGCGGGTGTCAGACGGGCGCGCCCGGTGGTTGAATCGCGTCGCAGCGACGGCGAGATCGGCGGCTTCTGCCAGAGTTTGGTGACGGCGGCGTTGAGCGGCAGGCTGTCGGGACGCTTGGCGCCCATGGCGGCATTCTTCAACGGCGGCGCATCACAGTTTTTCTCACCCATATATAACAACTATACCTAACAATACGTATTTATCACATAACACCAGTCTCGACGGCGGGCTTATCACAGGCGTGAGAGCGTTATCGCGTCGTCGGCTCGCAACGTCGCGGCGGTCGGTCGTCGCAACGCCTACGTCGCGCCACTTGCTTACGTTGGACGTACACCCACGTCGTCTGCGTGCGTTCGTGATGTTGCACAACACAACAAAACACGCATCGTGCCCCCGGCGGCGGCGGCCGACCCTCGTCCGTGTCTCTTGCACGCGCCCCCCCCGAGTGGTGCGTGCTGCGCTGCTGCCCCTCGACGGCGCTCGCTAGTGCCTTGCGCGCGCGTTCCGTGCGCAAATACGGTGCCTGCGGAGCGTCGCGACTGACTTAAGTAATACATTCATGACCGACTTTAACGCGAAATGAATGCCAAATAGCTCGCCGCTTCAAAACAACGTTGCATTTCATCGCGCCGAGTGACCTTGGCGGCGTTTTCCACTTGTCGCCGGCGCGTGCTTTCCTTTATACACGCACCGAACGCCGTCCAGTGTATTTACAAATCGCCATCGCATAGGTTCTTTTCTTGCAGGAACGTTGAGTACCGAATGGAAAAAACAAAAACTCCAGTTTGCAGCGGCTATTTACGATCTTTCACGATCCCAGCTACGACAATAACCGAAGCACATGCGCTACAATGACTTAAGTCAACTTAGATTTTATACTTACTACTTATCATTAACTAACAAAATCAAAATGCAACTTTTATAACTTTAAACATCGTATATATTCTCTGTTCATCTACAAAATGCGTGTTAAACAGGTGGTACCCTTGCTTGGTTACGCTTAGGGTTGTAACACTCGGGTATTTCCGTCCGTTTCCGCCGATTACAACCGTTGCAACTTTGAATAACGCGTCGGACGCTTCATTCCGCTATGTACACCGGTCCGGGCTCGTTAACTGCCAAAATTTTAGATCAGCTGCTTTAAATTTTAAACATTTTACGATTTTACTCCCCCAATAAATGATGTCGCAGTTGAATTTTGTGCTGCCTATTAACACGGAGGAATTGCTTACATCATCTCCGGATCAGTACTATGTTCGCGAAGTTTTATCCGCATCACGAGTGAGCAAGGAATTGAAAGGTACGCACGCCGCATTGTTAACAACAGTGAGTTTTACTCTGAGTGTATTTTTTTTCTCGTCTTTGCAGTCGCGTCTGCAGGGTACAACGAAGCCGGATCCACTTATATCTTAAATCATTTTGACACGTATTTTTCGGCGGTTCATTTATATCAAGACTTGCCGCGAGTAGTAATCTATGGAGCATTTGAAGACATTAAGAAAAGCCTATTGGCCCTACCAAATGCACTCAACTTTTACATACAACAAGATGAATCGCCTCCCGAGGAAGTCAAGCAGGAGGTGCAGAATATACTCAAGATGACTATTTATCTCTATGTGAGTCTTTTCAATTGTCTAGAGAAAGCAATCACATCAGATAGCATCTTGCACAACAACCGGAAGAAATCCAAAGATGCATCAGGCAGTAACCTGAAGGTAAACTGGGCCAGTGTCATCTCAGCATTGAAAAAGTTATTCCAAGTGCCTTTGAATAATTTCTGGGACAGTGCAGGTGTAGACAATGCACTGATAAACAAACTGCTTGAACTCACAATGAGTATGCTGAAAGATCAAAGAATCAAGCAGGACAAGGAAGCTGCCAGTGAGATCTGGTCATTCTTTGGTTTATTGGTGAGTAATTACGGCGTGGCGAACGCGTTGGTTATTCGTGTTGCACGCCTCGTGAAAGAACACGAATTTCTCGCACCGATTGTCGCAGACGGTGTGCAACACCTCGTCGAGTTGTTCGAAACGCAAGCACTGCTCGTCACGTTTGTGTACGAGCTCACCGAATGGCAGCTGCAGGAAACCAACGTGGAATCCAACGCGGTCAAGAACAGCACACGCGTTGTGCACGAATTCGCCATGCGTTTGCCAGAACAAATGCGTGAATTGCTGGAATATTTATCGAAATATCTGCGTGCGGACTCGCCGCAGCTACGAGCGATGGTGTTAGGTGTGCAGGTAGAGATTCTGGTTGCGGAGTCACGCAAAGTCGCAACGATGTCTGCTGATGATAAAGAACCATGGCGACTTTTACGTAATGATATTCTGACTGCTTTAGAAGCATTCACACAGGATTCATCATCGTTTGTAAGGGCAAGGGTGTTCGGATTCATTGCGCGTCTTATGCGCGAGAATATCGTTCCAGCCGTTATCCAACAATCGTATTTGAAGAAATCCGTGTTACACATGCGTGATGTAACGAGTAACGTGCGCAAAGCAGCCGCCAACTGCATTACGTGCATGTTGAAGCATAACACTTTCGGACCAAAAGTATGTACAATGTATAAAAATAACAATAAATCAATACTAATCATTTTTATGTCCTCAGCTGCCTTATAAACAATTGTCTGAAGAATGCACCGAGAAGAAAAACGAATTGGTCAAGTTTAAATACGAAGTGTTCGGAATTGATATGGAAAAACAAGAACAAATCGAACGCGAGTGGACTGAACATCTTCCTGGTCTATTGGCAGAGTTACAACAACTTGAAATCAACCCAGAGGATGAGAGCGATGAAGAAAATGGAAGCTGTCATACGCTAGCATCCGGTGTAAGTGCAGGAAGTAAAGATTCAGGAATAAGTGATGATTGCGCGCCGATGAGTAGCGAAAATGAACGCCCATCGATTGACCAATTGATACGCGACGCGATCGTCGCTAAAGAATACAAAATGGCCGTCGAGCATTGTCAAACCGCATCGAAGACATCCGCAGTGATGCTTACACTTCGCGATCGAATAAATGAATTCACAGATGTGCAATTCTACTTGTGTTACATGCAACTTATCTATTCGAAAATCTCGCTGAATTCCGTCGTGCAACCCACGCAAGAAGAACATGAAAAACTCAGCGAGATGCAAAAGACTGTTGATTATCTCACCGAAGTTGTAAAGTTTCTCGAAACGATGCGTGAAGCAATGGCATTGATGTGTGAATTGCTAACAAGCGTCACTATTGGTGATATGCACGAAGCAGTTGATTTTATCATTGCGGCCAGACAGTTTGAATTGGATGATGCTGCGGATGGTATCAACGCTCTGCTGAAGATAATGCTAAGAAACGAGGAAGATCGACGGAATGTGGCTGGTGCTGCACTGCAAACAGTCTTTTTAACAACAGACGCTACTAATTTACTGTGAGTTTCGTTTCTCCTTCAGATTTTTCTTAATTTTTCTTATTTTTATTGATTTTTCTTGATTTTTCTCAGTTTTGTTTGATTCTTCTTGATTTTTCAATAATTTTTTACTTGTTACAGTTCCCATACAACTCAAGTGATGGAAAATCTGATCATGTTGTATCGTACGGTGTCCACTTCATCATTCGACGCGTTGTCCACGCTGGTAACCATGTGGGCAACACAAGGTACCCTCAGTAATGACATTATCGACGCGTTATGGAGCGCATTCCTTCAAAAGACTCCAACGACGAAAGAAAATTCACGTATTGCGCTGTGTATACTCAGACTAGCCACAGCCGGTAGGCATACCATCATAGATCGCAACTATCGCATTGTTGCAACGATTTGTTTCGAAAAGTGCGGCTTTGAAGACCCGCTGCTTGTCGTTGAAGGTCTGGAAATGTTACAAATGTTAGGCACGGTTGGTATAGTCGGTGATGAACCTGCATTCCGTTTATTGGGCACTGATCCAATCTGGGGACAAATTGTGTTTATAATCAAACATTATCAACACAAGAAAACACCCGTCGTGAATAATATACTCGCGGCTGCGGTGCGGTTAATTTTCGCCATACATTCCAAACCATTCCCATGCGTTGAAACACTTTTAAAATGGTTCACACCACGCAGCCAGAAGACGCCAATTCATAAACTCATCACGTATTGTGTGCTGGTTGGTGAAATTGCTGTGTCAATGCATAAATATCTCGATACGGATGTTTATAATGAACTGAAGCGGCGACAAAATGTCCGGTTGAAGAAGAGCGGTAAAGTTAAAGATGTCAGAGCTTCAGCCGCGTTGAATAACTCCAGTGCATTGAAACAGCGTAATGCTACGGCGCTGTCCACGACTGGAAATGTAGGTTTTTTAATTTTGACTTTTTTATGTTTTTTTTTTTAATCAATTTAAAAATTTATGATTATAGCTGGATGAGTCTGTTATTGACGGTGCGGAGGCAGCGGATGAAGACGCTGATTTCATCACACACGTGTTGGAACACAGCCTTGATAAACAAATAAGTCTGAGTAGAATGTTCGAAGTGGTGTTGTTAATCTGTCGCAAACCTTCCGAATACCCAACGGAGGTGCTCCAAGTAGCCGGTGCGTCAGCCCTCGCGCGCGGCATGCTTCTCTCGGCTGTTTTCTGCGAAAAATATGTCCTGCTCTTGTTTACTATGCTCCTGCGCAGCCCGTACGTGCAGGTAAAAGTAACGATTCTCATACATCTTGTCGATTTACTTGATCGCTTCCCCAATCTGATAGATCCATACACCACGAAGTTATACATATTGTAAGTTTTTTTTTGTTTGATTTTTTAAATTTTATTTCTTAATATTCATGATTTTGTGTAGGCTACAGGATAAGACAACTGAAGTACGTCAAACAGCACTCAATACACTTTCGCTACTCATTCTGAAGGACATGATTCGTCCCCAGGGACACATTTGGCAGCTGGCTGTGTGTCTGGTGGACGATGACGCTTACATTTGCAAAATGGCGCGCTCGTTCTTCCTGCAGAGCTCTGAAAAGAGCAACAATTTGTATAATTACATGCCGGATATTTTCACATCACTCTCGGAGAAATTCCCGCGTGAAAATACTGACGAGGCCGATGTAAACGAAGAGAAATTCCAAATAATATTGAAGTATTTATTCACGTTGATCGACAAATCGAAACAGATCGAAGTGTTGGTAGAGCGTTTCTGCTTGAAGTTTGACAATGCAAATGATGCACTCGCCAAGCGCATCGCGTTTGTTCTGGCGCTTATGCCGTACAACGAGCGTGCGCTGCAGAAACTCATCGAGAACTTCCCGAAGTTCAAACATTTCATCCTCGCGGACGAGGTGTACTCGTGGATCAAGGTGATCTGTACGAATGCGAAGAGTAAGGAATTGAAGGTACTGGCCACGCAGTTAGAGGAACTCGTCAAGGAGATGTTTAAAGTCGACGGGAATCCACCGCGTAACATATTCCGCAAACCTGCGCCGGCCAAAAAGAAGAAACAGCCAGTGAAGAACGCCGGGAGAAGGAAACTCAAACGACGGAACACCTTACAAGACAGCGGAAGCGATAGCGATGAATAGTTTATCCTACGCGGAAAGAGTGACAGTTGACAAGAAGATATTTTGAATTTTTGTAAATATTGTTTTATTAAATTGTATTAAATAGGTTGATTTACTGATCAACAACAATTCGGTGTGTTTGTTTGTGTGTGTGTATGATAGGAGATGTTTGGGTCCAAAGGCTGAAAGTTGAACTGCAGGCCTGGAGTGTTTCTGATACACTCGCCGCACACAGTTACAGTCGCTCAATAATACTCAACGCGCGAGCGGGCAGTGACTGGCGTTATTTCTAATCGGGGGACGTAAACAAACTGGAGATAATCTGTTTTGTTCTTGACAATCGCGCGAGTTATCATTACGCTCCTATTAATATTCGACAGTGTCAGTGTGTGAAGTGAGCCGGAGTCGCGTACAGAAAATCAAGCGAAAATGGCTGAAGTTGATGGAAATTACGTGCTGGCTAAGGCCCTGAAGGACCAGGTTAGTGGTATTTTATTGTAGAGAATATTATTTAGCGATTGTATAAGATTCCTGGTCAAATTGCGGCGAAAATAAACAATTTGATACTCAACCTCATTGTATACACGTATGTTTAGCTAAGTTTCGAACCATAGAATGCAGTTCCAAGGTTGTTACATACCGCGCACGAATTTAAATCCACTTCACACCTGATAAATTTATTAATAATTCTAATTTTACATTGAATTGCTAGACTCAATTCCTGTTGTATTTCCACTAGGGAGTCGAATATGTTTTCGGCATTGTGGGCTACCCTGTCATTGAACTGGGTATGACCTGCCAGCAGGTAGGCCTGCACTACATCGGCATGCGTAATGAGCAAGCGGCTGCGTACGCCGCTCAGGCCATCGGTTACCTCACTGGAATGCCCGGTGTATGCTTGACCGTTTCCGGCCCGGGTGTCCTCCACACCCTTGGTGGTATGGCAAACGCGCAAAGCAACTGTTGGCCTATGCTGGTTGTCGGTGGAGCGGTTAGTCAAGACCACGAGGCAATCGGCGGATTTCAGGAGTGCCCACAGGTGGAGGTAGCTCGTCCCTATTGTAAATACTCCGCGCGTCCACCCACGGTCCAACTTATTCCTACTCACGTGGAAAAAGCGCTGCGGTTGTGTCGTTTCGGGCGTCCGGGAGCAGCGTATTTGGATCTTCCTGGTAATATTTTACAATGCAAAGTGTTGGAGTCCAGTGTATTGCAGAGAACTGCCACTGGTGGCGCACCAACACCCAAATGTTTCCCTGATGAATCAAAAATCGCCGAGGCGATTAATCTGTTGCGAAATGCAAAGAGACCTTTGGTGATTGTTGGTAAAGGTGCTGCATATGCAGGCGCTGAGAATGAACTGCGTCAGTTCATCACCAAAACCAATTTGCCGTTTTTACCCACGCCGATGGGCAAAGGTGTGGTACCAGATGATGATCCACATTGTATCGCACCAGCTAGAACCTTGGCTTTACAAAAAGCCGATGTTATTCTGTTATTGGGCGCACGCCTCAACTGGATGTTGCATTTTGGACGTCCGCCACGTTTTGACGCGGATGTGAAAATTATTCAGGTGGATTTATCCCCCGAAGAGTTTCATAATTCCATTGAGACCGCTGTTCCTATCTTAGCAGATCTCAAACCAGCGTCTGTTTCGCTCCTCAGAGCTGCAAACTTTTCAGTTGCCAACAACACTGATTGGTGGACTCAACTACGCGGGAAATGTGAAAGCAATCGTAAGAGTGTGCTTGCTATGAGTCGAGATGACGCACCACCATTGAATTACTACGCGGTTTTCACGAATTTACAAGCATGCCTACCACCAAATTGCATTATTGTCAGCGAGGGTGCCAACACCATGGATATAGGTCGAACTATCCTTAGCAATCAACTACCGAAACATCGTTTGGATGCGGGTACCTTTGGTACCATGGGTGTGGGATTAGGTTTCGCTATCGCCGCTGGTTTGTACTGCAGACACAAAGCAGCCGGGAAAAAGGTAATCTGCGTTGAAGGTGACTCTGCTTTTGGATTCTCCGGAATGGAAATCGAGACTATCTACCGCTACAAGCTACCCATTGTTGTGGTAGTGGTTAACAACTCCGGAATTTACGGTGGGGTTGATGAGGATCTCTACGCGGATATTCGCGGGGAAGGAGACCCGACACAAACGTAAATATTTCCAGGTATTCCTCTGATACAACACAGGGTGTAACTTTGATTGATGTTTAGGTTGCCCGTCAACGTGTTGTCGACGTACACGCGCTACAACGAATTGATGCGAATGTTCGGCGACCGCGGCTCGCATTTGGTGAAGACCATTCCGGAGCTCAAGGCCGCTGTTAAGGAAGCCTTGGCCGTCACCGATGGCCCTTCAATTATCAACGTCATTATTAATCCAACAGCCGATAGGAAACCGCAGACGTTTTCGTGGCTGACGGAATCCAAGCTATAAACGCGTTTTTCTTTTTCTTCTTCTTTCTTTTCTTTCGTGTTTTTTACTTGTTTGCTTGCATTATTAACGAAGTCTGTGTTTTTAATAAACGATACTGTTGCATACGCATAACGTCGATCACTCCGGCAATACGTAATTGCAGAGTCACCCCCCTATCCTGTCCCTCTGTTCTATTTTCGATCGCGCGCGCAGGAGGAGAGAATGTTACGCGCACCCCGCCGGAATGTGCGCGCGATGTGTTCGTGGAATACCCATGGGTGTCGATGGGGGAGGCGAGAGGGTGCGCGAGGCGTATTGATCGGCGGCGGGGCCCGACGTCACGACTGGCAAGGGCGCATCCGAGGGTAGCTAGGCGGCGGCGCGCACATGCGCCCCGCGTGCAACGGCACGCGATCGACCGCCGCCGCAGCCGCCATCGCCCCCAACGCGATCGCACTGGCAGCGTCACTCAGTTAGTGTCAAAGCCAGGCAGTCGAATACGGAGACCTTTGCTGCCCCAAAACGCGTTCGCAGCTCGTGCCAGTGTGAGAGGTAAATAAAGTCATCAAGTTGAGGAGGCGGCAGCGTGAGGTCGTGATGCCTCGCGATGTGTAAACACCGCGCGAAAGTGTAATAGCCACCCCCCAACACTGTGTGTGACCGGACATACCTACTCGCCACCATGGGTACCGTGCTGTCGTTCTCGCCGCGCTCGGGTGGCGGCTCCGTTGACCATCAACGCGGACGCCCCGTCTACACCTCCACCACCACCACCTCGTCGGCGGCAGCGGGTGACTTTACGCTGCAATCGCTCAACAATCTCAACAACTACTCCTACGAGCAGCTGAACAACGTCAAGAATCGCTCGCTGACGGCTGGTGGAGGTGCAGCCGTCGTGGGCGGTGGGGGTGGTGCGGCCGACAACCGCGAGAACAAGCAGCCGTTCGTCAACAATCTCCACCACCACCACAACAACAACAACAATAACAACAATGACAATCTACGCGTGATCTCGGAGAAGAGCGCGTTGGAGCGGCAGCAGGCGGCGCAGCTGAAGAAGCACTCGTCGCTCTTCATCAACGCGCTCTCGTGGAAGCGGTTCTCGTCCACGGGCAACAAGAAGAAGGAGGCCAGCCAGGCGAACAACAATGTGGCGCCCAACAACAACGCCAAGCACAAGCGCCAGCCGCTCCTGGACGCGAACGCCGAGAAGAACAAGAACGTCGCCGGGATCTACTATTCGGCGGCGATGACGGCGCCCGCCGCCAAGAATCTGGATATCGTGCGCGTGAACAACGCCAACAACATACACCACCACCATCATCCGCACCAGCATCCGCACGCGCAGCTGCAATTGCAGGCGGTCAACAACGATAAGAACCGCGTGATCAATTTGAATGCGGGCGCGCGTCCCGCTTGTCTGCAGGCGCCGCCGCCCCAGCACCAGTTGCTGCCCGCGCAGCCGCAGCCATCCGCCGGCAAGGAGATGGTCGCCGGCGGGGGTGGCGGTGGACGCAAGACCGTCATCCAGGCGTCAACATCGGAGTTGCTCAAATGTCTCGGGATGTACCTGCACGCCAAGTGCTATCGCCTGCGCGACTTCCAGGCGGGCGACGCCGTCATGTGGCTGCGTACCGTCGACCGCAGTCTCCTCCTGCAAGGCTGGCAGGTGGGCACTCAGGATAATCATCTTCATTTTACCATGAGTATCGATCATTACCTGTTGTTTGTTGTTGTTGTTGTGTTTTCAGGACGTGGCGTTCATCAATCCGGCCAACGTGGTGTTCGTCTACATGCTGGTGCGCGACCTCGTCGGTGGCGAGCCGGACGACGATGGCGGCGGCGGCGGCAGCCCGGCGGCGGGCATCACCAGCGAGCAGGATCTGCAGGCCGTCGTGCTCACCTGCCTCTACCTCTCGTACGCCTACATGGGCAACGAGATCTCCTACCCGCTGAAGCCGTTCCTCGTCGAAGACTCCAAGGAGCGCTTCTGGGACCGCTGCCTGCACATCGTCGACAAGCTGTCCGCGCAGATGTTGCGCATCAACGCCGAGCCCGGCTACTTCACCGAGATCTTCACCGAGCTGAAGGCGTGCGGCGGTGCGTTCGCCGCCACCACCAACAACAACAACAACGCCGCCGGTGGGCAGGCGGCCGCCAGCATTCTCGTCGGCACCACCGCCGTGCCGGTGGTCTCGTGCAACGCCGGCGCCAACGCCGCCAATAACAACACCGCCCTCGCGCAGCACGCATAATCGCTGCGCAAGTCAAACGTCTTCTCAAACTACGCGACGCTAGGCTAAGGACACAAACCACGTAAAACGTAAATATGGTACATTTAAAGAAGTACATATAATGTTAACGATATATATATATGAATTAATTAATGCATAAGAAAATTATGAAAGTGATAGGTAATTAACGTCGTCGTCGTCGTAAATTCTCATTGACTTAGAAAATTTCTCTCATTTTGTTGCATAACATGTTTGGATATGGTTCGGGCCAATGTGCAATACAATTCGCGAGCGGGGGCCGCCGCGCGCGCGTCGCCGCGTGCCCCGCATTGCGCTAAACTTAACTTATTATTACTTTAAGAGACAAACAAGAAGGTAAACCAACAATTGTAACATTCCCACCTCGATATCGTTCCACGATGAATATTATTAAATAAATGCCATTTGAAACAAAAAAAACGCCTGCGTCCTTCTCCCAGCAGATTCAAAATGGCGGCGCGCCAACTCGTCCCACACACAGCTAATTCATAATCAATGAGTACTTGAAGCGTCATGCATGAAAAAGACTGACGCCCACGTCAGAAACGTCAGAGGAAAGTTATTGTCATGCATTAATATTGGTTGTTTTTCTTTTACTCTCTAAGTAAATCGTTCCGGAGTGTTTTTTACGTAACTTAACGACTTAACTTTAATGCCAAACACACAAATACTCGCTCTGTACATCAAAATCATTTATCTACGCACATCGTACAACGCCCCGACAGATGACAACAATCGTCCGGACGCCTTTATTGCGATTACTAACTAAATTAGGTTTCACGTTTCGTCAATAAATTAATTAACAAGTACATCAATTAAATTAACGGTTTAATGGTAGTTTCTTCTGCAGAGGGAGAGGAGGATCGCTCAACGATGCTTAATAGTAAAATTTGTCTAAGTTGATTTTGTGAGGGGCGGCGGCAGTGAGCGCTCCTACTTGGTCGACGCCTTCAGGTAGGCGATGAGGTCGCCGCGCTCATTCGGCTTCTTCAGCCCGGCGAAGACCATCTTGGTGCCGGGGATGTACTTCTTCGGGTTCTCGAGGTACTCGAAGAGCGTGTCCTCGTTCCACGTGATGCCCTTGGCTTTGTTGGCGTCCGTGTAGGCGAAGCCGGCGGCCTGACCGGTTTTCCTGCCGAAGAGGCCGTGGAGGTTGGGGCCGACCTTGTGCTTGCCGCCGGCTTCTACGGTGTGGCACTGTGCGCACCTCTGGACGAAGAGCTTCTTGCCCTTTTCGACATCACCGGCTGGTACACCCATTGTTCTAGTTTAGCTGCAAACCAAAGTATTTATTCAATATATATTTTAGACTCGATTGCGTAATGTGACATTCCATGTGATAAAAATAATCTTTATGATCCAGATTACGCGCGATTAGCTCGAAATCAATTGGTTTTTGAACATTGAACGTGTGGCAAGGTCGACGCGCGGTGAATTTTTCCAGTCAGGTACACGCGTCACGACCATGTGACTCAACTGGAAGCAATTTCGCGTAATTACGCGTGCGTGCCACCACTACTCGTGGGATCATGACTGAAGTCATGGCAGTTTCACGCAACTGCGCGCGCGCCACGCGCTTGGCGAGGTTAAAGTGCGACACGTGCTATTCGCCACCCGAAAAAACCCCGCCGGCGGATATCGTAATCGCACTATGTACAAAGTGCACTATGTGTTTGTTTTTCAGGACTGAAATCAGAACGCGCGCGCGCCCACTGGGTCAAGTTTGCAGCGCGGTCTATTATTACCAATGTCATCGTTACCACCTTGGGTGGAAATTAGCGCACAGAGACGGACGATTATATAACCAAATTCGCATTTTTGCGCAAGCTTGGAGATTCCAGAGCTGCCGAGCGAAGTCCTGGCGAGTCATGAGACACGCACAGTTGGCGTAATGTTACGCAAACCCTTTTGACGAATGAGGTGATGCAAGGAAGCGACCCAATTGTATCCCGTTATGTAATTTTATAAAAATCAGGAGAAAAGTAGAGACATTTTAAGGGAGAATTTAAAAATTGTGGGCGTACAAAGTTCGTGGGTGTATTATGAAGCAAAAAGTACTCAAAGTGATTACTTACGGTTTAAATTGAACGATTTATAAATTAAAATAGGTGAAGTGTGAGCCAGACACAACCAATTCGTTTGGTGTAAATGTTAGAACTGCTCGGCGGAGCCTCAGCGCGCGATTCCGTTCCGTGTTCTTTGCACACGGGATCGATATTTCGCGGTGCGCACTACAGCGAACTTTCAGAGTTGCGCATTTGCGTATGTATCACCGATAGATGGCGCCTGGTATTCTAGAAAATGAAATAAATTGCAAAGTCCGTTCAATTCTAGTTTGCCTGCAACCAAGGTGAAGCAAACAGAACTATATATAGCATAACCTGTAAATTTCCTCACCCGCTTGAGACTATTGCGTTTTCTTGCGTGAATTATAAATTATTCTACTAATTAAGTGAAATGGGTAACGTCGGCGAGAAAGTGAGTGCTGCGTCGCCGCCTCCTGCCGCAACAGCGATAAAGCCTTCGTCGGAAGCTAAAAAGTGCAAGCCGTGCTGTGCCTGCCCCGAAACGAAAAAGATTCGTGATGAATGGTAAGAGAATTAGTGTTTAAATTGAGTTGTTTTATTAATGCAAGTATTGGGAATGTGCACTTTTCAGTATCATGCAAAATGGCCAAGAAAATTGTGAACATCTGATTGAAGCACACAAAGCATGCATGAGGTCATTGGGTTTCAATATTTGAATCATCTCAGTTGAAATCTAAATGTAGTCAAGATCTAAATTGTTATTAGTTACCAAGAAATGTACATATTATTTTGAACCAAACTTTTATTGTGTCATATTTTGAAATGCCTACTTTACCGACAGCGCCATTTGTAACCTTTATTTGTGTTGTGTAGTTGAAGAAACACAACATTAGTATATTTTACTTTCAAACATAAAAACGTACAGTGCAGTTAGAAAATTATGACTGATATGGACGTGGAAATGGAAGCAGTGGTGCCCGATGATAAGGCAGACAGCGCATGGATGCGAGAACGTTTTATCATGATGCAAGTCAACTTAAAAGGTAGGTGATAATTGTTTATATTGAATGAAATTTGTGTACAATTCTTGAATATATAGGTTTACCGGCGCACATAGTATTGCATGATAATACGACCGTGGACGGGAAGGTGCAGACCATTGATGGTAACTTTCAGAACATAATAGTCAATGATTTACACACTCCAACACAAGAAATAATACCAAAAGCTGTGCTGCGAATGTCTGACATCATATCCATTAGAATACCTCATTGAATAAATGTATTTCATCAACATATTCTGAAGTTTCATGGGAATATATATCATCTAAGCTTGTTTCAACCACAATGCGAGTAATTCTTCATTGGTATATTTATAAATGTCTTCAAACATTGCCCATCCTGATACTGAGGTGGTGAGCAAGTATGCAGCATTTTCTGGGTGTAAATGGGCTGAATACGCGCCCATTATCAATGATTGTGAGAGTCTTGCCAGGATACAAATCTAAAATATTATTTAAGTTGTGCTTTGTGATGGTAAAAGTTTTATATTTATATTTACTCTGAGTAATCCTAGCTCTTCATCAGTCATACTTCTTTGTTTCAAATATCCTTGCAACACTGCTCCACCCATTGCGACTTTTTTACTTACAATCATCATGTAAGTCATTGCAATGGCCAGTTCATAAACATAGCAACCTTTTTGTGAATCGCCGAAATCCAACACGCCGCGAATTTCAGGAGTGCCATTCAACGCAGAGACAACAACATTTTGCTCATTAAAATCCCCGTGGATTATTCCACGTGGTAAATTATGTCCAATTTTTAAAACTTCGCGCTCGAACGCGCTGATTATCTCAGCAAACTTTTCTTGTTTATTTAAATCAGGTACTTTGTCTAAAAACGGTCGCAATTGCGGTACACTATCCAACATCCACATCGATGAATGTGTTTCATAAGCCACGTGATAAAAGTCCTACAAGAATTTAAATGTTTAAATGTTTATTTTGTGTTTTTTTTGTAAACTTACTTGTAATAAGTTGTCAATTGTTGCAATATATTCTCCTGCTTTGTAGTAAAGATCCCAAGATCCTTCTACTTGATGCAAAATGGAACCATCAATGAATTTCATCAGACGGACCACATGAGCACCGCTTCTTAATTGCTCTATGGCATAATATCCACCGGTTTGTGTTTGTTGTGGCTGCGGACAAATAATCCCGCGTTCGCCAAGATGCAACAATAATGCATTCTGCGCCTGGATGAAGCCAAGTTTCTTTGAATCCAGCGAGTTGAGGACTTTCAACACGTAAAGTTGTACGTTTTCATCGCCTTTGCTTCCGACAGCAACTTTGAAGTTCTTGTCGTCGTACCCATTCAACTCCGAGACCCGGGACACTTCGAGACCATAGATTCTCTTCACGAGTTTGTAACATTCACCGGAGTTCATCAGCGGCGCGATCGTCACACCCGGCTCCAACATTGCGGCGACACTGACGAAACAGTGTATCAAAGGTCCGGCTGCTATCGGAGAGGGCGACTCTTAATATGATAATCGCCAGTTAACTTGATAATGCTTGATTGTTCAATGATTGATAATGGACGCCGCTTTGATTGAGACTCCGGACATGTAAACTGTATCAAGAGGCGGATATTTGGTAGGTTTTGATGCGTTTTGCGATGAGTTGTTTTGTGACTGTCGGCCCCGCAATAACGTCGAGTGCAGTAGAGATAAAACTGATAAATGCAGTACATAGCTTTAAGTAAATAATTTAATGGGTGACAAACAAGATGAGATTAAATTATTAGTTTAAATTTGTTACCTATTTAAATAGTAAACTATTTGAGGTAATAAGCGACTTTTGCCAAGTTCTAAGGGTGAAACATGAGATCAGCGGCGCTCATTTTAGATTTTTAAGTTTTTGCATAATTACTTGCAGTTGAAGCTGTAAAAGTGATAACATGCTGCCCTTTTATACCTGCAGTTGATCCCCTAAAAGCAAATTCACTTTTTGTGTATCGTGTCCTTAATTTTTGTTTGTTTTAGGCGTCTAGCAACTGAACCGGGCCTCGCAGGGTAACCATTCTTGCATCAGATGGTAAGTACTAGAATTCTTTATCATTTTTGTATATAATATTTGCCCTTAACTCGCGGGAAACCTACAAAAAATACACTTTTTGTGCTTCGAGTCACTAATTTTGGTTTGTTTTAGGGGTCTAGCATCTGAACCTGTTCTCGTAGGGTAACTGTTCTTGCATCAAATTGTAAGTATTGGAATTCTTTATCATTTTCATAACTAACATTTGTAATTATCTGCCGGGAAACTCTCAAAACTACCATTTTCGTGTTTTGGGTCACTAATTTTTGTTTGTTTTGGTGTGGTAGACGTCGTTGGCTGGCTATGCTTCTATCAGATAGGAGGTATTGGAATCCTTTATCATCTGCACACATAACTTTTGTAATTAACTCGCGGAAAGCTACACAAGTGGCATTTTCTAATATTGGAGATTCTCATCGTCCAAATATTTCATTGTTCCAAGGATTGGTAGCCGCAGTAATGTTTCCTACAATAGAGCGTTGCTTTGTACCGTCAAAACTAGATGGCGTTAGTGCAGCTTTTAGCCAAACTAGTTTGAGATTCCGGTGCTAGATGGCGCTAGTGAAGTTCTATCCAAGCTGGTTTGTATTTTCGATACCAGATGGCGATAGTGCCGCTCATAATTCAAACTTGTTTGTGTTTTCGATACTACATGGCGCAGGGATCCGAGACAGTTTTGCCTGCCGCAGGCTATGTTTTTCTTATGCAGTCGGTGTTCCGCTGTGGGTTTTGTAGCACGCGGGCTATTCGTTTTTTTTTGAAATTAGCACATGGCAGCAATATTTTGCTTTTCGTCGAATTTTTAATAAGCGAAAAGCTTATGATTTACGCCGAAACCGAAAACCGAGTGACTTTATCTTCTGCGCGCGCGCGTGTGTCGATGACCGCCGGATCTTTTTCAGGGGCTACAAATTCCATTTGGATTTATTTATTTATCAAAGTGTAGTTGTTTACTTGTGGAAAGAAACTACGTGTGTACCTCGTGTGGAATAATTGTCAGCGCAAAAATAATAAAGTTAGTATCCTAATTGCTAACTAACAATTTGCGGAATCGTGTTGGTGCAAGTAGTGTTTGCACCCGACCTTACTGGCTTATCAACTTCAGTATCTACAGATGCGGAATTAAATTCTCCGTCAGATTGTATTTGTTCGTTGCAGGAATTCGACCTGCAACCCGCGAAAATTAGCTTAAAAGGGTGATTTTTTCACCCTTTTTTGTGAAATGTTTGTATCTTTTCGTGTCTGCACGCGACCTTATTGGCTTATAAACTTCAGCGCGGTATCTACAGATTCGGAATTAAATTCTCCGTCGGATTGTATTTGTTAGTTGCAGGAATTCGACCTGTAATCTGCGAAAATTAGCATAAAAGTGTGATTTTTTCACTCTTTTTCGTGAAATGTTTGTATTTTTTCGTGTTTGCACGCGACCTTATTGGCCTATTCACTTTAGCGCCGTATCTACAGATGCGGAATTAAATTCTCCGTCAGATAGTATTTGTTTGTTGCAGGAATTCGATCTGCAACCCGCGAAAATAAGCATAAAAGTGTGTTTTCTTTAAATCTTTTTTCGTGAAATGTTTGTATATTTACTTGTTTGCACGCGACCTTATTGGCTTATTAACTTCAGCGCGGTAACTACAGATGCGGAATTAAATTCTCGGTCGGATTGTATTTGTTTGTTGCGGGAATTTGACCTGCAACCCGCGAAAATTAGTATAAAAGTGTGATTTTTCACTCTTTTTCTTGAAATGTTTGTATATTTTCATGTTTGCACGCGACCTTATTGGCTTATTAACTTCAGCGTGGTATCTACAGATGCGGAATTAAATTCTCCGTCAGATTGTATTTGTTTGTTGCAGGAATTCGACCTGCAACCCGCAAAAATTAGTTTATTTTTGTTATCTTTATAGTTAGGTGCTATAAAGTTTTAGTTAATTTAGCGAATAAAAAACGAATGAAAGTCACAAATCACTGCGCATCTGATTTGTGTTTGTTTTTAGATGTCAAGGAGTCGAACCGGATCTCGGTGTATAATTGTGCCCGCATTCAATTGTGAGTATTGAAATTCTTATCATTTTCATATCTGCTTTGTCCACGTAGCCTGCAATATCTTTTCCTTGTGTAGTCGATCGTGCGATGTTGTTCGGTACACACGTGTTTTGTTCACAAGTCGATCTTTGTAACTAGTTTGCGCGTTTCTTGTGATTTTAAGTCGGTAGTTGAATTAGAATCGATCAGCACAGATAACATTTAGAATTAGTGCGGCGTGCAGTTAAAGAATTATCGCGCGTGGATGTCAGAATTGTGTAGTTTTACAATGTGTGCACGTTTTTGGCCGTCGGCCGTCGGATATCTTACGTCGGGCTAAGAAGTCCGTCCCAGTGGTTTTATTTGCGTAATGATATTAATTTGTGAAACTAAACACTGTTTGTCCCTGTGTGGGACATGTCAACCGAGAAAGTGCACGTAGGTAACTGTGCAACATTAACATTCGATGAATTAAACAATTAGTGAAGATGTTTCATGGACAAAGGTAACCGCTGAACTTATTCAACAAATAAAATAATTCAATTTTAACAAATAATTTTAAAATTCAACATGTACTCATGTGATTGCATGTAATAAAGTATACTTTTAATATTACGTTTGCTAGTATATTTGTCTATGTTTCCTTTTTGTCGTTTTCAGAATTAGATTTAAAGACCACATTTGATAGTACGTATTTGAAATGCGAATAACAGGTAATGTTGTTGTTTTTAAAAAGGTGAGAAAAACAACAACATTTATACCTGAAACGAATAAGACTCGATAAGAGAGCCGTGTGGCTCAGGTGGCATGTGCATGTGCTAGCATGCTAGAGGTTCGTGGATCGAATCTCAGTTGTAGAAAGCAATTTTATTAAATAATAAGAAATTTAGGAAATATGGGTTGCATACCACAAAAATCGAATGTTAGAATAAGTTGAAGAGCAGAGTACGGAGCAACAAATAGGTATTATGAGATGGTGGAAGCGCAAATCGAGAGAGCAGCAGGAGAGAATAGGAGAAGTAAGAAGAGAAGAGAGAAGAAGTACAGGAAGAAAAGAGAATAGGGGTGACGGAATTTTTAAATTTTTGGCACGTGTCGTTATAAGACAGTCTACGGCCCACTGCTTCGATCCGTCCATTGCTCCCGGCCCATCCTACAGCTACGATGTCTCTGCGCTTCATCCCCGAAATTATCAGGCATATCAACAATTTTTATGGTGGGGGATCACCCCCAAAGAGAGGGAACTCCTTATAAGGACATCCTTTTAAGGACTTGTAAAAATATTTCTAATTTTTAAGTCGCCTCAAAAGAGGAGACACTTAAAAATATTCTTACAAGTTCTGACCTGCAGCTGAAATGAAAGATGGAGAACACAAATCATACAGGATACCTTAACAATTTTTATAGTGGGGATCATCCCCTGAGAGAGGGAACTCTCTTAGAGACGTGTACCTGAAATGATAGAAGGGGTACAGTCAAAGCATAAGACATAATATTTCTTAACATTTCTTTATTAATAAATACAATGTAAATACAAGTTTAGATTTTATATGTCAACAAAATTCATGCCGACATATTGAAACAGGACTTACGACCTGCATCATCGCGCACATACGATACAGGCACGTACCAAATTATAAACACTAACACATAGGCACTAGAAAATAACTATTTATCACGGAAAACTAATGTACAGGGTGGTACCAAAAGAAAAATTCATACTTCCAAAGGAAACTTGCAACAATAAACTTAACACATTTTTCGCAGAATGGAAAAGTGATATACAGGGTGTTGCAAAAAGAAAATTTACAGTTTAAGAAAGAAAACAGTTGAAAACAAAAAATTGGTCAAGTATTGATGGGAAATAGGAAAACAAATATATAGGGTGTTCTCAAAAGAAAATGACAATATTTAAAAAGAAAATGGTCTGGTCAAGAAAAAAATATCATCAACTTACAAGGTTTTAGTAGGGGAGCAGGAAAATGTAACATATAGGGTGATACAAGAAGAAAATCATTATATATAATAACAAAACTCAAAATTCTCGAAGGATAACATTAGTCAAATAAAAATGTTACAATTTTCACAATGGAAAGCGAAGGAAAATGCAAGAGCAGGCAACACAACAACAATACCACTACATTTAGAAGTATATACTAAAGCACTAGAAGAAAACTACAAGAAAATTTAAGTTGCTACCTGTTTCTCCCGGGATGGCATAAAAATAAAGGAAGAGAAAGTAACAATGAAGAAGGTGACACTATTATAAATATTACTGCAATATTGAGATTATATTTTCGACGCAATATCCAGACAAAGTGCCGGCCGTCGGCACGCACACGCTAAAGGAAACATTAAAATCGCGTATTATATACATTTTACGGACAGTAATAAATTGTCAAACTACTAGACGTATCAACGCGATTACAGAATAAAGATTGCAGAAAAATGTGAGATGAATGGATTTAGTAAAACCAACTTTCTGCAACGAGGCCAAAAATGTATCCGACGGCTAGTGACAATTTTAAACTATAACGATAGTTTCACTACACGCGATTAAAAAGCAAAATGTAATAATGATGGAATAATATTTACAAACTTAC